TGTGTGAAGAGTTTGAAGTCCTCCCAACATGAAAAACACTACCTATATATAAATATTATTTCTGTAATGTGCTTAATCATAGCGTTGGCTTCAGGCACGCCCACTGGCATTCTTGACTCTTAAAATAATTTGGGACTAGAATTTCTATACTTTCTTTACCTACAATCTTGGAATTTCATGTAGAAAGCCTCTCTTATTAGTTTGTTTGAAAAATCACACAAGCAGAAAAAAGATGCTGTTCTCAATCATATACTTGCCAGCACAGAGTTATCCAGGAAACGGGCGGGAACACTGCTAAGTGAGATGGTTGTGTGCGCGTGCAAACACACACATGTTGTCACCATATTTCTTGGAGGCTGTAGTCCTTTGACATGTTTGACCTTTATTGCTGATGTACTTTCTACTTATTTTTGGTTGTACAGTAGTTGTATTTATTCACACTGAGTCATCTCTGTGCTGTCCTACGCTTCAGTGCTCAGGCTGATATCAAGGCCTATAATTGATATCTTGATCCAGTTGCATCTGTTTCTGAATTGAAATCTGTCCCCGTTTGGATATCATCCCACCAAGCCTGTGACCTTAATATGCTGAAGGATTATGCGATTCAGTTAGGCATGAGCTTAGTCACTGACCCTTCTCATATTAAACATTCTTTCAGTTGTAGCCATGGACATCCTTCACTGTTAAGATGTCATTGAGTTTCTGTACTCCAGGAATTCATTGTCACGTTTTATCTCCCAAACCTGAGATTCCTCACACTATAACCCAGTGTACTTTAGCAGAAGTATTCAATTCTATTTGCTCTGCAGTGATCATGTGTGAAAGTGTCTGTTTTTTGGTCAACATGCATTATCAGACAACCCACTTAAAGACGGTAATCTTCATTCATGTCGAAGAACTGTGAATTTGTGTTGAGGATGATCGTAAATAAATGTCAATCATTGGGGCACTGTTTTTTCCTGTAATAGTTGTTGAAGAGATTGTAGTGATTCTCATACTCTTCTAATAATAAAGCCAGATGTTCACCTGAATTCTCTTTAATGCAATACAATACTCTCTTGTGTTGTCTGGGAGATTTGTAGTATTGGCTGTAAGTGGAATATATGAATTTTTAACTGCAGTAAGAGAATGCATCAAACAGCTGTTCAGATTTATTACATTACTGCACACTGGTTTCTGCCAATGCTTAATTCAATAGGGGTATGTTTTAAGTTGACCAAAAAAAAAGCTGATTTGCCTTGTCATTGGAGCCAGTTTCAGATTTCTTGTTGGATCAACACGCTAACCGATTTGCACTTCGAATGTAAAGACACTATGTAAATACAAGTTGTTTTGAGATCTTGCAGTGGTTGATGTTTAAAGACTTTAATGGGTGCAGTAATGGACTTGGATGGTAGAACGGCAGAATCAGACTCCTAAGATCATGTATGGTATAGATGAGGAAGACTACTGGGCTAATTGATCTTGTGTTCTGGAGTACCCACCCTCTTTTCCCATGACCGTATCAGATTGTTAAATTAGCTCAGCTTTCTGGTCTCAACCATCCTTCCTGAAAACTCGGGAGTTAACTCCTGTTACAGGAGCTAATTGCACTCTGAGTTAAAAACTTCCAGTGTCTTCCCTGAAATTTTCTCCACTTGTCTGCAGCTTTGGAGCATCTGAAAAGGTATTCCCGCAGTACCATTTACCATCTTAATACCTGAAAAGGAGCCCCTCTGAGATGCTTAAAGAGCTTATTCAATTATTCCCCATAGCTCATCCATTTAACATTGTGGAATATCTATTTATTTCTGTTTTGTGCAATTTATGAAGTTTAGGAATTGCTGAAGATTTCTTTTGCAAAGGCAAGCTCATCTGCCTTTGTACTGCAATCTTCTGAAGAACTGGTTTGGTAGAGCAATTACTTAATGATGCAACTTATTTCACACAGTAGCATTCTTACGTTGGTTACAGAAATGACCCTGTGTGACCGTAAGCCATTTTAGGTTTCTATTTTATTGCTTCTTGAAAATCCCTGTTGGCATAAACGAGTGACTTTGAAATCCACAGTAATTGTAACAAATCTCTCTACTGTGATGGTTCTTTGTAGAGATTTGTTGACCAATTTCAGTGAGGTTCTTGTATGGTGAACTGTATTAATATTTCATAATGGAGTCTGAGTACAAAATACCGTTTATTTTTCTCAAACCAAACTAATCCGTATGCTATTTAATCTTTTTGTTTTGTGTAATTTACAAGAAGGTTTTGTAGCATTGGCAAGAAATGTCAAGTTACTAGATTTCCCATTTCTAAGAGTAATTTGAGATTTAAAAATTAATAGGCAGATTAATATTTTACTTTCTACTCTGCTCACTTTTAAAGTGCTTGCACGGCATGGGGAAAGAATGTGTCAGAATGGATAAAAGGAGTCGGGTTTAATTTGAAATGCTTTCATATCACAATTCAACTGAAGGTTTACTTTCCAAGGGAGTATTTGGAGCATTTATTTTTAACCCCTATTTATTGTGCATTAGTCCTATCACAAGTTTTTGCTAAAGTGTAGTATCTAGTGCTGCAAAGGATACTTTTTGTGACTGAGAAACTGAACATCAATGAAATCAGTCAAAATGGTGGTAAACCTCACATGGATTCATTTCTGCTCCATAATTCGATCAAACATTTTTATTATTTAAAAAAAACTATTTGTTTCTACCAGACCAATGTTTAAAAGTTTTAATAAAAGTGCTTTTGATTTTGCTGTAGCAAGACCAAGCCAGACCTCAAAAGACTAATAAAAAGCTTGATGTTGCAAGATGTGCCCATATGAGCTTCAAAACCCTGAACATCTTTATTGATGCAGTGTTGGCTTGCATTATTTATACGCTATAGAATTGGGTTCTGCAGTACAGTGCAAAGCTTTTCAGTATATTTCTTGATGCTAAACAGAATTCCTGCATTGTGTTGGGAGCTTGCAAGAAAAAAAGGAATCTATCCAACACATGTTTTAATAGATTGCTTGAGTCTGGTTAATGTGTGTAACCAGATATAAAATACACCTTAAATATCATTAGCTTTTATTGCAATATTTTGATATAGGCAGAATGTGGGTTGTGGACATTCATAAGAGGGATCGTATGACATGATTTCCTGAAGATAAATATTTTGTATGCATGCATTTACACATCTGTGTACAATGTATTTATTTGGAGGAAATACAAATAATAATTTAAGGTATTTTAATTTAATAATAAAGGTATTTTAATTTGTTCTGCTACTGAATTTCTTCCCCTTTGCTGGAACATCATGCATGTTTCTATGTTTAATTTTTGACTTTGAAAGTACTGTAGTTTGTAGGAAAGACATTTAAGTGTCATTGCTCCCCTGTTGATTTTGCATGCGGTTGCAGTTTGAGGCTACAAGGAAGATCAATATCTTTTCCAGCCTTTCAGTGCCATAATCCTAAACCATTAGGAAGATAAAGTAGTGATGTATCCTGGCGGATGTGCTGTATTTGAAATCATTCAATTTAAATTGAAGCAGAAATCTGTGGGTGTCTTTTTAAACTACTGTATAATGTTAATGGATGTTAATGTTCATTGCGCTACAGTTGGCACACATTGGTCCATTGGCGCATGTTGGTCCACAGTGCAAGAATCAACTTGGATAAAAGTAAACACCTATGAGACACTGAGCAGCGATGCAGCCAGAGAACAAACAGATGGGCAAACCTCACCTTGAATGCCAAATCATGACTAAGTCTCCCGAGCAACGGGTAAAGGGCAGCTTGAAGTTTAGAAACCATCAGCCAGGATTAGTTCTTTAAATTCAGGGCCAATCCTCGAGTCTATTGTAGCCTCATTTGTTGGAGAGGAGTTTAGAGTACAAAAATTGCAAGAAATTTTTAACAAAATGGGTTTAACCCTATTTCAGGCTTGCTTGACGCACAATGTTCATGGTTAAAAGTATTGGTACCATCCATCTTTCCCCTCAGGAGCAAATGTTATTTTGCCTTCCAAAATCAGGGAGGAAGAAAGGAAGATTTTGTTTGCATTAGGCCAATTGTGATCAATTAGTGCATTCTGCTGTGGTGTGTAATTCTTCCTGGGAGTGCTCTGAATTTGTATCCTGTGCAATGGAAAGTAAATTGAAACCAAAGTGCCTTTGTCAGTGTGAAATGTATTCTTGTATGGCCTGAATTTCACATCCATGAGAAAAATTACACAAGTATATTAGCGCAAACCCTATTAAACCCAGCAACAATCTTATGCTTCACCTTATTGTTCAGGTAAAGTAGGTTTGTTGCTGCATTTTTTAGATTTCTTTTTTAGATGGAAGAGCAGTTCTTATTATAAAATGTGTGTTTCTCTTACCAAGCTATTTGGGCAGATAATTAAGAGGATACATGGCATTGAAAACGATTGGACCAATTAAACAATATGCCAAAGAGTGGCATGTGGGCTTTAATTCAGGTGAATGCAAGGTAGTGCATATTGGGACATGATGAAGGGTTCCATTAACTGAGGTGAAATAGGAAAAGGAATTAGTCTGGTTGTTCACTGGTAGTTTATAATCGATCTGAAGCTCAAAAAGAGCTCATTAATCCAAGGTTGCATTTTGAGGGTTTGTCTTGCGATTCGAAAGAATGTACAGTATTCTAACCTTCTATAGATTACTTGTGAGGTCGTACTTTGTTTGGAATATTGCATGTTTCATGACATAAATGCAATAGGAATGCTTCTGGGAATTTTGCCCACAAAATATACAGTGAATTCACTTCACAGTATATTCTGTGAAGTGGTTTGAGACATCTGGACGACGTGATAAGGCACAATATCAAATGCAAGTATTTTATTGATGAGGCTGAGATTAATGCAAATGGCTAAATCTAATATTTAGCATTTTTGTGAAATAGGTACAATTAACGTGCACCAATATTATTAAATGAAAACTTGGATTGTTTGTTTTTTATACCTCTCATATGATTTTTGCCCTGTCCTTATGGTGGTGTTCTTTCGTTACAGGACAGAAAACTTACGAAGGCAGAACGTCAAAGATTTCGAGAGGAAGCGGAGATGCTTAAAGGACTGCAGCACCCCAACATTGTTCGGTTTTATGACTTTTGGGAGACTACTCTGAAAGGAAAAAAATGTATTGTATTAGTTACAGAATTAATGACCTCAGGAACTTTGAAAACGTAAGTATTCTGTTTTATATTAAAAAAAAATCTGGGAGCTGGATTCTCAGAACTATTTTATTTGCAGCTGTGTTTTGGGGTGATTATGGTTGTGAAGTTTATATCCNAAAAAAATTGGAGCTAAAATTAACCTTTTCTTTCTTGCCTTTTCCCAGCTGATTATTAATCTAATACGGACCTGAAACTCAAAGATGTGCAAGCTCAATTCTAATAGAAGGGGAGGGGATAATATCAAGCTGTCTTTATTGCTAGAATTCCCAATTCTGATTAGCAATAATTTTTCTCTATCGACCTCTCGCTGAAGGGAGAAACTTTGATCACTTGCACCAACAAATTCCCTTGGTTGCGCTGTGAATGTGCAGGAAGGGAATCGATGAATAACGTTTATGTGCTTCGACCGATTTTTGGAAGGAAGTTAAGAAAAGAGGGATTTCGTTGAATGTGATGTGCTTTTGACAATGGCTCTGGGACTCTATAACTCGTGTGAAGGGCGCTATATAAAATGCATTTTCTCGTTGTTAAGAGCTACGGATTTTCTGCATTCATTGTTCTCGTTAGCTTGTTCATGAACCAACTATGGTGATCCTTATTATGAAGGGCCCTAAATCTGAAGTTATTTTGATTAAACCCAAAAAATTTTCCAGCAGCAAGATCAACTTGCATTTATACAGCATTCCACACGCAGCTTATCTCTCAACGTGTCCTTCACTAACAGGATACCCAGATGTGCCATTTTATTGTTTAAGCTTTTACAGCGCTAAGTGAAATGGAAGTTAATAACATCTAACATGCAGTTTGTTTAAAACCCAAATATAGGAGTGTATGGGGGAAAATAGAAGAAGCATAATGGAATATCATTGTCTGTGGACAGATCCAACTAAATTGTGCAGGAGTGGCTTTATCCCAAATCCATGGCTTTATTCCTTAATCCATATGGGAGAAAAGTTATTTGGTGTATATTTACAGAATTCAAATGATTGATCTGATCTTTACTGAGGGTTTTCTTTACCTGGCATTAAGAGAAAAGGGGAGCCAACTCATGCCCCTGTAAGCATGTATTTTGAAGACCTAGAAGAATGCACCTACTTGTCAAAGCTGTTGAACCTATTCCCTGATTTTACCAAGCCTTGTGAAATGTTAAATTGCTCTAATTGTCCTGAGATTGTATATCCTGCTTTTAACATAAGCTTTTATGAAATGTCTATATTTTCAGATATTTAAAACGATTTAAAGTGATGAAACCAAAAGTTATGCGAAGCTGGTGTCGACAGGTATTGAAAGGACTCCACTTTCTGCACACACGAACTCCTCCAATTATTCACCGGGATTTAAAATGCGATAATATTTTTATTACTGGACCAACTGGATCAGTCAAAATAGGAGATTTGGGCCTTGCAACTCTAAAGCGTGCCTCTTTTGCCAAAAGTGTGATAGGTAAATATCTGAAGAATTTATCCGTTTTTTGTATTCACAGTAGAGTGCTTAATTTCTGTAATCTGCACAAATACTGTTGCCATTGCCACATTTGTTTGACATCCACCTCAAACAACTCTGAAGTGTAACCCTCAAAGTAAGACATCTATTTCAATCGTGATTTCTTTGCTCCACTCTGTGTAATTCCTGACAATTAGGATAGAAATTTTATAGAGGAAAGTCTTTGACTTTATTTATTGCTTGTATAATAACACTGAGGTGGGGGGAGTTTGTCAAACAAATGGATCTGGGAATGAATATTGTTACCAGTTAACTTGATGGTATTAAAATATCCTGAATATTGCCAAAAATGAATACTAAACAAAGGTTCTGAGAACCCAGAAATTGCCCTTTCAATTCTTTGCAGTGGCTTAGTTGTACAAAGTCTTCTGTTACCCAGTTATACAAAGCCCCATTAACGTTTTACCCACTGACCTATATTGGGCAGTCTCCTTTTAATCGAAAATCCTTAATCGCGGCGTTCCTTTCACAAACACGAGGGAGGCCAGTCGCCATTAGTGAGGATCGTGATGTTTTGCGTAGCTTGCATCTTACAAGGTCAAGTGGTTTGACCACTATAGTCCCATAACTTGTGATTTCCAAATCCCAAGACAATTTCAGTAAGCAAGTATCTGTTTGCAGCTGGCTTGCTAAGTGGTGCCTGAAATCATGGGCAGGAACCCAAAAAGTGGAACTTTTTAACTCCTCTCCCAAGTGTTGACTTGTGAGTGTGGCGTTGAGGTCTGGAGTATTTTTTTTAATTAGAATGTGATGTACACTGATGGGTAGCCTGAAAGGGGATCAAAAAAAACTGAAGACTTCTTACAGTTAGGATGCTTATCACAAATAGTGAGGATGTCCAACATTCTCTATTTCGATAGCCAGTTCTTAGCCTCTAGCTCGTTCTTCACGTTCCCAACTTTGGTTGTCAGCAGTTCTTAAGGTTTACAATTCTTTAATTTGTGACCAGTTTTTAAAAACTTCAGACCTGAAGTCAGAAATGCCATCACAGTTTTGCAGGTACCTTTGGGTGTACTCTTCGGGCTTGCGGTTGAAAATGGATATCAGTAATGTATAAAGTGGAACTTTAATGCCCCATAATTGTCAAACACAAATCTAAGTTCCTTGTGGTTAATCTAGAAGAATGCCATGTTTCATTTTTTTTAGCTTTTTTTGGTCTTTTACGATCATATTCCCTAAGTGCGTGCTCTAATATCCAGTGACATTCCAGGTTGAAGCCCGAAAACACTTCAATTACGCCAAATGTCTTGTATAAGTGACCTTGGTGGGAGGACAAAGGCTTGAATGAAACACATCTGGGTTGTCAATGGGACCCTTGTTTCGTATGCTTTAATAAGAAAACAAATGTGAGTTTATTCATGATGCAGTGTCTTTGGATCGACTGAATAAATGATCAATCTAGTTCTGAAATTTAGATTGGAGCAGATCTGCCTCTCAGTGATGCCATCAAGGAGCACTGTCAAAGGCTATGGTCTGACACCATGATGGGGATCTAATCCATTTTGAACCACAACATTAGGAGAACAGTACTTTAGGCTGCAGATGTCTAGGACTAAGATTCAAAAATAGCTTCTTATTTGCTGTGGTTTCCACAAGACGTGACAGTTGACTCTAAAGATATGTGTCTGGAGTTGTGACCTGGATCCCATGTGAGATGAGGAGTAGATTGGCTGACTGCTTTGTTGAAGATCGGTTTCTTCTGCACACACAAATCTGACCTTTAACTAGACATTTCATCTTCTCCCCCAAACACTTCATAGCCTCATACGTACATAAACCCAGTGCAAAAATCAGAAGCCATCTTATCTCTATCTTCTGCTCACTTCTGGCCTCAAGATTGACTTATCTTAAAGGCTTAGCTGCCTCTTCCATTTTCCCATTTATTTTTATTCTCACTGAGTTGTAATTTTACACTGCCTTACAGCTATTTCACCTACTGTTAATTTACCCTACACCACGCTTCAGTATTTCATAATCTATTAATGACTTGACCTATCTGTTCCTGTTGATTTCCAGCATATATTGTGCTTTCAACATACGTTTTCCGTTTTATATTAAATCCGGGCACGGTGTTTGTTGCTTCCCTTGGATTTTCCAAAGCTGTTGTTTAAGAACAGTTGATATAGATAAGCCAGATAATGGCAATCATTAACTTTAAATGGTTTATGATTAGAAATAATTCTTTCATGGGTGCCAGAATTGTTTTTTTTTTTTTTGAATTGGTCTTTTCAGCTTTCTTGTGCCTGATTCTGTTGACTTTGGGCTGTACATTGATCACGGCGCCTATAGCTCACAGGTTATTGGCCTCTTGGTTGCCATTGATCTTTTGGGTATGAAGGTGTGGAGGTTGAACTTTGACAGTCCATCTCCAAATTTAAAGCGTTTGATAGTACAGTAGTACTTAATACTAGTGTTAATTTTTTTATAAATTGCATGATTGGGAGTAAAATTAGAGGAAATTATACTTTCAGTGTTGGTCAGGTAGTTAGGCCTACCAACTGACTGTACTGGTTAATATGAGTTCTTTTTGCTGCCATGTAATCTTTAATGCACTTAATGGGCTTGGAATTTAATTAGTGAAATCCACTGGTGCTATTTATTGACAAAAGTTTTCTTTTCCAAATGAGCCATTTACTGTTTTGTAAACCAGTTCTAAATAACGCTGTAACCATTATTCCATCATTGCAGTTGTTTGGAAACTGTTGTGAAATACTGTAAATAACTTGGGACATTCAATTCACATAAAAATGCTTACGTCTGCTGCTGTTTTCAGGTACCCCGGAATTTATGGCCCCAGAAATGTATGAAGAACACTATGATGAATCTGTGGATGTGTATGCGTTTGGAATGTGTATGTTAGAAATGGCTACATCTGAATATCCTTACTCCGAATGTCAGAATGCTGCCCAGATCTATCGGAAAGTAACGAGTGTAAGTGTTTATTAGCATAATGAATAGCATTTTAAAGTGGGAAGTCTATGGTTTGTGATGTAGCCAGTAGATTTATGGCTAGTTTATGAGCTCTCTTTCCCCCCCCCTCCCCCCTGGTAAGTTTAAAAGCAAATGTTGCTTTCGATTCCTCTTGTGGGTATTGACATTTACGCACATTGCTTTTGCTTTCAAATGGATTTAATTTAGATTAAAAGGGAGGAGAACCAGTTTAACAACTTGAAGAAATGTTTAGTCAGAAGTCTGAGGTGTTGTCTGCTGTTTTAATGTACAGATACAAATTATATACAGGATACAAATTATCCTAATCTGATGTGATGGTGGTGGTGTCATTTGACTAGCGGCCCAGTTCCGCATTATTGTTTTCAAAACTAGAGCTCTGAAGCTCCTTGAGAACAGTTTTGCAGCTCTTCCATTATTGGAATATCGAATGTTTTAACAAATTGTCCCATTAAGTAATTTGTTTTGGCAGTGATGGCTAGACATGGCTTGTGGAGGGACTGCTTGATGGGCCAAATACTTCTAGTTTTTTTTGTATTCTCAATCTATTAGCATTCTTGTCAGTATTTAAAGGTAGGATTTGTCAGTATGTGAATTCTTCAAGTTTTCTTAGTTTTTTTTGTATCTTAATCTAAACTTAACTGCTTTGATGCAGCCTTTATCCATCAACATGGGCTTTTCAATCTCGATCAATATTATTGTATAGATGGAGGAAGCTGCCCTGTATCCTTTGTGCAGGCATGTTTCTCATGAGAGTGAACTCTTACTGGCTGACTCCCTACTTGCACACTTCAGCATCTTGGGACTCCCCCTGGCAATTTGCCCAACTGCTTTGTTATGCTCCTATATGTGTGTGTGTGTGTGTGTAGATAGTGAGTAAAGAATGCCAGGTCAGTCATATCCTGCAATTAATAAAGCTTTGCAATGCATTTGGAACTGCATAGGGTGCAATTCCTCTCTCTTCTGTTTGTGTGAACTAGTTGCCAGTTCTTTCACAGACTCGATGACCGTCTGCATGCAATGACGCAGAATCAAATGATTAAATCTATAAGTGTTGGTGCAGGCTTTGATTTGTGAGAAGCGAATGTTGTTGGCTTGGACCCAAGCCCACATGCTTGGCTATTGCAGTTGAAGCCATTATTATGCTGTGTGTGTGTGCTGCAGGTTTGACAAGATGAATAAACTATGCCTTTTGGGAATTATTAGCTGAAATATTTAATCACAGTCTGACAGAAAACCTGTAGAGGAACACAAAAGATTCTGGTATCTCCAGCAGCATAATGAATGTAGGGAGATTTCTGCCTTCATTATTGCCTTTTTTTGGCTGGAGTGCTTGTTAGTAGAAATTGGAATTTCTCCTTTTTTTTTTGGGGAATATAATTGCTAAAGGGGTGGGGAAGACGTTCATTTGCAGTGTCAGAATTGGGGTGTGGTAAATTAGTTGTAGGACAGCATAGCTGCTTGAAATTGATCCTGACCTCCAGAGCAGCCTAACTGCACCAGTGTCAAATGTTGTCTTTCCACCGTGAAAGTGATTGACAATTTGTGCAGGTTTCTGCAGTAGATTGTAGATACTAGTGTCAGGACTCTGATGGAAATAGAGACATTGACATCCGTCTCATTAAGGCTGACTGGATTTAAACCTAAATCCCACAGGTGAAAGCACAGCAGCCTAGACACTCACTACTAGGTTGTCTAGTTTTACCTGGGTGATGGAGTTGTGATCAGAATGTACAACTGCATCAATATGTGACATTCTCCAAAAACTCATTTATCACTGGACTATTAGTATAGCTCCTCACGGAACTATTCAAGTTGACTATTCTAATTGTTAATTGCAATGATTTCAGCTATAGTTATATTTCTGATTCATCTTTACAACAAATAATAATAATAATAACTTGCGTTTATATAGCACCCTTCACGCTGGACGGCACCTTGGAGAGCTTAGCACGCATGCTTACATATATAGTGCTAGGTTGGATTTAATCAGTAAGTTGAAATTGTCTATGCCGTGGAATTTCAAGTAGCTCTGTACTTGGGGGTCATCTGATAAATTGGAAAATGGTTAGAGTGTGAGACAGAAAGGATACAAGAATCCATGACTAATAATAATCTTTGCATTTGATATAGTGTGTTATCAAGTCATCGAGCCGTCTCAAAGTGCTTCACGGAATATACTGTAAAGTGAATTGACTGTATAGTTTGTGGGTGAAACGCAGCAGCCAATTGTGCACAGCAGTGTCCCACAAACAATTGTGGATTGAAGTGACCAATTTACTAAGCTTGAGTATGGGGTATTTCTGAAGCTTTTGCTCTCTTCACTCTTTCTTCAGTCATTTTCATTCGGTGTTATTGCAAGGCAGTGCCAAGAAAGGAAGGACCTGCTCAAAGGATTTGGTTACATCTGTGATAGTTTGAGGCAAACTGTTTTCATAATACTGAATTCAGTTGTGATATACGCTCATCTGTTCAAGCAACCGACCTTTGTTAAACTCCCAGGAACAGCCTAGTTTGCACCCCAATGACCCTTACTTAGAGGCCACCCTTGCATAAAGGCCATTTTGGCCCTGTCCCCTAAGAGGTTGCTGAAGACTATAAGACTGAAATAAATACTTTGTGAGATGATATTGGCTGAATCAAATATTTTCCAACATTGTTTTTGTTATTTAAGTTTACTAATGTTATAGAATCTGATTATTTCGCACTGCACGTGCACTGCACTTTCACATGTTTTTGCTATTATAAATGTCCTGGTGCGTTGCTTTGGTTAAACAATATCTTTCAGAGAAGCCTTTTGTTTCCTTCATATCTGCTGATTTTTCATGTTCTGCCAAACAGCAGTTACATTAATCAGCTTATGCCAGGATTTTAAAGAATCCACAAAAAAAAACCTTTGTTAGAATAAAAGTACAGTACTGAAAATTCAGTTATTGGGGGACTTTGACCATTGGCTAGAAGCACCTTTGCTTCCTTTCATAGCAGGTGCTTTCCAGGTAACGTTAACTATTGTCATTGACCTTCTTTGAGCACTAGAGGTCATTCATTCCCCTTGTGGCAAAAAAAATGCATTATCTTTGGAACCATTTGGCTCTGCACTCTGGTGGAGAAGAATTAGTGCTTGTATGTTAAACTGGAATGTACTGCTCTATTTTTCCAAGACTTTTAAAGTTTTAATTAATACTTGGCCACTCACATGTTTTTTTTAGATGCAGAGATTGAGAAAAGCCTATGGTCATAACATTAGAGTGATGACTTGAAACGGACTGTGTACATTGTCTTGCTTTGAAGTTCACCCCCGACAGAGTCAAACAGGTTCACATCCTAAGTTGTGTTGATTTGGCAGTCTCCTCCCCCACCCCACCGCCCACCCGATTTGAATCAAATGCAAGTTTTTTTAACTTTTTTTTCTCTCCTTTGACCCCACCCCCCTACACAACACAAATGCGCACACCCGCACAAAAAAAGTGCACGCACGTATTCGTGTACACAGTTAGGCAACAGACTTATGGCTTGCATCTGAAGCAGATGTGTTAAGATGCAAAGATTGAAATTTCATTTGGAAACAGCTTTATATCTCATACTGGCTCTTGTGTGTTTGTTGGCAGTATGACCTTTATTTCTTCTGTTTGGCATTTTGAATATTCCTCGTTTACATTTTAACATGCTCTAGTGCCAGGATATTCCTCTGCGGGTGGCATGTGATTTCCTTACTGCCAGAGGAAAATAGTTATCGCCCCCATCACAGCTGTTTTACCCTTCTCATGGTAAGCCATGACTTTTCATTTTTCTTGATATTCAGACAAACGTGGAGAGGCCACATTTCTACCATGTTCCTGATATAATTTCTTAATAAGGGATGGAAATTTCTGTGCTTTGTGTTCCTTTATTACAACTGTAAATTTCAAAGCAAACGCCTAATTCACCTATACCATTGAAGCGATCCAGACACCAAGTAATAGTCCATTTGGGACTCGATCCAAAATTAGTTCATTCTTGCATTTGATATTGTGCCTTATTGTCGGGAGGATGTCCCAAAGCGCTTGGCAGGATTTACTGAAGTGTGGTAACAGTGTATTTTTGTCTGAAGACTGCAGTTCACTTGGATCCAGAATATAGGGCAGTGAAAATCCACTTCACCTCTTTTCTACCCACTCCGCTTACCAAACAAAATGTTAATGTGTAGTTCTCGATCTGGCTGAAAAACCTCAGGACCTCATCTACCAGGAGCATTTGTGCAGGAAAAAGGACATTGCAACAGTACTTTGTGATAATGGCAGCATTTGACTTTAAATTGCTGCATTGATGCCTGGGACATGCAGTGAGCTTTAACCAGTAGAGTGTGTTCAATAAAAATTGACCTGGGTTTGCTTATTGATTTTTTTCTTGATGTATTGATTTCCACATCCCCCTTCCCCATTGCTGCTACAGGTTAGGTATTGTATGCAGGTTTGGGGGGGGGGGGGGGGTGCTGGTTGGAGATGCTCTTTGTAGTAATTTACATGTTAGATTTTTTTTGTTGGATGTTGCTGTTTACATTCTATGGAGGTTTTAATAGATTGGAGCTTGATGAATGTCATTGTTTAGAATTTTGAAATTCCTTCTTAGTTTGCCAAGCAAGTTGAGAATTTTCTTTGTAACCCAATGAATTTTATTTAAACTGATTCGCAATTGCGTTGAATCTATTTAGCTCGCTTGATAAGTTCAGAGCTGTGAGTTTTCTTTCAAACACTGCGTGGGAGCTTTTGATGTTAAGTTGCTTTTGGCAATCACGTAATGTTTTTAACCAAACTGTATTTGGATAACTTTACTGGACCTGCACAGCTAAATAGTTTTCTTTAATTTACAGGGTGTGAAACCAGCAAGTTTTGGCAAGGTCACTGATCCGGAAATAAAAGAGATCATTGGAGAATGCATCTGCCAAAATAAAGAGGAGAGGTTTGTAACAAAATCACAAACAAATGATCCATTGTTTCCATCAAATGTCATGACTGATTACTGTATAAGATTAACAAGACATCATTAAATATATTCATTGCCCAGTTATTCAACAAGATCTTGGATTGCTGTCTAGTGTTAACTTTTAAATGTTCAAATTTATATTTTTTGATGGTTAAGTGGTTAATCACCATAAATGGCATACAAACACATCTCCAGAAATTTGTAGCTTATAAACAAACTCAGTGGACTATAGTTTAGAAAACAAATGTTTTAAAACTTCAACTTTATTGCTGTAATAGATTAAGTTGGTTAATAAACATTTAATTCCACAGATATGCTATAAAGGATTTATTAAACCATATATTCTTTGCGGAGGATACTGGGGTGAGAGTTGAACTTGCTGAAGAAGACGATGGCCAAAAATCCTCGATAGCTATGAGACTCTGTGTTGAAGATGCTAAAAAGCTGAAGGGAAAGCCCAAAGACAATGGAGCTATTGAGTTCAGCTTTGATTTGCATAAGGATCATCCTGAAGATGTTGCACAAGAAATGGTACGTAACCGATACTAACGGTTTTGTTAGTGCTCTAATTGATCACGGAATTACAATTGTAACTACAATTAAGGCATAAAATAGCATGTAATGTGTGGTTGTAAGTTTAAATATTGCTTGTCTAAATATGGTACACAGTGGAGAATGTTAATTTGAGGTGTTTATATTGCAAATGAATCTGGTGACTGGAAAAATTAATGATTATTGTAACTTAATAAATATTTTCTATTTATTGTAAATCAGTGAATTCAGTAAGCCTGAATGAATTGTTTAATGACTTTCCAGATGAACAAAATAGATATTTAACATTTCCCCAAACGTTGCTGGTTTCTGATCTTTATTGACTGACACCGCAAATTGAGAAAGTTGGAATTGCACTGCGGTTAGTCATGATGAACGGATTTGTTTTACTTATCGATGAACGTTCTGTCTTCGGGTCTATGAAAACAAAGTCAAAAATCATTGAATCTAATGAGTTTCATTGTCAACTAATATTTCAGCCAAATTATTTTGAAAGTATGGAAACGGAACACAATATTTAAAGTATTACCATTTGAAATGAGCTTCAAGGATTGGTAGATTTGCTATGTCAGGTTCTATCGTCAGGCCTACCCCACGGCCTTGCGATAGCCTCAAACCTCTGGTTAAAATGGTTTGCTCACTATACTTCCAGGACAGTAATCTGAAATATAAGGTCAGGTACCAATGAAAATGCAACAACTGAATTAAGATCAGCCACAAGAAAGTTAAACCTCTTCCAAAGGTTATCTGACAAAATTTGCTGTCTCTGGCGTTGAACCATCTTAGTTTAGCTTTAGATTACGATAGTTTCACTAATGGGAAATTTTGTTCTCGATCCAGATTGATTTCTGTGCAATTTATCCTCTTCCGTTCACTTGGCCACAAACAGTAGCTTCATGTCAGCAAATTTTAGATTAAGTATTCTCCAACTACAATAATTTTATCAATTTACAAATTACATTACAAATTACTGTACAGGATTGAAATAGGCCAATTTGGCCCAACTTGGTTCAATATAAATAAATTGTAACTAGTTGGTGCCAGTGTTCCTATGTCACATGAGCATTCACCCCATCCAATTCTCTCTCCCCCTCCTCCCATTCTCCTCTGTTCATTCGAATGAATGTTGTAACACTTTGGTTGCAGATCGATTCAGGCTTTTTTCAGGAATGTGATTCCAAAACGGTTGCAAAATCGATACGGGACCGGGTTGCTTTAATTAAGTGGCGGAGGGAAAGAACGCAGCAGGCCAATGAGATTGAAGCTCAGCGAGAAATGGAGGACTTAGAAAAACAGAAGATTTCCGCACAGCAGCTTGGTGGTCCTCAGCCAAGCCAGCCCGTACCCTCGGAACCTGAAGAGCCTGAAGTTGACCAACATGTACATCCAAGCATGCACATTAGTGCCACTTCCGTTACATGCAAGTATAGCTATTTCTTCTCCCCACTGGCTTGGGGTCAGACTCCACCACTGTCAAGCGTACTGGGATGCTATCCCACGTGAAGGGCAATCTGTATAAATGCAAGTTGTTGTTTGTAATATTGAGGAATGTAATTCAGTTGTGTCAAAATGTATTGGAGGTTGTTAACTTTACCACTCTCCAATTCCGATTGCATTTCAGACAAAGAATACATTGGATCATATAACCAGATTCCATAAAATGCCTAGAGGCATAGGACTTTCTTTACATGAATTGGCCAGGTCCATTGGGCAAAAAAATTTCTCAATCAGCTGCTTAGACTAACATTGTTGTTGGGATCAGGCAGATGGCTTTTTCTAATTCTGTAAATTCCTGTGATCCCATTTCAATGCTTTTCAAATCATCAGAGGAAGATGATTTGAGACCATCTGAGAAAACGGTTCCTTATTTTGTCTTGCACTTAAGCCTATCTGGTTGCTAATGTGGCTAATAAATTTAGTTAGAAGTGTAAATGAATGTTAATTATTTATCTACCGTTTCTTTTATAGCTGACAGCACACTCGATAGTGGACTGGGGTCGGCACTTTACTCCGACTCTCAAGGCAGCCAGCAGAGTGCTGTGTACTCGTCCATTCATGAGCCAATGCCCCTTGGAATACACCAGATCTATAGCCCACCACAGAGTGAGATTCAAACGCCTTCCATCAGCTCCCATCATCTGTTGGGTCTCTACCAGCAGCCACCCACAGTAAGAGTTTTGTTTTTAATATGCTACTTTATTTTCCTGCAGAAATGACTGTCTTTGCACTACGGTGTAAGTTCTGATGAGGCTACAAGGTTTCAGCCAGTTATGAGTTTGGAGCAAGTAAGCTAACCGTTAAAAAAAACGACAATATAATTCAATTCCATGTTCAGTTAGCTGTTCATTAGTTGTTTTGCTAAACAAATATTTCTCTACGGTTCTTAGTTCCGTGCACGCTCCCACTTTGTTTTTTACAACAGACTAGATTGCACAACCTTTATCATCTTGCCTTGTGACAATTTGGGGAAAAAGGGAGTGGACTTGAAGGATGTCACTGCACAGTGGCTGACCTTCAATGTTGGCCAATCTGGGCTTTTCTGAGGTTGTGGATTTCACATGTATCCATGGCCATGAGATGTCCATTCATCTTTGTGAAAGCCAAGAAGATTAAAAACAACTTGCATTTCTATGGTCTCTTCATGCGGGGTAGCGTCCCGGAGCACTTAAAAAGATATCAGCACTTGTCAGGAGGTCCCTCCAAAATAATTGGACTGCATCAGGAATACTTTTTTTTAATATATTAAAAAAAGATTACAGGTAAGGCAATTACAGACATTATATTCTGAGTGTTCCCTTTAATGGGATCTATCTGCACAAATTTCCAGGTAATCAGTGTGGTCCCTGGCCATTTGCACAAAAGCATTTGATTAAACCCTCATTGGGCATGTTAGTTCAACACATTTCACTGTGAAAGATGGGCATCAAACCAAGTAGATCTAATTCTGTAGGTCCATCAATTTTTGTGCCCTGAATTTGTCACCGCATGCTCACTATCGGGTTCTAATAATGAGAACAAAGGAAGCTAAAAATACTTCCAACAAACTTGGGATATCTTACATTTGAAGTTAGCTAAACAGATTGTGCACAGCAATTTCCTGAGGCATTCCTGTTTCTGGTACTGCCTTCTCGAGTCTTTGTCACTTCTGGTATTCCACCAGTGCCACTTATGTAAATTGGAAAAAACAGCTATTTACTTCCAGATTGCTCTGCAGCATTTTTTGCTATCTATTCAGCATTCCATCCTCAGCCTCCTCTGGCATCCTGTGTGTGTGTGTGAGAGAGATATCCTCACATCCTCATGCAGTCTGTCTGATGTCATAAAGAATTCCCAGAAGCAATTAGTGTCCCGATAGTCTGATTGCAAAGTTTGACGATAAAAGCATGTTTGCAAATGTCTTGGAAACTTTATTGTTAAACTCTACTGGAGCTGAAGAAAGAGTGTGCCACCTTAAATTTCTTATGCTCCTTTGATATGTGTTTTTAATAATCTTGTTGCATAATTTAGATGTTACCATGTGACATTGAAGACACAAGTTTAAAATTAGAAAGGTGAGTCAAGAGTTGTGGGTAGGAGGGTGGTGACCAGTGTTGATGTTGCACAATGGAGTGGTAGGATGTGGGTTTCCCAGCTGATTCCCTAAATGGTGGGTTCTTGTTCTCAGTTGGCATTCAGAGGAAGAGCTAAGTAGAGGTTAAGATGCGCTCTTAAATTAGATGGAAGTAAAAATGGAGAACTTGTCATTGCCGTCCATACTTGTGCATCTTTTAATGGTCAGGTTACGATTGAATTGGCAGGACCCTAGGATCAGATAGTCTCTGTTGAAAATGGCACACCTCAAGTGTCAGCTTGGCTTTGCAGATCAATTGATCGTTCACATGTGGCTTTTAGGAGGACCTTGTTGGGACAGATGGCTACTGTATATTCTGTGAAGCGCTTTGGGACGTCTAGAAGACGTGAAAAGCGCTATATCAAATGCAAGGATTATTATTATTACTGTATTTGCCTAGGTAAAACAGCACTAAACTTACCAGCAATTAGTGTGAAATGCTTTGCAATAAGGTGTTATTAAAATAAGTTATTTCTTGCAAAACATGTAAAGAAAAGTTGCTGCTTTAATTTTGAATGAATTTATGAGCAATTTCCATTTAAAACTGATTTTAATTATTCTGGAATTCTCCATGTAGATCACGAAAAAACCTTTTTCAAATCCATTTTAACACTGTTTAATGAGGACTCTTTAAAATTGATTCCAAAAATGTATTGTAACAAAAGATGGTTAAGATGACCTGTGGTTGTGTCTTGTGGGAATAAAGCTCCCATGGCGGAGGTAGTAACATTTTAATAAGCCTGAGTAAAAGGTGGTTAGAGAAACTGAAGATGGAGACAGAGTAGCAGGGGAAAAAGTCAGCAACAGGAAAAAATATATTAACTATGCAAGGATAATCCTAGGGATGAGGATATATAGCTTTGAAATGTAGGGGTAGGTTTCCCTGGAACAGAGAAGGTTAATCTAAGATTGTAAAGTTGGACATTTAGGTCCATAAATCAGGATTATTACTGGAAGCCTTGAGGATGAATTAGAAGGGCTGCAAAAACATTGAATGGTTTGCCACAAGGAGCTGGTTGAGATCATAATTATTTAAAAGGAAATTAAATAAACACCAGGAGAGAAACTTCGAACGGAGGAGAGAAGTAGGGAATTTGCACTAAAGAATTTGGCTTCAGTGGAGTAACTGGCTCCCTCACAGCTCAATAGACCAAATAGGCCTGTGCTGTCTGAAGTGACACATTCTGCAATAATTTATTTTATCTAAATCTCAGTTGAGGACCTGCTTCCAAGATGGTCAGTCCAATATTTTGACTATATCCCCTTGGTTCACCTGAATTTAATTAGTGTTCGATTTATTTGAATGTCAATCATTGCATTGTTGGTGGTGGTTCTAGTAATGCTTATGTAAAGAGCAAGCTATGATGGATAATTTGCATGGTGAATTGTTTATCTTTAATACTGATGCAGTCGAACAGTGTTCTCCTTCAATTGTCGGGAATACATATTGTTAGATGTTCCCCATCTTCAGGCAGTTGAGAGACTGGTTTCTTTTTCACCATGTCCTAACTCTGTACTTCAGGCTTTCTTGACCCAAAGACGAGGAAGTACCTCTTTAATCGAAGCTCCGAAGTACCAGAGCATTCACCCGTTATTTAGAAGCTTGAACCAAAGTCCTTTGTGTTCAGTGCATGATGCGATTGGGCAGGAAGGACCGCATAAATCAAGTCCACATTTATCGCAGAGATCTTCCAGTGAATGTCCACAGATGCCAAGTGAAAAGTGCTGTCCTGGCTATTTTTCTCCTCTCAGCAATTTTGAGGCTTCATTTGTGAATAAGTGCACGCCATTAAACTCCGAAAATTCCTGCTACACTCGGCGGCACAGTGAATCCATAATCGCTCAGGACACTGTGAAAGACAATGAGCACATGAGCTTTATACATGAGCAGCAAGGCAAGAGCTTTTCTTACGGATCAGATGAAACCAACCTCAATAAACTAGGTCATTTAACACACAGCACCCTTTATCGTAGGTCAGCTCCCAATCAGCTATTTTCTCCTCCACTTCAAGTGACCGATTCCACACTACCTTTATGTTGCTGTCATCCAGTTAGTTTTATTCCTCGTTTTATCTCTAACCCATCTGCCAAAAGGTTAGTTTCTTGCTGTCTTCCACCAACTGCCCGTTCCTATGGCGACCTTTCAGACCTCTCTTTGTTGCACAAGTCTCTGCATCAGATAATAAACCAGAAGACCAGCTGCACCCTCCTGAAAAATGTAAAGGTGGCAGAACGTGGACAGCACTGGTCCACTGGCCCTCGGGGAGAGACACTTGTTTGTGGGGCTCCACAATTGTTTGATGAAGGGAACAGTAGGAAACATTCCTGGAACCAATCACAAAGAGAAAATGGTGAGCAATTGCTTCCAACCTCACACAGCAGCGTGGATGGTCCAACGGCTAAAATCTACAGTGACGCGGTAGGTTTGAACAAGTCTTCCTAGCTCTTCTTCCGGACCAAAAAAACTCAATGTGCTGCCCTTCCAGTAGCGATGTCGTGGCTGCATGAGAGAACATGATTTTTAAAATCATTCTTCTAGTTGAAAGATGCCCCTCTCTTACCGTGAAGCTTTTCCCTGTTCTGAATTCCTCACTTGGAAATAACAGTCATGTTCATTTTGAAGATCCTGCTGTTGACCCTTGGACTGTTCCATTTGTTTAAACTCTAGCTATAGCATATCAAATGTTCCTTGCTTCATCCCGTCAATTTCTATAATAAAGGAAACCATTTTAGTTGCTGCGAATGCACCATGGATTTGTTTCACACAAACATCCACTGATTATTGGGGACACCTGGGAAGGAAATTGACTAAAAAAAGTCAAGAATGCTCATATTATAAAGGCAATTATTAACTTTAAACTGCATGAAATCCCCTTCCTGAATGGAACTGAACTTTCCCAATTTTGTAACCTTATGTTAAATGTATTGCTCTGTTTAATGTTCTTCTTTTCTAAAGAATACTTGATTCAAATGTTTTAGTATGACTTTTGATAGTTTTCGGCATTTCACATTACTTTGTTTACTTGCATTAACGCAGATCAATCCTTCAAGAAAGTTATTAGCTGCTTATTTTCTCCAGTATCTTCACCATCTTAAATGTTAATCTGTCCGATAATTTCAGAGCAGTGGAAATGAGAACTACTCTTCATTTTTCTTCCAGTCTATTGATCTGCAATGTAATTTATAAAGCAGTAATGCTTTATGTAATTTGTTATAAACCATGATTTCTTCAGCAAGATGCTTCATGAGTGAGGATGGTGCTGTATTTCAAATGCTCCCAACAGTTAGCCTTGGTGTACCCATGGTCCAAGCCCTTTGTAGGTTTGTAGAGAATTTTTATCCATTGGTATGAATTCTGGAATGGGTGGCTAGTTGTGTATAAAGGTTTGATTGGAGGCTACTTTGCATGGTGAGTGAAAATGGTGTGTCAATCGACATAACCTAGCCCTTTCAGGCCCTAGTCGATAGTATGACTATTTTGTTGCCAAATTTAAGGCTTTGTTGCATTAGATTATTTAGTGGACAAGGCAGTTTTAGTGCAGTAATCTTGATTTTACAGGATAGTGGCGCTCAATCTATTGGAACGCTAGCAAACTTTGGGAAAGGATCAATTTCCTCCTGTTCTAGGCTGGGATTTCTCATTTGATGTTGAGGATTCAATATCTCAATGCACCTAATCTAGCCTTGGAAAGCCCAGCATATTTCCAACATATTTCTACTATTCAAAGCATTCTAAAGCAAGACAAAATACTGTAGAGTGAATTGAAGAAATGTCGCTTTGTTTTTTCTCAACAGCCCAATCCAATGGTACATGTCTCATGTTCTGTGGTGCCCCAGCAAGTCCATGAACTTGGGTCTCAGCAACATTACCAGCAGCCTGTGCCCCTTGCTGCAGTGCAAATAGTACAACCACAGCAGGTGAGCACCACTATGTGTTTTTACCCAACTTTGTCAGTATGTAACCTTGTTCTTCCCCTTTTGAGTGAAGTGTACTTGGTGTGCGATCCCTTCCACTTTCCTGACTTTATCTGTGTGTTTTCCTTTCTCCTAGTTGGATCCTTATTTCTGCGCTACAACATTCCATTTTCAGGTAGACGTTGAGTACAATTGCAGTTTCTTGTTTTGGTTCATGCTCTACGTGCAGTTGGCATGATTGCACTCTTAAAGTATTGAAAACTTTCCTTGCATCGTGACTGGGAGTGACTTTAAATATATGAACTTCTAGTCGTGTTTTGCGTAGCATTTCAATTCAGGAAACCTTTTCATTAACTTGTCTAACAGCAATATCTTTCTAGGGATTACCAAATTCTGCTCTCTCAGCTCCCAGTTTCCATTTCTCACTTGAATTATCCCATCGTAGATTGAGCTGGTCTCGTCTGTGATACAGCCACTGTCTTCAGTGTCTAGTGGTTTCATAACTTTGTTTTAGCCAATAAACATTTTATTCAATAAAAAAATCACGTCTCGGACTTCTGAAATAGGCAGTGGGAGCTGGAAGATGAGCACTAAGGTAAGGATGTGACTTAAAATGTTTAAAATAAGATGTAGTAAAATAGGACAGAAAGTTGATGGGGCAAAAGGACCCCAGGAAAACACAGGTAAAGTACAATTTTTTTATTGTGATTGGCATTTACTTTAGGATTAAATTAACCATTATAAAGGTCCATGCTAATGGAGAAACTCACTTACTGTAACTTTGTGTGTTGAGGCAGAAAACCAATGAGCAAACTGATTGAAATATCTGTCGACTCACTGGCAGTCTAAGGGTTAAAGAGGATTTTATTATTGTGTACTCCACGCCAACTGGAAATTAAATATTGGTCATGATACTCTATTGGTAATACATGCACTTTATAGGTGAAATTATCTGGGGGGGTAAAGGTAAGTCAGCTTGTATGAGGAGAGGAGGCTGGATGTGGCTTTAAAGCCGTACATGATGATTATTATTGTTTGGCTGTCTTAGCAGCCACTACCTGCAGGTCAGCCTCTTGTCCAGTCTGCTGTCCATCCATTGCCGCAGTATCCGGTTCAACAGCCACAGGTGCCAGCACAGCCATCCCAACCTCTCCTAGACCTCAAACCATTACAGATCTCTGCTGTACCACATCAGCAGTTCAACCAAGCAACACCCACTCAGGTAGGAAAAGCGTCTTGATTGACTGTTTTGCTGTTATCAGACACATGAGAGATTAGGAGGCCGTATCTTTGATATGATTCAGATTTTTTTTTAACCACGGTGACTTGAAAACTATTGTGACATGATTCCATTTCGCTATAGATTTGACAAGTAATTCATGGATTGTGACCTTGATTTTAATTTTGCAATAACCTCTTTTTAAATAATTTAGTTGACTTGGATTGCCATCAAGTCCTGATTAAGGACTTACCATGGCTTTACTAGATTTGGAGCAAAGGGAGGTGGAGGAAACCTTGTTAAGATTCATAAAAGGCATGTCTGCTTTTATTGCTTCAGAAATTTTACTCAGTTGCTGAACTGAAGTTATTTGGACTAGATTTCTTGGATTCAATGAAACTCCTTGGCAATTTTACCAGAATTGATTTGAGATGCATTATCCCTTCCTATCTGGGACATGTGATGTAAGCAGGCTATAAACTGGGAATGGCACCCAACCAAATCGTTTTCTACTACTTTGTAGTTTATTACTGTGAGGCATGTTCCAAATGAAATGGATTTGGTCTTCACAATTGCAAACAGGTAGTGAGTTGGTTGTGCTAATGTGTTGGAGAAATTGCTTTTGACAAACTGTTCTTGAGTCTCAACTGATCTGGGCAGTGGGTGCATTGCTTTGCCTTCTCTGTCTGCAGGAATTAAGTCGTCAAATCTCTGTGGGATTGCATGGCATCATGTATTAATACATTGTCCTTTCATTTCTGTCACCTGGGATGGACTCCCTGCCTGCAGCCTTGTATAAAAATCCTAAACAAAATGTAGTTAAGTTATCTCAATCCAGGTCCCTGTGGGTTCATGGTATGAACTGCATATAAATAGGCAATGTTATGTGGCAATACTATACATTTGGCTGGTGTAGAAAATAAAAATGACATTGATCCCTTGAGGGTTAAGGTCTGTTATTGGAATAGGGTGGTGAGCAATTCACTCTTAAATGTAGTTCTACTTAATCTGGAAGTCTAAGGTGATCCTATTGACAAAAATAATGAGTTATGTCCTCAGGCGAGGACTGACTTGAAGAGCTTCACCAAAACATGAAAAAACATGAAAGTTGCTAAAAACTCAAATGTACAATGCATCTCTGCCTTTTTTAAAAAAAAAATGCCTGTAAGTTAAAGTAAATGATTTTCCTTTTGTAAAGAAAACTGCAAATTGAACATGAAATGTCATGTTTCAAAAATCGTATCAAAGACAAACAGTGTATTTGTCAAATCTCTCTTATTGGAACACATTGATCCAGTATATATAATATGCTAGAGAATTCTAAGAATGGAAGCAGTTACTTGCCAAATTGTTTAGTGACATGATTGCTTATCGTTCAATCTTTTTCTGTGCCTGATTCGTTCATTCCCTGACTCCCCATCAACATGGGGCTCACATGAATGCAGTATGGGTTGAACATGGGACCTCTCTACAATGTGTGCTTCAGCAGCACATAATGTGGTCCATTTATCTGTTCAGCCATCAGGGAGTATTTATTCTGTGAAACAAACATTTGTGGTATTTGCGACCCAAGGAAATCTAACTAATAAGCATTGTGTGTGGATTACCAAGAAGCTACACAATGTTTACTGACTCCTACTCTTATCAGCTATTGGGGTTGTGAATCACAGTGAGATGATATTGAACACTAGACCAAAAAAAAAGCATTAACAAAGTTAGACTCTAGTAATTTTAGCGCCGATCACTTAAGTTTTGATTTTATCGAATACCGTCTCCAGGAGTTGTTGGATACAATGGTAATTGAATGCTCTGCACAAAGTGAGCTTCAATCCAACTTAATGCATTTATTTTAAAACAAGTACATTGTGCTCAATATAATCTTGCAAATTACACGAATGCTGGCTATTTTCCAGATGGTCAGACATCCTTCGATAGCAAATACTATCTCTAAATGTTTTGTTACACAGTACAGAAATGACTGGGTTGCCTGATAGCTTGGTGGATAAATGTATCTTATGGTGTGGAACTGAACTATACAGACCAGAAAGGCTCCATATTCAAACCTCGTGCATAATTAAGTAACCCATGTCAACATTTCTGTCTCAGTTTGTCTCTGCTTAATATGCATTTGCTTTCATTGAGGCGAGTTTCAGTATCCAGGCCATTTAATCCAGATTTTCAATTATCAGTATTGTTTTAAATGTATCCAATCTAGTAATCGTACCTCGGCCTTATAAAAGATTTATTGTAGGAATGGTTATCTGATATTCAATTCAAAAAACAACTTGGGTATTGTGAACTCGAATTAAAATTTATGCGTCAGGTTTTTACATTTGCTTTGGTGCTCAGAATCCAAATTTAGATATGAAAACTGAACTCTAATTTCCAGCGCATTCCAAACAACAAACGCCTATGATGCCTTCAATTACTTTCTTGGGTGGAGGGCGACTATTATGTAAATCTCTCCTGTCTGAACATTCTTTTATGTTTGTTCAGTCCAATTCTGTGCATTTTGCTTCATACTGAGTTTTGGGCGGCAAGGCTGAAATTCTGATTAACAGTAATACACAGCAACTGAATTAACATGTAGATATGGTCATTAAAGCCATGATTGCTGGAGCCTGAACTGCCTGTTTTCAAACCAGACTCTTGATGTGGGTCTCTCTGCCTCCAGAGGCAGCAATACTGCCTTGTTTTATTTGTGTTGCTGCCACCAAATGTAGAACTGCTGTGTTTGCCTTCAAGCTAACTACAGCAAAGAAATACTTAAACTTGGTTACTTTTGCTTTCATAAAAATAAACTTTACATGTTTGTTTGCCTCGATGCTTATCGTACATTCTCTCATTTTATTTGAAACAGCAATTTGGTCTTGTGTTTTGAACCCACAGGCATTTGCTTTGCTTATTTTCAATTTATTTTTTTCATCCTCAATATGATTGGAACAACAGCCACATTTGTTGAAACGTGTAAAAGTTTAGTTTAAAATTCTGCCTTACAAAAAGTGTGCACTGAGGTAAGATGAGGCCTTTTTAATGTGGAAGTTGGGACAAACATTTTGGGTCATAAAAATGAAATTGCAAAAGGAAATAATTGCAGAAGAATAAAGTAGAATTAGTTGGATTCCATTCTAAGGTGGTTGGAAGGACTATGTAATAATCCTTACATTTGATACAGCACCTTATTACGTTAAGACGTCTCAAAGCGCTTCACAGAATATACTGTAAAGTGAATTGACTGTATTTTGTGGCTGCAAAATGGATATATTTTTAGAATGAGTGGATTGTCTCAAGTTCTAAATATTTCCGATGGAATGCATCTGTATCAGGTTAAGTAATGATGGAATGTGTTAACCAAAATAAACACTTTTTTACAGATGATTATGCCACAGATTCCTTTTCAATATTCGGCTGAAATGGGAATCCCACCTCAAGCACACCAGATACCCATCATGCCAGCCCAGCCCCAAGTTTTGTCCCAGCCTCAAATCTTGTCGCCTCCTCTGCAAATCCAGGTCGAGACGACTCCAGTAGCTGGTACCTTCTATGTCGAACGAGGTATTCAAGTACAGCCCAGTTGTCTCCCACCTCTAGCTCAACAGCCCCAACTCGGACAGGACAATATTCCCCCTTCACTGAGCCAACACAGCAGAATTACTCCTCCAGTTATCCCCGGAACTACTGATGTTTGTCAAGATGTATATGTAAGTTTTTATGCTGCTGGAATGGATTTTAAAAGCCTGTAGTTCACAATTGGCACATTGTTTTCTCTTAACCAGAATTGTGAGTCCTGGGTGGTATATATAGCTGTTACTTCCTTCCCACCATCCCTATAGCTTCTCTAAGTATGAGGGGAGATGAGCAAACCTATTGATGGGATCTCTTTGAATCTTCATAAATCTGCTTGCCCAGTGGATAAGAGTGGAAATATTTTCACTCTTCAGATTTCCCACCTTCGCTATGGTGAAGGATGGTGTTGATGCTTGTTCTTCCCAATAGAAAGTTACTATCGTGGCGAGGTTGGCAAATCATTTGGGAACACCAGAGCAAATCTACCACTTGGGCACTTGTTATTAAGGTGGGGACTTCATGGGGCAAACGTGCAATATACAGATGTGCCAACATTTCTTATGTTTAATCAACTATGATCTGCATTCAAGGGAGGAACTGAGTAGTTAAACAATTGTTTCTCCTTTGATCTCTGGGTCCTGACTTTGATTTAAACCAGGTGGACATGAACATTGTTTTAAAATTATTTTTATTTTTTTTAAAAATTGAAAACATGAGAGGATTTTTTTTCTCGGTTGTAACTTAAACAGCTATTGTTTGTACAAACAGGACCATCATCATCAGCAAGATAAACTGTCTGCACCTTGTACTTATGGTGATGGGTAAGTCATATTGTGGTAATGTCCTTCTGTTGTCCTTCATTCATTCAGGATGCTTAAGAAGAATCCCATCGATTCTGCATTTTGAAGGAAATGCAGAAATAACGCACAATAGCAGAACACTATTGTCATGGCTTTTCTTCCCACCTCCAGTAGACCATGTATATAGCTTGCATATATGAGCGTAATTGCTGGCAGCTCTATTCCAGCATTGGATGTTAGTGAGTGCAAGTTGCAGCCTTAAGCTAGGCATCCATTAAAGCTATATTGCTAAATAAATTGGATATTCTGTCCCAGCAAGATACTTTCTAGTCCTAATGCAATCCATCGCCTCATTGTCCATCCTTTATAATGTTGGCATCAAGCCTTCTTGAGTAAATAATTTTAGAAAGCTTCTTGAATTTGAACAGAGGGAAAAGGACAAAGTGACACAGATAAAACGCGGATTACATTAGGTCCAGAATGAAATGTAAAAGAGCCTGGAAATTGGGAAGATTTGTTTCCCGGATGATGTGTTGATATTTGATGTCATCTGAGGATGAATTGAGAATTTCTTGGCGTTCAAAATGAACAAGACAATGTAGCATAATTGATTTGTGGTGCAGATGGACCTAAGGTGACCCTGACTCTGGTTTTGTGAATCTTTCCCTGCAATCAGAGTGTATTCTGACGCTGCTTCAGGCAAGGAGATGAGTGATGGATACGAAGGCATTCACAGCAGTGGGAAACAGGAGAGCCGAAGTTCAAAAAAGCACCACAGGAGGTCAACTCGCACCCGCTCTCGTCAAGAGAAGACCAGCAAACCTAAGCTGACTATTCTTAATGTAAGTGTGAAAATAATTGTGCAAGAAAGCATTACTTGACAACTTAATAAAAAAAAGTGGTCGCTTACCCTATGATTGTGGGACGCTGCTGTGTGCAATTGACTGCTTTTGCCTGTGGCGCTTTCATCCACAAGCTAGTCAATTCACTTTACAAAGTATTTTGTGACGCGCTTTGAGTTGTCTCAAAGACGTGATAAGGTGCTATATCAAATGCAAGGATTATTATTATTGTTAATTGATCAATTCAGTGAATTAATTCTAAGTGTCTACGTTTCCTGCAGGTGTCCAATATTGGAGATAAAATGGTGGAATGTCAGCTAGAAACACACAATCACAAAATGGTCACCTTCAAGTTTGATTTGGACGGAGATGCTCCTGATGAAATAGCATGCTACATGGTAAGCTTTAAAATCCTATGTGAGGTGAGGCCCACCTATCGAATTGAAAGAACAATCTACTGAAATTGTACATGTGGCCAGCAACTGGCTGATTTCTCATTTCCCTTGCTGTGGACTAAATGGAAATTAATTTTGAACAGGTGGAGAATGATTTCATCCTGGAAACTGAGAAGGAGATCTTTATCGAACAAATGAAGGATATAATTGACAAAGCAGAGGATATGCTTAGTGAATATACAGAGGGAGAAAGAGCCTCTGAACAGGGTATAAACCTTCAACAAGCTGTTGTCAGGTCGAATGCTGAACGTGAGGTATGGAACACTTTTTCTCATGCTGTACATTTTGATTTATATTGCATTGAGCCAGGCAGTTTCGCTACCCATTAGTTTTCCCTTAGCTCTTTCTCATACTATTACATGAAGCATATTGCAGTTTAATTCAGCAATTGAGAATCATTTCATGATGATTCAGAGCTGCAATGTAAAGCACAATTTGGATATTTTTTAGATTAGTCAAAGGTTCAATGGGCAATTTCAAACAAACTTGTATTGTGAGTTATTAATCATTCTGGCAAGCTTACTTGGATTTCCTATTGATTTGGTTTTGCATCGTGACTATTTTATCATAAGAAGTGTGAAAATAATAACTTCTTTTGTCTCTTTCACCAACCACCAAATATTTCAGAATATATTCAGAAAATGTTATTAACCTGTCAACTTTTATTAGTACGAATTATTAGTGCACTGGCTTTGATATTGTTTGGGTTTTCTTTGTGTGGAAATTGGTTTGACTTGAAAGATGAGTTGCCTTGAGTACAAATAACTTTGTAATTAGATTATAAATTATAACCGTAGTCTATTTATAGTATATTTACCTGTCCTGTCTCCTTTGTGTGTGTCCCTTCTCTTGTTTTTCCTCCCTGTCCCACTTCTGCAGGTTCAAGCTTTTCAGCAGTGCCAACAGAATGGTAAGCACGGTACTTTACCTCTTGTGCTAATGAACCAAATGCATGTCTTTGTTCACTTGGAGTGCTTTACGATGTTGCAGGTATGCTGTTTAAAATGTGACTGGCCCACTAAAAGGTTTAAATTGTAGAAAGGTGAAGTCAAATATGAGCCAGTCCTGCTTGGATCTTATCCCAGGCAATTAGTGGTGGTAATGATGGCCATAAAGTCTTGGATTGTAAGGAATATACCCTCCTGATTGATTGATTAGGTGGGGAGGATGATAAATAGTGGAAAGTGGGGGAGAAAAAGGAGTTGCAGAAAAACTTTAATTGCATTGTAGAAATAATCCCACACCCTTCATACCTCGCACACTGGGTTGAGATGTTCAATACGACGGATCTTCAAATCTATTCATTGCTTCTGTTGCTAACATGTGTATGTCCCCAGCCTCTACTGTGGCACAAAATGTGAGATAGAAATTGCCAGCATCTAAAACCCTCTAATCAACATTATTTTGCTTGTCCACAAAATAGTCAATCCAGTATATTGTTACAGTATATCCTGTGAAACGCTTTGAGATGTCTCAATGACACGATAAGGCGTGATAATGACCTCAACCATCCTATAAAGTCTTATTTGACGAGCATAAAAATGATGCCTAATAAAATCCTTACATTTGATACGTAGTGCCTTTCTCATAGTGAGGACATCTCTTAAGCAATTCACAGGATTCACCGTAAATTGTAATGAATTTTTGTAGGTGAACAAGGCAAACATTTACACACCACAATGTCCTACAAACTGACATTTAATCTCATTAGTTGAAGTGTGATTTTGTTCAATATTCTCTCCCCTAAGTGTAATGGGAAAGGTGAAGCATTTGGGAGCCTGACAATGCCATGTTTGCTACAAGGATTTAAGTCTAGAATCCTGCATGCATCTCCCAACAACACACTTCAATTCTGGTCCTTGACTCCGACTAAAGTAAAGTAATTTGATTGAAGTTGCTTTGTGCTGATGATAAAATGCCTTAAACTCTAACTCACTGTTTGTTCTTCATTGTCATTAGTATTGCATACTGGCCGAAGGTGGTTTATCATATGTCCAGTCGTGGAAAATCTGGCAACGAAGATGTCGGCAGAAGTTGCTTCAATTTTACCACAGTCGGCTCCTGTTGTGGGTATGAAATAATTATTCCTCCTACCCTGGAGATTATACACTTGCAATTGAAGTGGAAAAAACAATTTTTACTGCTTTTATTTGGTATGGAAAGGAAACAAAATAAATGATGGCTGTTTGCAGTAAAATGTGAGATAGAATTTGCCAGCGTCTAAAACCCTCTAATTAATGGAACAATATGTGAGGTTTTTTTTGGCTTATATACAGCTGTTCAAAGAAATTCTAGCTCCCCTGAGAGCTGAGTTAGTGGATCTAGTGTGTAACTGAGTTGTTTAGACTCTGAAGTGAAATAAAAACAGCAAATGTTAGAAGTTCAGCACTTCAAAAAAGCAACTGAAAGAAGTGCCACTTTTACTTTCCACTTTCAGATGTTGTTTGGCTGCATCTCCTAATAAACCTATAATAATTCCAATCTTCATGGTTTTTCTTTTTAAATCTCCATGAGAAGATCATGGGATCCATCTCCATTCTGTTCTGAGTTAGCTGATCACATTCGAGAGAGTCATGGGTACTTGTGCGTGGGAGGGGGGAGGAAAGAGAAGGACAGGAAAAGGATTCTCTCAACTCATGGTTATCTTACAAAAGGCTGATGAGAAAGCTGCAGAAACTGGATGGTATCTGAAACCACACCAGCAGCATCAACACATTTTGGGAGAAAGGAAACTGAAATCCAGACTCAAATGTGAAATGGGTGAAAAAAGTGTCTTCCTTGTGGCGCTTCGAACTATAATATTCCCAAGGTTATCACTAATGCAAAGTTTTTTACTTTCACTTTTATACCCTGTGTTTCAGAAGGAGAAAATGGAACTGATGAACAGCAAGTAGACTCTGTGGCTGTACAGGTCTCGTCTGCTACAGTTAAAACTCATGATGGTCCCTCTGGCAACAATGCTGTCCCTCCACAATTGGCCAGACTGCCTTCTGTAGGGTCACCAGCAGATTTTGCCGCTCCCCCATCAATGCTCCCTGGTCTAGCCACTCATGCTCAAATAGAAGACGAGAGTGGTTGTCGAGGGCAACCGAACATTCAGCAAGTTCAAGACGGATCAAATGTTTCTGTTCAAAGTCCGCTTCCAGCGCAGGAATACACTCCAATCCTGTCTAATGCAGTCGGCCCACAGCAATCAGGACAAGAGCAAGTTGATCAGCTTTACAGCCCTCCTTTGGTTGTGGATGTGCCCTGCTCAGTTCAGCCTGCCCCTGTGCACTCAATACCTATTCAGAAAGAACTTTCATTTCCTTCTCAACCTGCCGAGCCGAGTCCAATTCACAGTGCGGTCTCGGAGCATCAGCTTGTGCTGCAAGGAACTTATGTGCCTGATGGTGCTCCGCAGCCTGTTATAATGCAACAGCCTTTTGCAAACCAGATGCAGTCCACAGTGGGCATTTCTGGGACAGTCAACAGTACAGGTGGCTCGCAGCCCCAGAGTCCCGCACAAGTCGTTCCAGGTGCGCTCCAGCAACACCCAGCACAAAGCCAGTCTCAGTCCATCACTATGACCGGTGTGCTCGGCAGCCAGCAGCAGCTTTCCCTTATGGTCGAGTCAGATGGTGAAGGTCCGCGTAAGGTCGAGTTTGTAGACAACACAATAAAGACCCTGGACGAGAAGCTGCGTACGTTATTGTACCAAGAACACACAGGCACTACTCCTGTTCATCCTGCTCCAGGGTCTTCTGATGTTGCTTGTGCAGCAGAGCTGGGTGGTACAGAATTGGTTTATTCTGATCCCCACGGTGAAGTCCTTAACGCAACACATGCCATGGCCGTTTCTGTGCAAGATGTCATGGATATAAGTTCGCCGATGGATTCAGGTTTACCAATCGCTCCACTTTCCGCCAAGGAGTCACTGTCAAGCTTGCCCATTGAGGCTGGCATTGAGGCAGAAACGTCCAGTCAGGCTGTTCTTGGCAAAGTTCTGTACCGGCAGGTGTTGACACCAATATTAGCTGTGGACAGGGACTCTATTTTGGCTTCAAAAAACATGACAACCATAGAGTGTGGATCCACTGATCTTGATGTAAGTTTTTTTTTCTTCAGTACAATGTTGTCAGCAACGACTTTGCACATCAGTTTGCTATTGAAATGCAGGAGTTCCATTTTTCTAATTTAGAATAAAAAAATTGGAAAGTAAAGGCCACTTGGTCTCCTTGTGTTAGGTGCCACATTTCTAAAGGGGCATATCCAGTGGGTATAACTTGATTATAGGTTGTGTTTAAGCTTGAAACATTGAGGAAAGTACAGTACTCGTGTTCCTGTGTCCCTTCATTCATGTCAAATGGGTTTTATTTGGGCCTGGTAAGGATGGTAATGTGAACATCAGATTTAATACACAAATATTGGGTTGTTTGGGGCTACTGGGATTTTGCAAATTTCAATTCTTTTATCCTGATTAAAAGGTTTAAAGTTCAAATTAACGCAAATAAATTAAAGATTAAAAAAAATACTTTGAGGTATAATGTTGCACAGTGCGATGTAAAGGCCCTTCAGTTGTTTAACCTCATCCTTAAATTATTTAAAAACTGTTCCTGCTTTTACCCTCCAAGGAAGATTAGTTCATTGTCAAATCATAGAATATCATCATGATGATGTAATTTTGCGATAAAAACAACCAATTCTTAATACGTTTTGACCTCATTCAGTGCCTTGTTATTTGCGATAAGTTTGAAATTTATTATTTGAATTCCTAAAAAAACCTATTTTCTCACCTTGCTGCTTGAATCCTGAATCTGGTGGTGAATGGTGGGTGCAGCTCAGGTTATTTAAGGCTGATTATTGGCCACTAGCTTATTAAAGTCGACAGTCTTGCCTTTTAGGCATCTTATGTTTTATTTTTGGAAAGTTCAATAGTCCTGTTCTAAAAGAATAGTCAAGTGCTTTTAGTGTTTGTTTTTTTAAAAACCAGAATCTAATCTATTCCTGATCTGTGTCAGTTAATAAATGTGCATGACCTCAATTTCTATTGTTAACACAATTGTGATTGCAAATTCTATTTCAGGCAAAAGTGATCACAGAATAACTCTTGTAACTTTAGTGTTCGTAACTTCAGTATTATTTCAGATTACACTTCAAATGATATAAATACGAGAGTATCCCGGCATTGAACACCAATGTGTAACTTGTGATTCTTGTGAATTTTATTTTACATAGCTTTCTGACATTAAAAAATCTGATACAACACTGAGGGTAAGAGCTGGGTTCATGCCCAGGCACTCATTAAAGTGAGCCCTATTACTTAAGGAGAAATGGTCAATTCTCTTGAAGGAAGGGAAGATCTGGGAAGCCAACTTTGCCTTTGTGTCTCTTGCCCGGTTTCAGTTCCTGGTTATATAAGCTTTGGCACCAGAGGCCTGGAAACAGACCGTTCATTCGTAACTGGGTTTGCTTCAAAACCATGGTGGGGTGGGGGAGAGGGGGGGAATGTTTATAGCATGAATAAGTAAAGATTCAGTAAAGCAGTGTGTTGAAAAAGCAAGCTTGTTGAAGTACACTTGTAGGTGTGTGCATATTCTGTTTAAAGTCAAAACGACTCGCACATCTCGCTAGCCATTGAGCTGAATTGAGTGTCATCTGTCACTGAATTGCTTATTAATTGGCATTCTATTCTGATTATAAATTTGGTTTTGTTTAGCAGAGTCAAACGTTGGGGACAAATGAGGGTTTGGATAGTTGTATTGCACCAGGGAATGGAGCACTGTCTGCAGGAACATCGATCTCTGACAAAGGTGCGTTCGCCTATACTCTTAGTTGTATTCTTTTCATTTTAAACATTTTCATGTTTGTAACACCCACCATTTGACATGTAAAGATTTACTTTGAAGAATGCTTGGATATCTCTTATGTTGTCTGTGGAGTTAATTGAATTTTTTTGTCATTTCAAGATACGATTATCAGAAGATTTCAAACGTGATTCTAAATGTTATTGACTTATAATTTTGAAAAAATTTAAAATATAACAGCTCTAACTATCCTTGTGTTGGCATTTTTCAGTCAGTGCATCGGATGCCAGTGGAGCAGGATCATCTGATAAGATATTTGTCTCGTCTGCAATGAGTCTGCGTCCTCTGGCAATAAACCGATTTCAGGTGCGTGTTGCAAAGGATTTCAAACTTTTTCTCTGAAGTTAATCTCATGGGTGTGTGATTGTTTCCGAAGCCTTGTCAGTCTTGTTCTTCCGGGATATGTTATGGTAAGTGTGAGGTGGGAGAAAACCTGGTCAGAATAATAATTCTTGCATTTGATGTAGCGCCTTATCACGTTGTCGAGACGTCTCAAAGCGCTTCACAGAATATATTGTAAAATGGATTGACTGTATCTTGTGGTTGACAAAACGGTCGTGTCGGTAGCAGACCATAAATCAACCAAATTTCATGCTGTAATACAGTCTCAAAAAGTAAGCGCTATTGCATGCAGCATGAATGGTTATACTAAACTGTGATAATGTCTGAGGCCCACTATTGAATGACCTGCTGCTGCTATGAGTGACATTTTCCTAATCTGTTTTAGGTCTTTCCAACACCTCAAGATATTGTTAAACAAATGGAGCAGTACGCAGCAAGCGAGTCCAAGCCTCGCGAAGCAGTAACAGAGACCACGTTAGTAAATGGCGAAGGAGGTGCAGGTCAGGAAACCATGACCAATAAATTACTGACCATCACAAGAATTAACACCATTGGCCGGTTTTCAGTGATCAGTACGCAAGACGAAGTGGCTTTAAAATCCTTCAACAGATACTCCGCACCTCCTGGGCTGTACCCAAGGCTTTCTCTTCCAAGCCCTGAATTCAAGCCTTTGGTAACGAGAACACAGACCTCTGTTCCTGAGGAATTTACACTTCACAGCCCACTTTCTTCTGACTCTGGTGAAGAAACATTCAGTGCAAAAACCAGAGTCATTCAGGCATCGGTTGTTTGCAATCAGGCGAGAACAGCAGAAGAGCTTTCTTTCACAAGGAAATTGAGCAGTTTATTAAAGAAAATTGATCGTGTTGATGTGCAGAGCCCTGAGTCAGGAAAAGGCCAGGATCTGGCTGCTCCGGCCATAGTTATTAATTCCCAATCTTCCTACCTGAGCAGTGACAATGATTCTGAGTTTGAGGACTCTGACATGAAGAAGGAATTGAATACTCTACGAGACAAGTGTGTTTATTCAATGTTTGGGTTCAAGCATTCTTTGATTTTCTAGTGTATTAAATGGTTTGGGGTCAAAATCAAGACCGCTAACCAAAAATATTAGGTTGTCATTATCTTTGATAAAGATAACTGCTGCAGTTATCAGAGTCTTACCTGTTCAGGTATTGAGGACACATCTGCTGCTGCCTTGTAAGGCTGCTTAGCCTCTGAGCCCCACTCTTTCTCCCCAGGATGTGGTACTCGTTTTATCAAATTTGAAAGGATTGAGTTGAACCCGATCCACTGGGTTTAAACCCAGAAACATTAGTGCTATCTGTCCACTCCCTCTGCTCCGCAGGCTTCGGCCTGCCCCACCGTCGGCGGTCAGGCCCTCAGCATTTCTATCCACCAACCTTTGGAACTCCATTCCACAGTCCCTTCGTCTTGCTTCATCCCTTGCCTTCCTTCAAGCCACGTCTCACCTCTTGGACTGCACTTCCTTGCCCTCCACCCCTCCTGATCCCATTCCCCTACTCAGGCCCAAATCTTTGACTGTCCAGCGCTTTGGACCTCCTCCCAACGTGAAAGGTGCTAATGTAAACGTCATTTGTTGTTGCTAAGTTGGATATTCAATTAGCAACATACTTTTTTTTGTGAAATTTAGCTATCTTTGAGTTTTTCTGTTGGTTTATGTGAACACATGTTCAGATGTTTTGGTTGAATTAGTCGTACATTTTTAATAGCTTATCGGGTTAGCATTAGCAATTTGTTACACGGTAGTTTTTTTGTACAGTATCGTGGATGTTAAAGACCTGACCTATTTTAGTCTCTTTCTCAGACACATGAAGGAGATCTCAGAACTTCAAGCTCAGCAAAGGTTTGAGATCGAGGACTTGTACGAACGTCTGGGGAAACCATTGCCAACAGCTTTGGGATTCTTGCAAGCTGTGCCACCTACAGGCAGACGTCGGAGAGCCAGCAAGAACAAGCTAAAAACTAATAAGCTTCTCAATCCGCTCGTGCAGTCACTCAAGAATGCAGCCAGCAATACAAGTGAGTGCGCGTATCTCAGTTAGCCAACAAAGTAAAGCATCTCACCGTACATAATACTGTTTCAGCTGTAGGTATCTCTAAAAACAATTGTATTTACCAAAATAACTGTGTGCCATGTACTAACTAGTGCTTAAAATACCCACCCTACACTCTGCTAAACGTGGCAAAGTGCCAGTCATCTCTGAAACTAGACCCCAATTTCTTGAAGCTCGTCAATGGATCACTAAGAACACATCCCTTCCTGCCACTCTGGTACAGTAACTCAGCTCAATGTATTGCTTTGATATTGGACTTGATGACTTTTCTTCATCTTTCAAATAATGTGACGTTTTCAATGGACTTCACGGTGGTTGTTTCCTATAGGTTTTCAAGCTAATTCCAGCATGGCTGCAGTTCAAGATACCTCTAGCACTTGTGATACAGGGGAACCTCTTCCCTCATCTCAGGCTGTGCAAACCCAACAGCCGTGCTCAATCAAGTCCTCCTTATCATCTGACAACATTTATTCCGGCTTCATTAGTGATGGTTCAGGCGGTACACGGGCAGGTGTTGGTCAAGGTAACTATCTTAACGCTTTAACTATGCGGAATCTATGGAACAGGTTTTTTTTTCTGGTTGTTGCAAGTCTAATACACCTTAACAGAGGTGTGCACAAGTAGATAGCAATTTTTTTTAAGATGGAAATACAAATGCATCGGACCTTGGTAGGTTTTTTAATACAACACTATGTTGTCTTGTTTTTTACCCCACCCCCCAATTAAATTTAGATACTGTAACATTTTAAAAACACGTAGAAATGTTGGAATACCCTGCAGGATCCCCCATATATATTTTAGTATTTTTCTCACTCTGAATTGCCTGGTATCTTTTGGATTGTAAGAGAGCAGTCCAGGTCTGAAATAGTTCTATAATTCCAACACTGCTTTTGAAGGCAGTGTACCTGGAGACTAGTTTCATTGAGGTGTGAAGGGATTTCACCAGTTTCCTTTGTCTCCACTGAATGTCTCACCAAACTCAATGGGAAGCCTGTATGGGAATACCATTTGGATGGGATTTTGAACTCTTTGGGAATTAAACACACTATTTTTTGTGATTTTTTAACAAAAAAAGCCCTTTTCATTTTGTAGTATTTACTGACAAACCTGAATCTTCCATATTTACATGTAGGAAGGAGAGGTTCTCTGAGACTAAAATGTACATGGATTCCTTCATTCCAATATCTTTCAATACTTCCACATTCTGAACCTTGCACAAAAGCATGCAGACTCATTTTCCTGGCATTTATGTTCAGATAACCACTCTGGTATGACTTACTAATTTCTCTCCATTACACATCATCAATGCACGCTTAATCACGCCAGCCATATTTTTTTTTTTTTTTTTTTTTGCAAGGTCAGGCAAAGAATTGATCAGTGGTACATATAGTGAGAGGACAAATTGCAGCGCTTTGCTTTGCAGGGGGGTGGAGGTGTGCAGGGGTTGCCTCCCCTGATTTTCCACTTGTATGTCGCAAAATCAGTTGAAAGAGAAATACTGCATGTGCATGGAATTTTCCCTCGACATTTATTTATCCAACTGCGACTCCATATGTATTGCGCTTCATATCTGTTAGCACCTTATCAATCACCACAGTTGGTGTATTATAGAAGCCACAATCTACCAAATACTGTGTTCAGAAACAATAAATAAAGTCGATATAGAATCCTGCAGCACAGAAGGGCGCCATTTGACCCATCGTGCCTGTGTCGGCTCTTTTTATATCGCTATTATTGATTGATACAGATCACCTATTTGGCACCTGTGGATTAGGAAGTGCTGTAACCCAGTCATAGCCCTTCAATACATCAGATTTTCCAGAATTTTTGACATGAACATACATAAATTTGATCTTCCAGATAAAGTCACCAGTTTCGGATTACGGATCTCACTCACTTTTTGAATGCAAGAAGTACATAATTCTAGCAATTTTGACTGCACAGGTATCATAAGCATTTTGTGCTTCAGAAACCTAACCATGTAATTGATGGTTTAAATCACTAAACCTACTTCCAAATCCTTTTGAAATTGTTGAGATAAATGTTTTTGAGTTAAGAATGTACTATTTTTACTTTTAGTTTCTTATCCCTCACTTCACAATATTTACACAAACTCGAGTCACTTTAAAGGGATTTAATAGGGTGCATATTTTTAAAACCAACCAAACCCAAAACATACATACAACTAAGTACTTCAATATTTGTGCTGGATTCTGCTTAATATTTTTGCCTGGTTCAAAGTTTATCTGTTGAACTCTTTTTGCTTTGGACACGCTATAAAACTTGCTATTAAAAGTGGCTTAACATTTGCAACCCCTGCTTCAATGCTCCATAAGAACAATCCAGTTAATTACTTTAAGATCAAAGGGTAATGTAGAAAATTTCCAAGACAACTTCTCTCCCCCACACCCTCCCTCCCGATGTTAGAAATGCGAACTAAATTGACAGAGGTTTTTCGATCCAAATGGAACACATTTTGGGATAAATAGAAATTACATTGCATCGCAATAAACACGATTTAAAGTTTCCTTTAATTCCTTTTCATTTGAGAATTAAATGATCAAAGAAAGGGCTGAATTTCTACCAGGCTTTATTTTCCTCTTCACATTGGGTATAAAATGTATTGTGCCGTCTGTACATTGGGCATTTAAAATTCATTTTTTTAAAGAAAAAGTAATCATCTTGCTAACATTTTCTACCAAATTTTAAGTTTGATAGCTTAATAGCATATTTTTCCCCCCCCCATAAAATTTAATTTGTTTTCAAAAAGGCAAAGAGAAGCATCAAAGTTAAATTGATTTGAATTTGTTTTTTGGGTGCTTATGTTATCCAATCTTTCGAAACTATATTCTATGGGAGTATGTTTCAAACCTTGCATATAATAATAATCCTTGCATTTGATATAGCGCTTTTCACGTCTTCTAGACGTCACAAAGCGCTTCACACAATATACTGTAAAGTGAATTGACTGTATATTACATTGGCTCCATATCCCCATGGAATGCACATGCCTTTTAATAATGTACAAACAGTGATGTTTTGACAAATCTAGTGCAATTTTTGATAGCATTTATAACTTTTGCAATTTGTCCTGATGAAATATATGGTCAGAAATACAAACCGTTTGTAAGTTGCACATTGGCATATTAGTTCTAATGTCCTGAAAGCTGTTGGGAAAATGCTTGTGCAAAAGGATGTTTATCAAGACTTGTACTGTTTCTAAAGTGAAGTTTAGTGTGCATTTCCAATATATTAAAATATATAATACTGTACAAGTGATTGATTTAACTTTTCTGGTCACTGGCTATTTGTGCATTGTGGTGCCTTTCAGTATATGGCAATTGAGAGTCTGCTATAAACTAGTATCTAATGTTGAACAAAGCTGTCATATCCAAACTGTTAAACGTTAGCACTGTAAATAACGAGAGTGCAATGGTGCGTTAACGTTCTTTCTTAGCTCCATAAGGTTCAAGTTTACACATGTCCTGAGCTTGGCCAGGCTGCTGGAAATGCTGAACAAAAGTAAGGTCACAAAGTAGTCACCCTGGATTGCACTTGTCCATCCCTTGCCAAGTTGCAGAATATTTGCTTATTAACTGTTGCCCTTTCTCCGAATAACACAAATGATGGAACAAAATGGAATAGACAACACAGTAACCGTTTCAGGCAGGGGGAGGCCATTGATTCATCTTATCTACCCAGCCAACATTCCTTTGATGCTTTGAATAACTCTGAACCTTTTTAAATTGCTAGAACTTTGGCCAAGTCCCTTCTGAAACCATTCATAGTTCCATGCAGCATTAAAGATTCCCAAACCCATTTTCATTACCGATGATTAATAATTAATTCTTACATTTGATATAGCACCATTATTATTATCGATCATCCTCCTACACCTTCCCTAGCTCGGGTCCAAATCCCTGACTGTCCAGCGCCTTGGGATGTCCTCCCAACGTGAAAGACGCGATACAAATGTAATTTGTTGTTTTTGTTTCAAGTAGGGCGGGCATCTCAAAGTGCTTCATAGGATTTACTGTAAAGTGTAGCAACTGTTTTATAGGTTTTCGCCTACAAAATACAAGATAATTACAGGGGATGTTACAGATTTGCATAGCATGAAAACTAGCTTATAGCAGATACTCTGAGGGAAGTTACTTCTATTAAGTTTCTTTACCAAAAATCTTGCTGATCTGATATTAAATTTAATATTTTTTCATTGCATCTATTTGCACATTTATCAGTTTTCTTTCTAACTCTTTCATAGCTGTATTAGTAATGAAATGCTGTGGATGCTTATAGCCACCCAGCTGAATGATTTAGGATCTCGAGTCACTGCTATATGTACTTTATAAGTGTCTTGTTTTTTTTCCCCTTTATATTCATTCGCAGGCTGGACGGTTTACCACCAAACGTCTGAGAGAGTGACCTATAAATCTAGTAGCAAACCTCGTACCAGATTCCTCAGTGGACCTGTGTCTTTGTCCATCTGTTTGTATTTGTTCTTTTTGTATTTAAACTAATCATCCCATCTTCTCTCGCTATCTCAGTCCATTTTATATTTCGGCAGGAAGCCTGCTTATTAGCCCATTCTTTTGTTCATTTATCAGTTTTGTCATACTCGCACTTCTCTTTCATTTCACATACAAATGCTTTAGTGCACTGCTTTTGGCTCCTCACTATAAACCCCAAGGGCATATGTGGAAGAGCTCACCTTCTGTGAAACTGTTCATCTTTTTAAAAAAAAATATTTTACACACATCAAAAATTTTACCCTGAGTGTACCAAAGCTTTTGTATCTTAGTGTAATTTATTTTAAGCAGTTTTTTTTAAAAAAAAAACTTTTTTTTTTTGATTGTGACAAGTATACAAGTCTACTCCCCTTAGCATCTCATTTCACCAAAAAAAAAATGGGCTCCTGTAGAAGACTGATCTCTTTCACACATGTTTCGACAATGAAGACTTGCATGCAACAAGCTGGATACTTAGCACTGTATCTCCTTGATGCAATACTAGGAAGGTCACAGGAGGGTACAGCTCCCACTTAAGGACTGTTAAATATTTTACTATTTTTACACTGTTGTATCTTTGAAATGTCTGCATGTGGAAAAAATGCTGATACATCAGTGCTCCAGTTAGTTAAGGCAGAACAACCGAACTTGGTTTTCAACAAGTTTTGTGTAGCTCCATTCATTTGGTATTTTCTACTTGTCATTGATCATTCCCAACTATCTCCCATTTCCATTACTGGTTTTACTAATTTCTTAAGTAATTGAAATATCGAGGATGTCTTAATTGGTATATTTCAGATGAGTCACTTTTCCCACCAAATTGTGCTGTAAAATATCCTAGCTGGAGCACTAGAACTCTTTTGTCTCTTCTGTTATGCTATTCTGTAATTAGACACTGGTCAGTTTGTCTCAGTACTGCTTTTTTTAAAAAAAATTCTAATACCTTGCCTCAAGGAAAGTTCCCACTTTTGATTTTCTTTTAATACAAAAACTTTGTGCTCTGAGTGAGAGTTGCAAAACCATAGCCCATTCTAATTATTAGACATAATTACCAGCATACATTCAGTAAATCCAAACAGCCTTGTGGATTCAGTGTTTTTCCCATATTCCATCGATCTGGACCAATGTGGAACTTTACACTTGATTAAAAAGCAATCCATATGTTCTACTCTGAGCACACAGTTTTAAAATCTATTTGTGCATCATAACTTGTATCTCTTGTTAAATCTAGAATAATAAAATGTCTGTCGCTTCCTGAATTTCTTTAAATCAATACCAAATTTGTGTGGATGCTGGTTTTCAACATATAAAGGTATATTGTTCTGATTTGGTGCTGGAGGCATTTGTAAATGGCATGTGGTGCATTAACTATTTCTCTTTCTGTGGAAGAAATATATATAGTAGTTACCTTTCAAATATTGCCATTAAACCAGAAATTAATCCTTAGAAAACTTATTTTGGATCTAGATAGGCTTTTGATGGTATGTATTATGGTTTGCATGCATGATTGGTTACACTTATAAAAAGAGAACCTAACAAAACTAATTACTTTACTGTAATGCCACTTAGTCTCATAGCAGTGCTACAATCAAAACAAACCAGTGAAGTTGTTGTGAATATAGGCATTCAAGATGGACAGCATTGGACTTGCCTTTATAGATTGGAGGACATTTTAAATGTAATGGTTGTAAATGAAAACTGTTTAATGTACTCTATTTTACTGGTTCTACAGTTTCACCTGCAGGTAATACTGGCTTTTGTGCACTGAAGTGGATGTTAAATGTACTTCTGCTGGAGGGTGGGATACATACTGTTGAGGAATCGACTAACATTGAGTGCCAGGTGTCAATGCCATTGGGATTGTGCTTCCTTCAGGCACCAAAGCACTCCACAGCTGAGTGAGCAGGAGAAGTGTGAGGGATGAGTCTACAAATAACTTGTGCCTATGCATTCTTTTTGTGTCAGTTTTGGCCTCGGAAGTACTGAATATCAGGGACAATTTTCCAGCTATGGTTTTAGTAAGACAAGTACATATGTAGCAATAAACTGACTGCTGTGTTAGCAAAGGAATATGATTTGGTTGTAAAGTGACTGTTATACAACAACAAGATTACATTTGTACAGCACCTTTCACGTCGGGAGGACGTCCCAAGGCGTTATAAGTGAGAGACCTGGGTTTGATTCCCAGCAGGGCGAAACGTTGAGCAAGTTTCCTTACTCCACGCGCCTCTGTTTACCTAGCAGTAAGTAGGAACCTGGTTGTTAGTCGATTGGTGAATCACTTTTCCGGGGGTAATAATCCCTTAAAAAAATAATAAATTGGTCACTTCAATCCACGACTGTTTGTGGAACGCTGCTGTGCGCTATTGGCAGCACGTTTCGCCCAAAAGTCAGTTCACTTCACAGTATATTCTGTGAAGCGCTGTAAGAAGTCTCGAAGATGTGATAAGGCGCTGTATTAAATAAGGATTATTATTATACATTCACTGAGGGTTTTCAAACAAAGGGAAGCTAAGCTGCTGTCAACACAGCTAGTCAACTATTGAGAATCTTGATCTGTAGTTCAAAACATTTTTGCTTAAACTCACTTCACACAAGATGTGCAGGCAACAAAGAGGAATTTAGCATCCTACCTGTCTAGGAATGGGTCCCAGTGTAAGTAAAGGTGATCATGTTTGTATTAACCATTTGACGTTATATTAAGGCTTTGTTAAGCTATTTGCTTCCACTGTAATGTGAAGCTTACACGTTCTTCAGGGAATGCACGTGGCTGGAGAATATTAACATTAATGCTTGTGTAGTGATGAAGGAGGGAAGGGAAAGTATTGTTAGAGAAAAGTATATGAACTATTTCATTTATCAGAAGTGGAATGTATGCAAAGTGTTATGCTAGTTGATTTATATCTGATTTTAACGAAATGCAGAGCAGCTAAAATACAGTACTTCGGTTTTGTGGTGCATGCAAGTTTCTTGCAGATAATTTGAACAGTATTTTTAATTTCTGCCGATGGCCACAGACCTCCAGAACAATGTATCTTTATACCTAACAAGTGCAAGTCTAACAGTTTACGTGCAGCCAGACCATAGAGATTGTCCCCATTTCTGCTTGTGGAAGTTTGCCTTTTGTGGTGGGGTGGGAGGTATTTTACCTACTCCCTATCCCCATCCCAATTAGAGTTAGACTTTTGTTTTCACATCATGTCTGTGGGGAAAAAGGCGCATGATTTTAGCTTTGCTCAAAGAATGTCGACTTCATTTAGTGCAATTTCTGAAGCGGTATCGATTTCCGAACATGCCTTTATCCTGCATGTTGCATTTATGGTTTTGTTTTGCTAAGAGTGTTGCGTTGATCTTTTTTTAAATAAAAAGAATACGTTCCCTAAGATGCAACATGTAACTGACAAATTGTGTGCGAGTTATTGGAGTGAAAATAAACATTAAAATACACTTGTCCTGTTTATTCGTGGTGGGGGGGAAAAAAAGGGAAATTTGCTGTCTGTTAGTGGGTGGGTGGAAGAGAAATCATCTCATTATACATGTGCATGCCTTATCCTAATGTAAAATAAGGTTTGTTGAGAAACTGATCATGCATCTCTTTCCTTCCAGAGTTTGATGTTAACTATACTGGTGTGGCTGCACAATGACTTATTTATATAATATATATTAAAAAAAATGGGCTGCAGGATTAGCCAGCTAATTTCTTAACATTTTAAGCCACTGAGATTTTTTTTCCACTTTGCACAAAATAATGGCTTTATACTGCATCAACAGCTTTTCCGTCAGAGTGGTTACCTTAAGCCACTTAAAGCCTAACTGTTTTGTCTTTATCGTTTTTACTTTGTAGGGTCTACCCTGAAACGGCTATGTCTCGGCAAGGATCGCAGCAGTAACTATCCCATTTTCTCTCTCAGTATTTATTACGCTGTACGCAGCATGTTGCTGGTTTCATCTTTGGCTCTAAACTAACTCCATTTGCAACTTCCCCATTTTGGAGCTTGCTGCTACCTTAGATTAGGTCACGTTTCGTCTGTGACCGTAACGTTTGGCACCGTAAGGAACACGAATGCATGCGCTTCTGCTCATGACTGATTGTCGTGTGTTTGGATTTAATTTGTATCAGCGTTGCATTGCTTGGTTTCTTAATTGTGCGTGCATTTGTTTGGTGGCTAAATGCTCTACAGCAACGCATTAAGATGTAGCAGTGCTGCCTTGTGTGACCGTCCATGTCCCATTCTCACTTTGTTTATAGGGTCTTCAAGCTTGAGCGGCGCTCACCACTCTCTGCATCATCCGCAGCCCCAGCAAAGTCAGCCAACGCAGCAGCAAACGCAAACTCAAACTCAAGCCAACAATAGTAATAACAAGAAAGGAACGTTCACAGATGACCTGCACAAGCTTGTGGACGACTGGACGAAAGAGACCGTCGGCGCTACACAAATGAAACCATCTTTGAACCAGTTGAAGCAGAACCAGCACAGACAAGACTTGGAGACGAGGCAAAACCCATCCCAAGCTGACGTGAGTCTGGAATACGTGACTTTCTTTCACTTTACCCATAGAAACCCTCCTGGGGGAGCATTGTATTATCAAAGGTGTCCTTTACATAAAACCTTAAACCATCTGCCTCTCTGTTAGATCTTGTGATACAATTGGGTAAGAGGACATTTCTCCTGGTATCCTGGCCAACAATTTGCCAGATATATCAGCCCTTCAATTCATTGCTACTTGTGGGCCTTCACTGAGAGCCGAGAGGCTGCAGCGTGTGCCCATAAACAGTCACTGCACTTCAAGTGGTAATTCTTTGGGATGTTTATAGATGCCGTGTACAAGGCACAATATTTCTGGAACGCAAATGTCCTGTTTGCATTGCAGCGTGGTGGATGCAAGTTTTAAAAAAAAAAGTAATAATCCTTGCACTTGATATAGCACCTTATCGCATTCTCAAAGACATCTAAAGCACTTCATAGGATATTCTGTAAAGTGGACTGACTATATTTTGTGGGCAAATGCAAAAGTGTCCTGCAGTTTTACAAATTCTCATTTTACTTTTCCTCCGCTCAAAATGTTGATAGATTTTCTTTCCGTGTTCTACAGTCAGATTCTGAACAGGTTTACAGGCCTAAAACACGTTTAGAAAGAACTATTCCATTATTTTGGCCGTTATAATACCAACTTGCATTTATATAGCACCCCTCACGCAGGGTAGTGTCCCAGAGCCCTGTTACATAACCAGACTTGTAAACAGCAATTTGTTGTCTTCATGTGGCCTTTATTTCTCTTCCGCAGGCTTTGTGTGCGCCTGGAAAGATGCGGAAATTCTCAGCTCCAGTGACGTGCACGATATCTGCTCCGTTGGTACTTGGGAAATCACCGACAATCCCAGCGGGAATGCCAGGAACTCCAATCGCTGGTGCAATCCCAGCATACAGGCTGCCTCTGTGTCAGTATAGCGGAGTCATCCCAACACCTCCTTACGGTGTCCAGTGGCCAGGTGTGTCGCCTCCAACGTCACAGCCTGCTGGGGGTTTAAGCCATCCAGGAATGGGTCCTTTCCCATCTCTTAGTAAAGGAGGTATACAGATGTTTCCTGTACCACTACAACAACCTATTATAAACCCATCCGGGTCCAACGTGAGGACTACCTAGCTTTATTTTGAAGGATTTGAGATAAAATAAGTGGGGGGGGGGGGGATTTAGAGAAGATTTGCTTTTGTTCACAAAGGCAAGATTAAATGTACTTGATTGCAGCTGAATACATTGGCACCCAGTGTGGGCTTGCTTGTGCACATAGCCATAAATTTGAGCAATGACTGAAATATTTTCACCAAGTTGCTGAAAGCTAGATAGTTCTTGGGCGATTTAGTTGCATTTGTCTTCGCAATTCAGACACTTTATATTTTGCTTTGTACATTTAACACTAGTAACCTTAAGCTGAATTATAACTTTACTTGAACGGACACTTAGAAGGAGCCCTGCAGGAGTATAGTGCCTTGAATTATGCTTTTCAGTTTCCGCTGGAAAGAAGTATTTAATTTTTTTTAATTTCTGCTTTTGATCTGTTTCAACTCTTGATTTTAGTTTCAGTTGTGAAAAGCTTGAAGGTTTACAAAAGGTCTGGTTGTGTTCCTGGTAGTTTAGTTCTGTGCACATGAACGAACAAACAAACGATTCTCCATTGCTTTCCTTGTCCTTTTGTCATATGAAAGTAACTGAGTTATTGCTGCTAGAAATATCTCCCCTTGTCCAGAGGTTTAACGTACACGTACAAACACATAATTTAGCTGCTGCTCAATCCACTTGCTTCTGTAGGGATAAGTCCAAGTAATTGTGATTCCAATTTTGTTTATGGGAAGAAAAAAAAATGTGACCTTTATCTGCTATGTTGAAGTACCTGCACATAAATGCATTGAAGCTGTGCTATTCTTTTAAATAAGCGTTAAATTATGAATTGCTGATATACCAACAGTATTACACAACACAAAAATCTGCTGTGACTTTTTGATTTTCCAAACTATACAACCACGATTTATTTATACATACGCGATGAACTCGAATTGGCTGAAATGGATATTTATCAGAAGATCTGTTTGTATAGAGTGGTAACATTTTAAGTTGATTCATAACTTATACAGCATTATAGATTGCATTATTTTTGAATATGATCAGTGTTGATGGCACGGGGGGGGGGAAACAAAGGTTACTGGTGATACTGTTTCGACTATCTGTGCCTCACACAGTTTGAACAGAGAAGCGCTGAGGGAAACAATATTGGGGTCTCAAAAACAGGTAAGCAAGGTAGATACGACACTTTAAAAAGTCTGTCTTGAAGGCATCCTACACTACTTTCCTGCAATATTTTATACGACATGCTGATGGGCAGAGATGTCTTGTACTGCCAAGCTGTGAAAGAATTGTATAGTTACTGTACTTCTGATTGTTAATGTCTAAATTATTTTTTGTTTATACCCCTTTAATATTCCATCAATTCGGTTAGAATTGGAATTTTATAGTACATTGTGCAGAATCCTTCTGCCTCGGCAAAATACTTACTGTAGTAAGAGATTTCTGTTCTCTGTTATCGTATCTTGCATTTATTTGTTTTATATTCATGTCTGTATGCTTCATGAGCAAAAATGGAAAGTCGAACCTAAAATCATACACATCCGATGCTTGCACTAAAGAAAAAAAATTGCTTTGCCTGTTAAATAGTCTACTTTTTTTGTTTCACTGGCGTGGTCAGTCAGTGCACTCGAATCACAGAGATTGTACCTGTTTAAAGATATAAATAAAACATATTTTGTGCTTGACGGTTGTGCCTCAACTCACTTGTTCCTTGTTTAGATGCTCTTATTAAAGCGTATGGAGAAAAGCCAGGGAGGGAAATGCAATTAAGAGGGCTGAAATGGTCTTGTACCATTGATGTTGCAGCAGGAAAGCTTGGCCAGACAGCACTATCAATGGCAAGCTATGCAGTTTTAGTTGGTTAGACTCCAGCAGTTACCCCAACGCACACTCTGAGGTCCCCAAGCCTTGACTCTTGCCAACCTGCGCCTAATACTTTCCGGAATTAGGTAAGCAGGATGCCTCCCTCCAGGGAGAGCGTGGGCATTTCATTCCAACAATCTATCTCCGTGTAGGTGGGATGTATGGAATTCTCAGCTCGGTTTGGATGGGTGATGGGTCTGTATGCATCAGACACCCGGCTAACCCCCCCCCAAAATTTACAAAACTGTCAGAACAAGCTCAATGTTCAGAACGATTAGCCTTCTCCTGTGCCACCATTCCTAGGTCATGTTTGGAAGAGGAGGAGAGCGCGGGTTGGTTGTATTCTACAGTTCCAAGAAGTTTGCACGACTGGCGAGAGGTATAATTTCCCAGTGTAGCACCATCGAATTATCTTCAGAGGGCACTGTTTCACTCAAAGGAATCCTGCAATGTGGCCAAACGTTAAAATGGCTGAAATTATTACAAATGAAAGTGCAACAAAAGATCTGTTAACTTGCAATGTGGTGCTTTTGATCTGTGTGAGTCGAGCAATGGATTTAAAGAGGCAAAACTACTGTAGAAAACTGCTTAATGTAACTTTGGGGGATGGTGGAAGATTTTTTTTCTCTAAATGCATGTGAATTGTACAAGTGCATCCCATATATTGAAGGTCACAGGCATAACGAGATAGTTTATCACGTTTGAGCCTAACAGAAGAATGTGACATTGCAAAGCATTATATAAACACATTGCTTTGTACAGAGGCGCTGACGCGACTAATGATTCAGCCTTAATTGGGAGTGATTCATACCAAATATCTTTGAAGTTCAATTTTGTCATGATGATTAGCTTACAAACGGGTCTTGCTAAAGTCTAACTTTATAATGTTTGAGGAAAAAAAGTTACATTTTGGGCTTGGGTTCTAATGGTTATATTCTTCAAATCCTCCTTTGTGAAGAAAATCCAAATCGAAATTACAGGTTTCTGCCAAAGTCTTGGCCACTTATCCTCCAGATCGATCGGGCATTCTCTTCATGGCTATTTCTGGGACACTATTGTGTGTAAATTGGATGCTGTTTGACTCCAAACAGTCACTACGGTTACCAGCGATTCACGCTAAAGTGTTGATGTTTTGAGGTGCTGTATCAAACACGAGGATCATTATTAATATTAAAAATTGGCAAATGTTGGTTGAAACACACGAGAGATATGAAGAAACTGTGTCCCATTAAAGGCTGTGAAGGAGATCAAGGCTTGGTGACGAAGCCTACATGAGGTAAAATGGTCCTGTGGACATTAGGTGGGTACATTTTGAAGGATGTTGGTAAATGTAGACTGGAACCATCAACTGGTATAGGTTTGGGTGATAAGTGCAGGTGATTGGAGCTCGGGGAACCCCTTAAGTGATAGAAAAAGGCAGCAGAGCAGAAATGGAAAGGTAAACTGGATATTTTAGAATTACGTCTCCATTTGTGTTGGGTTTTTGAAAACTTGGCTTCTTCAGTGGAAGTCTGTGTGTGATAACTTGAGCTGTACACGTTGCAGTCGTTCCCATCTTCATTCACCAACAATAACAACCTGCATTTATATAGCGCTCTTCACGCGGGTCAGCGTCCTGGAGCGCTTCAATATTCTGCTAAATGTTGTAGCTGAAGGGAGAGAAAAATGAACATATTTCCTTTCACTCATTCCCCTCCCCACCCACGGGCCCCTTTGTGTTTTGCTTGGGGTGGGGTGGGGGGGAGAATTGCATATCCCTTATCTCTGATTGACATCTCATTAGAACCAGAATTTTCAGTGCGGAAGACCATTCAGCCCATCATGCCCGTGACTGCGCAGCGTTCTGTGAGAGGTTTGTGTTTAGCTGCCCTCTCTTTGCATGGGTGTGAAGGGAGCGAAGTGATTCACATCTCCACTTCCCGTCTCTCGGGTCTGGGGTTGGCAGGAGGAGGATCGATATCTCTCCCTTCGCGCACACTCATTGTGTGGGAGTGATTGAAAGCTTTGACCTTGTGTGCGGCTATAGGAGCTAATGAAGTTAACTGTCAGTCTGTGTGAAGCGGTGTGTGTGGCAGGTGGGTGGAGAATGATAGCCTGTGTGTGGTTGTGTTGGGGGGGAATGATTGACAACCCAAAAACTTGCATTTATAGGGTGCCCCTCGTGTAGGGTTGTGTCTCAGAGCGCTTCATAGCTCTGTGTGGGTGGAGTGGGGCAGGTGGGGGGAGAGAGATTGACCGCGTGTGGGTGTGGACATAAGAATTAGGAGCAGGAGTAGACCATTCGACCCCTCGAGCCTGTGCCCCGCCATTCGATAAGATCACGGCTGATCTATTTTAACCCCCCCGCCCCGCCTTATCCCCATATCCCTTTATCCACAAGAAATCTATCAATCTCAGTGTGGAGGGTGATGGAGGGCCTGTGTGTGGGGGATGACCACACTATGTATGTGTGGGTGGGTGGGGGGCAGGGGGGTGATTGACAGTGCGTGTGTTACAGGACATTGATCGGCTGTATGGGGGGGGGGTGATTGACAGCCATTGTGTCTGTATGATTGACATTGTATAGTACATACGGGTGTGGGGATGAGGTGGGAGATGGGGGGGAGATGAGGAGTGGGGGGGGATGGGGGGGGAGATGAGGAGTGGGGGGAGATGGGGGAGATGAGGAGTGGGGGGGAGATGGGGGGGGAGATGAGGAGTGGGGGGGAGATGAGGAGTGGGGGTGAGATGGGGGGATGAGGAGTGGGGGGGTGAGATGAGGAGTGGGGGGAGATGGGGGTGAGATGAGGAGTGGGGGGAGATGGGGGGGTGAGATGAGGAGTGGGGGGGAGATGGGGGGGGAGATGAGGAGTGGGGGGAGATGGGGGGGAGATGAGGAGTGGGGGGAGATGGGGGGGGAGATGAGGAGTGGGGGGAGATGAGGAGTGGGGGTGAGATGGGGGGATGAGGAGTGGGGGGGTGAGATGAGGAGTGGGGGGGAGATGGGGGGGTGAGATGAGGAGTGGGGGGGAGATGGGGGGGAGATGAGGAGTGGGGGGAGATGGGGGGGGGAGATGAGGAGTGGGGGGAGATGGGGGGGGATGAGGAGTGGGGGGGTGAGATGACGTGTGAGTGTGGGCGGGGGGAGGTGGGGGAGGAGGCGGAGCTAATGATTGACAGTCGGCGGCGGGGGGGGCGGGGCGGGGCGCGGTGACGTCAGGAGGCGGCGCGAGTGCGGCTGCGCGGCGGCCGCTCACCAGACATGGCGCCCTGACTTGAGTGACTGACTGACAGCACATGGCGGCGGGCGCTGCGGTCACTCTCCTCCTCCTCCTCCTCCTCCCGGTCAGGCCCAGAGCGCGGCGGCAGCGGCGACGCACAGCAGCGGCGGCGGCGGCGGCTCGGGCCCTGTGAACACATTTCCTCGCCGTCCACCCGAAGCAGCGGCGGCCACAACAGCGGCGGCGGCGAGAGAGGGAGGAAGAGGAGGAGGAGGGCCTCAGAGAGAGAGAGAAAAAAAAACCCGCTCTCTGCCTCCATTCTCTCTCTCTCTCTCTCTCTCTCTCCCTCCCTCCCGCTCGCTCTCGTTTTACCTCAGCCGCCGCCGCCGCCGCCGCCATGGGGGTGCAGGGCTTCCAGGAGTTCATCGAGAAGCACTGCGCCAGCGCCGTGGTGCCGGTGGAGCTGCAGAAGTTGGCCCGCGGCGGCCTGGTGGGCGGAGGCCGCAACCGGGCCCCGCAGAGCCCGCTCCGGCTGCTGGTGGACGCCGAGAACTGCCTGCACCGGCTGTACGGCGGCTTCTACAACGACTGGGTGAGCGGCGGCCAGTGGAACCACATGCTGAGCTACCTGGCCTCGCTGTCCAAGGCCTGCTTCGGCGGCAACATCGAGCTGGTGGTGCTGTTCAACGGGGCCCTGGAGAAGGGCCGCCTGCACGAGTGGGTCAAGCGCCAGACCAACGAGCGCCAGACGTCGCAGCAGATCGTCAGCCACGTCCAGAACAAAGGCACCCCCCCGCCCAAGGTCTGGTTCCTGCCGCCCGTCTGCATGAGCCACTGCATCCGCCTGGCGCTGCTCCGCTTCCGAGTCAAGGTAAATAAAGCCCCCACCACCACCGGGGGGTGGGAGGCCTGGGCCTGGCCCGGTCTGTGGGTGTGTGTCTCTATCTCACCCCCCCCTCTCCCCCCCCGGGGCTCCCCTCTCTCTCCCCCTCACTCCCCCCTTTTCCAGGTCCCTCTCTCCCCCTCACTCCCCCCTTTCCAGGTCCCTCACTCCCCCCTTCCAGGTCCCTCACTCCCCCCTTCCAGGTCCCTCTCTCCCCCTCACTCCCCCCTTTCCAGGTCCCTCTCTCCCCCTCAACACTCTCGCCCACCCCGGCATCTTCCCTCCTCCATCCCCCCCCCCCCCACCCGGAGCCAGTCCTCTCCTTCCTTTTCCTCTCCCCGGGCCTCCCTCACCCTCCCCGGGGCCCTCCTCCTACCCTTTCTCTTCCAACGTATATAAGTTGTGTATAAAGATATAAATCGATAAAAAATTATAATAACAGAATATTATATTTAAAAAAAAGTAATAAAAAATTGCCAGAATCAGGTCGGGGGCTGATGGTGGTTTGTACCCCCCACACCCCCCATTTTCTGTATATGATATATATATATACACACACCCACATTGGGGGATATTAAAGCTTTTGTGTGTTTGGTGTTTGTGGGTTTTTTTTAATTTTTTTTAACCAAAATTTAGTGACGTGACCGCTCAACCCAACTTGATACCGACCGGAAGCTCCCGCCCCTTTTCCCGCCGTACCGGCCACCGGGCTCCGCCGATTGGCCCAGACCCGTCCCCGTCACTGGCCGCCACATCCGGTCTCGGGTTTGGTTGGAGCCTTGTGTGGGGCCGCGGGCAGAGCGGAGGCCTGAAGCCATGTGGGGGGGGGGGTCGGTCTCTGACTGTGTGTGTGTGGGGGTCAGTCTCTGACTGTGTGTGAGAGGGTCAGTCTCTGACTGTGTGTGTGGGGGTCAGTCTCTGACTGTGTGTGAGAGGGGGTCAGTCTCTGACTGTGTGTGTGGGGGTCAGTCTCTGACTGTGTGTGGGAGGGGGTCGGTCTCTGACTGTGTGGGAGGGGGTCGGTCTCTGACTGTGTGGGAGGGGGTCGGTCTCTGTGTGTGGGAGGGGGTCAGTCTCTGACTGTGTGTGTGGGGGGGTCAGTCTCTGTGTGTGGGAGGGGGTCAGTCTCTGACTGTGTGTGAGAGGGGGTCAGTCTCTGACTGTGTGTGTGGGGGTCAGTCTCTGACTGTGTGTGTGGGGGTCAGTCTCTGACTGTGTGTGGGAGGGGGTCAGTCTCTGACTGTGTGTGGGAGGGGGTCGGTCTCTGACTGTGTGGGAGGGGGTCGGTCTCTGACTGTGTGGGAGGGGGTCGGTCTCTGTGTGTGGGAGGGGTCAGTCTCTGACTGTGTGTGTGTGGGGGGTCAGTCTCTGTGTGTGGGAGGGGGTCAGTCTCTGACTGTGTGTGGGAGGGGGTCAGTCTCTGACTGTGTGGGAAGGGGTCGGTCTCTGACTGTGTGTGGGAGGGGGGTCAGTCTCTGTGTGTGTGTGTCCCCCTATCTGACGGACTGTGTCAGAACTCTTGCTGCCCGCATACTGACCCGGACCAAACTCCGTACCCACATCCCACCAGTTCTGGCCCAGGCTCCACTGGTTCCCCATCACCGAACGAATCGACTTCAAGATCTTCGCCCTCGTGTTCAAATCCCTTCACTCTCGGGTACCTCCCTCTCCGACAGCCTCACTCCCTAATCCACCACCCGGCGCTTTCGCGTGACTGGCGCCGGCCTCCTGCTCATCCCTCCCACCCTCCGCCCCACCATCGGAGGTCGTGCCTTCAGCCACTACACCCCCGAAACTCTGGAACACACTTCCTCAGTCCCTCCGCCTTCCTCTTCAACCATGCTTATGGCCACTTCCCCCCCTCCCCCCACTGTTAAGCGCTCTGAGACGCTGCCCTGCATGGAGGGCGCTATATAAGTGCAAATTGTTGTTGTATTTGTCCGTCTGTCTGATTCTGTGTGTGTCTAACTGACTGACTGTATGTGACTGACTCTGTGTGTGTGTGTGTGTGTGTGTGTCCATCTATCTGACTCAGTGTGTGTGTACCCATCTATCTGCTTTCCTTTCGGTGTATGGATTTATCTGTTTTCAATTTGTGGCTGTGTCCCTTGCTCTGTCATGGGTGGTTGACATTGACAAGAGGGGGTGGGGGCCTTCTTGGAATCAAATGTTTGCCAATAAAACAGTCACCACGATTGACAGTAATCACTGTACCTGAATGATGTAACCATACGCCAATATAAACAAACTTCATCTCTAGTCAGTGTTATTTGTGAAGTGCTCCCGAAATTTTATGTGAAAGGTGTGATGTAAATGCAAGTTGTTGTAAAGCAGTTTTGACACTATAGGTACAATCTCGTATGCAAGGATTATTATTTTCTGCATCAGAGGAAAATTATCTTAATTGCTTCAGAGTTTAAATAAAGCCCCAAGTCCAAAGCAGAGTTTAAAATGCAGTTTTCTTCACATATGACTGGTATGTGAGCTCAAGGTCCAGCCTGGCACGTAAGATTTGGTTGTGCGTGCAACATTTTCGGCTAAATTGGATGGAACACTAGCAGGTACAAATCTGTCACTGGTAATGGTGCTATTTGATGTGGGATATTGCATAAGTATTAAAGCTTATTGGATTGTGATTTGTTTCCCTTTACGTCACGTGGGCAGGATGCTAAAGATGCCTAGCGTCAAGATAGCTTTGCGATGTTACACAGGCACATCTGTCTTTTCTGTTGTCATTTCACAAATGGTATTGGAGAGGTTTGCAGAAATGGCCCTAATCATGGTTTGTGATTCAGTCTGAGGGTGTCAGTTGAGTATGCACCTGTTGCTTGTTTAACTCATATGATCGCCATATTCCCCAAATAAGAACAAAAGTGTAGGAAAAACATGTTCAGTAAAAAAAAAAAGTGTTGATGTGGCACAAACATATTCTACACAATGAAAAAGGTTCAGGATTATACGATAGTGAAATGGATCTTTTGGATCGCCCAATGATTCACTCCCACCTGACACACTTGCTTTGTTGCCTTCATGTTAGTAATTAAGTTGGGCTCTCTTGTTCAACAAATACTGAGCTGATGAAAGTACATGTTAAATTGTTAGCAAACCATGATAAAAAATAGACACTGCAAACTTATATGTTAACGTAAAAATCCCTGCAGCTGAGCTGGCTCCTTGGTTGTGGGAGTTGTCATGGTGAAATGCCTATGGTGATGTGTAATGTTCTGCAGTGTTTTGTTGCTTTTAAAGATGCAGTGGATTTGTCAGGTACGTAATCCTGGATGTTTATGTGTCAATATCCCCTTAATGTGGTGTGCTGAAAAGGCAGGAGAATATAGCTAAACAGAAATCTCTTTCAGAGAGTCGACACAGGCACGATGGGCCGAATGGTCTCTTCTGGTGCTGTAATTTCCTATGGTTCCAAATCTATTGTGGACTGAACACTGCAGCTGCGATCCAAGTATTAATTACTGTTCTGATCCTGAAACCTTTTGATAGTACAGGTGTCAACCTGTGATGGTGGCTGTGTGTGAATTCCAGCTGGTTGATTGAACTTAAATGCTACTTGCACCAGAAAGTATATTTCAGGAGGTTGGCTGTTGACTTTGTGCAGATATTTTTAATCGCTAAATTTACAAAGGCCTTTGGCACTTCTTGGTTGTGTTGGAAGAAGAGTTGATAATTGCTCGAATTCACACTTGCATAACTGCTGAGCATACTTTTAATAGTATTGCTTTCTGAGCACGATTGCTTGTGCAGTCATCCATCTGAGGACAGTGAGGCTGGAGTTTTGTGGCTGAGGATTGGCTGTCAGCTGGAAGCTGTGTGATAAGTGAGGAGTGGTCTGAAGTGAAGAAGGAAGAATTAAGCATTCTTTTTTTTTTTTGGTCAGCCCGGTGTCTGACACTCGCGGAAACCGGTCACCGTGATTAAGAGTGTCAGAATCAAACTGAGAATTCCATGCCTCCCACTTGCACATGGAAATTCCAGAGATAGATTAGCTCCAACGTGATCTTTAAGGTATTTAAAAATAGTCACAAAAAAGATTGTGAGTGGGATATTGTTCAGTGAGTAGCTGAGCCACTTTATTGTTGCATTCAAAAAAAAAAGTTATTGCTGCCCCTGGTTTCAGTTCCTGATTGAAACTTTTGGAGAGGAGTTGTGCTGTCTCAAAGTCAGGGAATTTAGACTCCTATCTCTCTGCATTTGTTAAGTCATAATTTTATTGAGAGGATTTCTACCTTGACTTTATTTATTCAATGTTTAAGTATTGAAGATGCTTATCTCACGTGTGAGGGCACCTTCACATCTCACCTATGAGCTTATGGCTTGTCAGGTATGTACACAGCACTTAAACATGGGCAGACCTATCTGTGTGCATAATACACCAGCCTCATTCTAGCTTCTGCTCACGGTTTTGTTGGAAGAAACAGTCCTAACATTGGAGAGACCAGTGTAATTAATGTAAAGCTTTTACTTAAATCTTATATTCATAAAATATTAAGAGATTGTGACTGACTGCTTTTAAATGCTTAGGACCTTTTATTTCTTGAGGGGAGAAAAATTATCCAAATGTTAGTTATGAGGCTACATTCACCTACAAAATACAGACACGTCACTTTACAATAAAATCCTGCTTTGATCTGTCCACCTGGTGTGATTCTTTAACAAGTACAAGGATTTTTTTCATTATTGTTATTGCTATTATTTTTTCATTTAAAATTATTGTTCTAAATAAACGAATATCGGAAAAACAATCTGTATTGAGTCTAGCATTTTACGCTGATCAGTGAGGTCTCCTGAGTTTGGCATTCCTCGTGTGAAGATTCTGTGTACAAATTCCTAGGTTAGTGTGTACTCTGGGGAATGGCACCTGATGTATAGCAGAAAGCAACCAAGTTCTATCCTTAGATCGTGAGGATTTAACTCAGTAATGTAATAAATCTATTGGGAACTTGAGACTTGTGGAAAAAAAACTCTTGTTAACTTCATCCCTTTTTGGCCCGAAATGTTGATTTCTCTTTTGAAAAGCTGCCTTTGTAACACTTGGACCTGTTTCCCGGACTGCGTTTGCAGTTGTAAATGGAGCTTGAAAGCTTTGCCTTTGCCAATAAATGCTGGAAACGATAATGTTCTTGTGTGTTGCACCCATTGCATTCTACTTTGTGTCTGGCTCTTGCCTCCTTGTTCCGACCACGTGTCGACACACAGAAACTCTCCTCAGTTAAGCATGCTGGTTGCTAACAAAAATACTGAAGTCTGGAGCGAATGGCCCAACCTTTCTGGACTCGTTGAATGTTTAAAAGTCCAAATTAAATGAAAATCAGAAATGAACTCTGCAGAGCTGTGCATTTACATCCCAAAGCAGCTGTTTGGAAACTGTGGAGTAACTATGGTTTTAAATATCAGCTGCCTTATTATACTCCTGATACAGTTGATGTGTGGTCTCTGTACGTTTGTATATATGCGACATGTTTGAATTTATTTGCTTAGTATGTAAAAGTGCAGCACTTGATCATATACAGCTGAACGTGGCAGTTGTGATGCCTTGGGTGTGCAGTGGGAGCTGATCTCTTGTCAGGACAGAGGCTGGAGCCCTGATTGCCCTCGGTGCCAATTAGGTGCGGAGGTGGGAGGTGGGTGGCAGACAGTGAACAGCCTGCGGTGCTGCTCCTGACTGCAATCCATACCTTTCCTTGGAAATCTGGGTAGACGTGGATGAGATCTCTACACCTCTCCCTGATTGAATACCCTGTCAACACACCCCACAAGACTCCATATGAATAGTGGCCTCTTGGCTGAGGTGTCCATGGAACTGTTCCCCAGTAGAAAAAAGCAACCAAATAACATCGCAGGGGACTTGGAGAGGGGGAAGTAAAACGTTAGAAGCTTTCTCGGATTAGCAAAAAACTTTAATGTGGAAGTTCATAACAATTTTAATGGTTTTTTTTTAAACTACGTATTTGAAATGTAAGGCAGCGAAAGTGTTAGCAAATGTTTGTGGATGTGAAGTGAGAGGGAAATGGACATTGCTCACAAAGCTGTTTCTTTCTGTACTGATTTCACATTGTCCCGTCGGTAAACACAGCTGTTTCCTACTGTTTGCTCGCTCCTGATGCTTCATTCATGCTTCTCCCCTCCATGAGGTGAGAGCTGCACTTAATTTTTAAAACAGGCCCACTTTCTCTCACATAACCCCTGTCAAAACATTGGTCTGCAGAATTATTCCATTGAGAACTGATAGATTTTTTTTTTAATTTTTAAAACATATCCATTTGCAGCTCTCACCTCATGGGGGAGGAAAAGGCATTCTTAAATCGCAGTCGTCTTGAAATTAACCACAGCAGTTGCTTTGAATGATTGATCTTGATGTGCTGCTGGAGATGTCTTTAAGTATTCATCCTGTGCATGTGTGCTTGCAATGCTGTGTCTTCACCTCACACAGCAGCTAATATTCACGGTTGTCAGATTGAGTGTTGTTGCTTGACTAATTGGTATGCCGACCATTCTCCAAATGTGCTTTGGCGTTGGGCTGGTGTGCTTTGTGATGCTCCTATTGCATCTCAGTTGCTCCAGCACCTGCTCATGTTACATAGTTCAAACATGTCCTCTTCAGTCACAAAGTTTGGAGTCATCAAGTCAAGAATTGTGTTGTTAGGTGATGGTCACAATTCAAATACACGTAGCATGGAAAGCGTTCTGAACAAGCATTGTGTTGTTCCTCACTGATGGCCTCTAATATATATATATATTATATAATAATAATTATAAATAATATCTTATTACAATTTATCCGGTGACTGTGTAAAACATTCCTGACATTCCACCGACATTCCATTTGGAGACCATCTAATCTTAAAATTTAGATTGAGTAGAATTTTTAAAACCGTTTTAGAAATTCAACCTTCATTTCGATGTCTCTCCTTTTAAGAACTGTGAAAAACATTTTTTCACATCACTGGACTGCACATTATCCATCTTGCACACAATTTTAATTAGCACAATAACAGTGCATCATATTTGGTTAGGTTTTTAGTTCACATTGCCACTGGTGGAAATCGCAAACATCAAACGAAGTGTGCTTCACTTCATTAACGCTATGCATCTGTCTATTTTTATGTATGCTTCTATAATATGTATGTGTTTCTCTTAAATATTTAAATTCCAATTGGCAGAAAGCTTGCATTGTCTGTGCCCAAGTGGTACAGTGCAACCTTTCACCTTCTACTGTTTGGTAATGAAAGTAAAGCATTTTCAGTGCATTTCTTTATCATCTTCCTCTTAATTGACCAACTTAATAGACTGAACCACTCAATTTTCCCTGAGCTTCAACTCATTGGCTTTCATTGAGGTAAAACTGCAATCTTGTCTTTCTCATCTGAACAAGAGACTGTTGGTTTACAAATCTACTGATGCAGAATACAAGCTTATATTTCTGAACATGGGCATACATTAAGTGCAGGAAATTACTATATTTTTAGTGGCACCTATTCTGAGTGTTTTTGTACTGAGTTTATCCATGAACAGTTTGGGTTGACTGGTATAGCATAACAACAATAACTAGCATTTATGGCGTGCGCTTGATGCAGAATAAGATCCTGTAAGGATTGATGGAGGAGGATTGGTGAAAATAGATTGAAAATGTGGCAAAAATTGGTGCAAACTTGGAGTGCCGTCTTGTCAAACTTGTCTTAGTATCTGAACCTATACTTGATCTTCAGTTTGCATCCATTTGAGACTAAAATAGAAACGCTCAAATCATTGTTAGTTATGCTTTGATGAAAAAAATAAATAGTGGTGTTAGCTCAGCACGTCGGTGGTAGATCACTGTGGAAGATTGTCACCCTCACAATTAACCACAATGTTTTGATTTCAATATCCTGATGGTTTCAAATGTCAGGGGATGTGTTGTCATCAGAGCAATAACCGTTCAGCCTCAGTAATGGAAATTGGATTATAAAAGTTGCTCGTGTCTATCTGTGTTCACTGCTCCCGTGTTACTTAAGATTATATTATGTATAAATTCTAGAATAGAACTGGCCTAACTAGCCTATGCTGGTGCTAGCTTCTCCACTGGGCACGTTTTTTCCAGATGAATTTAGTAAGTCTATGCAAGCTTGAGGCAGTTTAGAGTTCAGGGACGTTGAACGACTATTCTATTATTCGATCTATTTTTGACTTGCACAAGTGAAGAGTATTGGCATTGTCAGAGCGAGGTTTCTTTTCTATTATACAACGTTAAGTATTAAAATAGTGTGAAACAAAATCGCTGCAAAAGGTTTCTATTAACAGATTCCCAACTCTGGAAGTTGTCTTACAGAATTATAATACATATATTTGATACAGCGCCTTTCAAGTTGGGATATGGTGCTTCACAGGATATAGTGCAGAGTGTAGTGACTGTATCTTGTTGGCGAACAAAAAATTATGAAATCTACATCATGGTTTTCTAACCACATTGGGTTAGGGTTATCTCGGGTTATTGATCAAGTCGGAATCACTATCTACACTGGGTAATTCAAATTGATTCATTGTTCACTTCGCTTTGTATGTCTCTCTGTTCATCCAGCTGAGGGGATGACTGTGCTGACAAATACAGCATTTCTATCAGTGGAGGAAGAATTTGTACATTTGATTGACCCTTACTGACGTTACTTACCCCACGTCTTATCTTGCTGTGCTCACACGGGGGCTCTGAATTCCCAATGTGGCCTGTCATCTGCAGTTTGATTGTGTTCACAGGCAAACATTGTTGTCAAAGGCCTGGAGACAAAACTACTCAGAATTCAGCAGATCCCTATTCTTCCCCCTCCAACCCCCATTCTAACTTCTAAACTGGGTAGGAGGGAGAATAGTTTTTGATTCTTAATTTTATTTTTGGACATGTAGGCATGTTCTTTTATATAGTCTCGTTAACTTAAACCTGTTTAAAAAACGTGAATTTGTGAGCGACTGTGTTAAATATTCTCTGCAGATGAGAATGTGTTGGGAACACAAGGACAGCTGCAGATTCATGAAACTGCACCTAGCGAGTGAGTTTAAAGATTGATATCTGCTAAATGTTGTTGTGTGTGACCAAGTGACATGCAGATAAAATGTCTTGTTGTTTCAGGTGGCACAGAGCATTGAGGACCATCACCAGGAAGTGATTGCCTTTTGCAGAGAGAATGGGTTCCACGGTCTGGTTGCTTATGACTCAGATTACGCACTGTGTAACATCCAGTACTATTTCAGCGCCCATGCCCTTAAACTGAGCCGCAATGGCAAAAGCCTCACTACCAGCCAATACCTGATGCACGAAGTTGCCAAGCAACTAGACCTGAATCCCAGTCGGTTTGTTATCTTCGCTGCACTCTTAGGTGGGTGAATACATTTCAGATAATTTATTTCAAAAGTGCTGTCTTAGGTGGAAGGGAATGACTGTTATTCCTGGTAAGATGTGAAGTAATTGTTGGTCTTGAACTTAACATGCAATGTGCCTGTGTATGAAGCGCCCAACTTTTAAAAGCTGATATTTTTATTGTTGCAGTAAATACCCACATTTAAACCTTTTCTTTTTCATCATAGTCCTCTTTCCTGCTCTGTTCCTTGTCCTCTGCCATTCAACAGCCGAGAGAGAAGTTGGGTGCTGTCAGTGTCACTGGGGCAGCTGCAATGAAGTCTGTGTGTCTGGCCAATGGCTTCAGACTTTGTCATTCCCTGTAAGGGCCTCCAAGGCTTCCTTCCAAGATTGAGAGCTCGCAGTGTAGAGAACAGCACTCGTCGCCTACACTCTTATGTACTATTCAGCTGCATCAGAGAAGACCACTTTCCTTCCATTCCGTTTTGTTTCTCATATACACAGCCAGGACCCGAAATTGCAGCCTTTTGTTTTCAAAAAGGTGAAGGAAAAGATTTTAGGAAGAAGAAAAATTTAACGTTTGTCTTTTGCAGTTTTTCCCTAAAGACTCGATGAAAGATCCCATTAGCATGTAGCTTCTCTACAGTGGAAATTTCTCTCTCTGGTACAGTTAATTTTAGACCCATTTACTCTTTTATATGCATTTTCAGTCCAATTTATAAACACAATAGGGGCAAAGTGTTATTTAGCTGTCAGCTATTTAAAGATCTGGATTATATCCCTTCTTAACCTTTGCTCCAATGAAAACTGCTTTAGCCGTGTGTGTCTTCCTAATTTAGATTCCTAAGTCCCTGAGTCACCCTTGCTGTCTAACTCTTGAATCATCTCCTGTGGATGTATGCATGTGTGGTCTTTTGAATAGAGCACTCCGCATTACCTCACCTACGATTTGTACAGGATTGCAGCAGCTTGTTTCAGATTAGAGTCAAATGCTCTAGAGGTAGTTCCCAGTAATTTGTGAGAATTGTTTACATTGACTGAAAACTGATCAATGAATGTCATAGTCTTTTCACCTGAACAGGAATTGGCTTTAATTTGTTTATGTTTAACTTAGGCAACCATATACTACCTGATGAAGATCTGGCGGCCTTTCACTGGAGTTTACTTGGTCCAGATCATCCTCTAGCCTCACTAAAGGTACAAATAAAGTTTTTTCCCAAAGGAGCCAGGCATGTCATTGCCCCTTAATGTGCGCAGTTTACTGAAGGTTCCATTCTGTGACTGGAATGGTGGAATGTACAGATCAAGTGTGAAGTGTCATCGATTTGTGTGAAACTTCTAGTCTTTTTTTCTCTGGAAAGCTACGCTCAAAATGATGTCAGCAAGTCCATTCTATGTAGCAAGTAGATTCCTTCTCTTCCCCCTCCTTCGAGATTATACACTTTTCCTTGGCCAGAGAGCGGATGTGCCTTTCTACTGCCCTGCATATGGTTTGTTGATTTGATGGCCTCTGTTTTTTTTTGGGCCGGGGAGGGGGGACAAATGAAGGTAATTCATTTACAAAATACACAGTCAATTCACTTTACAATATATACTTTGTGAAGCGCTTTGAGAAGTCTCAATGACATGATGAGGCCTATATCAAATGCAAGGAATATATAGGATTCTATTTTTTTGTTTTTGCTATTGGACTCGCCTTGATGCATTTCCTGTTCCAAAGTAGCAGAGCTGAGAGAGCTCTGCTTATGCGCCAAACCCTGGGTTGATTTTTCATATTGTATTTACTTAATACGATTGAGCATGGTTCTTAAAAAGGAGGCTAAGTCAATGGTTCTCTGTGCATTCATGCAATGATGTCACCCTTGCTCAATTGTGGGCAACTGCCAAGGACTGAGCTTGCTAGGCCTGATTTTTGGGCACATCGCTTTGTGATTAGGCCTTAGAGAGAGGAATTTTACTAGGGATTTTTGCAGGTCAAATCCACGTGGAGAAAGCAGAATGTTGTGTAAATCTGTTGGCTTTGGTCTACCTCCAGGTACGCGCACACCAGCTTGTCCTGCCTCCCTGTGATGTGGTTATAAAAGCGGTCGCAGAATATGTTCGTAACATTAAGGAAATTGGTGATTTGGATGCTGTGGCGAAAGATGTTTTTAAACAATCCCAGGTATGTGAGCGACTGACTGGATCCAAAGCCTCTATTGCTATGCGCACAGGAAGTTTTGTTTTCCTAAATGATTAAAATTGTTCCTGAAATAATGTTCAGTAATGTTCAACATCATGAACGAAACGCCCTCTTTAAATTTGTACTGTGCAGTTTTCTACAGCTGTGCTTTTTAAATGGGACAGCATGAATTTGTGTGCATAAAACGCTCTGAATTATGATGACTTTTATGAATGTGGTGTTATCTGTTTTCAGTCTAGGACAGAACATAAAATTGAACGATTCAAGAGGGCAGTTGAATATTACTCCATTGCTAGCAAACCTCCATTATTTCAGCATGGTCCCGCTCCTTTCCCAGGTACATATTAGGAAGTTTGAATAAACGTTCAGTTTCTGCAACCTGGAGGCTATGCGAACTAAAGGTTTGTGGTTTGCTTGACCTCGGTGATTTTATTTGAGCTCTCTGAAAACGATTCTGTCTGATGAGCAGGGATTTTCTTGTCAAAGTGTACAGAAGTCAGGTTTGTTGTTGCATTGAAGTTTCCTGTTGTTGTGCGATTCACTGCTTGAGCGTTTTGCTCCATTTTCAAGATTATTGGTGTTATAAGTCCAAAGAAGAACTGGCTGTGGTTGTATTGATGGTCTTAAAGAATCGTACTTGGTAGAGTGTATCCCCATGGCACAAGATATGAGTGCATAACTGGTTATAACCTCTTTGTGCCTCATTTGCTATGGATGATCTTTTAGCTCCGTACCAGTGCAGCGAGACCTGTGTAAAGATGTATCAAAAGAGCAAGAACAATTGGTTTTGCTTGTGCTTGCAATAGGTTTCATTGTGGGCTGTCACATGCAGTCATAGGAATTACAGCACAGGAGGCTATCTAGCCCATCAAGCCTATGCTTGTGCCAGTTCTTCCACTCTTATCCTATATCCGGCACCTTTAATATTCTTCCTACTCAAGGACTTCTCCGCTTCCGTTATATGTTTTTGTCTCGGGTTCGGTCGGGGCTTGTGGCAAAGCATTCCACGTTCACGGTGCACATGGGTTACTTGTCCCCGAAGGCTTTTGTACATTTAGTTTGTTCTGTCCCTTTTTAGGGCTTTGTGTAACTTGTCCGTCTCACCCATATGCTTTTAAGGAATGAGGCCGAATCCGTTTGGAGTGCCTGGTCTTGTGCCGCCGTTTCCACATCCCCAGATGCTTAACATTCCACAAACCCATCTTCAGGCTAAGCCTACGGTGAGTTTGATTGACCTGAGTTGAACAATGCTTTTGAATGTGAATCGGTCAATGGAAAAATTGTCTCTTTCACATGAAGATCCTTGACAATTCAGTAAAAATGACGATCACAGTTGTTGAGGGGTATGTATGTTGACGGAGATTGATGTCTCCGCAAACAGTTTGTCACTGGATCAGCCTCCAGATCTAATCAGCAGTTCTTATGTCAGTCCTTGGCAGTTGCTCACAATTGCGCAGTCAGTCAGCGAAGAGAGTGGGTGGTTTAGAGCATTACTGTACACCTTCAGCCACAATCCGACTTCGTGGAAAACAAAACTGAGATTGGCCGTGTAATATAAAGGGATGGAAAGAGAAAGCGTAGGTAAATACCAGGAGAATAAATAGCAAGAGAACATTTGTAATGTCACTGAAGGGGGCCTTCTACATTAAATATTTGTTCTAGGTTTCTTCCAACCAGCAATTTCAGAGTAAATATCTGGAGCAAGGTAAAACCAGTATGGAAAGGAGAAACAGATTATTGGGTTATTCCAATAATATTGTTCCTCATTAATGGCTGATCAACTGGAAATAGATATGATGTAGCTTGCTTTAATTATACTAAAAACATAATGAATGTATTTATTTGATTCCGTTGTTCGTTTATCATGTCGGTCAACAGATCCCTGGCCAGGCTGCCAATTCAGGACAGACTACTTCAGACATGTACACACCCAGCAAAGATCCACCTTCATCCTTAGGTACATACCAGCCTGCCCTGTCTGACCCCAGCCTTGCCCTGGAATCCAATAACAGTTACAGCAACATTCCTCACGAAGGGAAGCACACGCCGCTGTATGAACGCTCCTCACCAAACATCCCCGCAGCTACGACCGGCAGTCCTAACAATTGCAGCACGGAGCCTCCGTTCTTCCCCACCTCCTCAACATCTTCCTCGTCTGACAACGAGGAAAACAGCAGCGGGACTGTTAAGTAAGTATTCAATCCCCACTCTTTTGACACGGGCGGAAACCCATCACCTTTGCTTAAGAGTCGCCAAACCAAGCTGAGAACTGTATACATCCCACCTACACATGGAAGTTCCAGAGATAGATTGTTGGAATGGCATGCCCACTCTTTCCCTGGGGGGGAGGTATCCTGCTTACCTAATTCCGGAGAGTATTAGGCGCAGGGTGGGAAGAGCCAAGGCTTGGGGACCCCAGAGTGTGTGTTGGGGTAACAGCTGGAATCTAACCAGCTAAAACTACATAGCTTGCCATTGATATCACTGTCAATAATTATTGTTCAATAACCGACCAGGAAGAGGTCAAACTTTTCCAAGTACTGTCTAGTTATTTGTCTGTGATATTTCTCGAATAGATTGCTCCTGTTCAGCAGAGGTAAGATGAATTGATGAAACGTGATTGCTTTTCTTCTCTCAGCCATGTCAGTGAGCAGCCACATCAGGTCGGACCTAAGCCAGCTTGGGAGAAGCCTGGAAATCTGTCAGAAACTGTGGAAAACGCCACTGGAGGAGCCCAGAAATCCGGTGCCTGTATTCGCAATGAAACAAAGGTATTGTATAAATATTAATTTGTTCTCCTCAAGGCAGGATTGCTCTGCTTGGAGCTTTCCGAATCTCTGATTGCTCCAATTTTCTTGCCTTTCTCTGCTGAAGGTCCCGGTACTGTTGCAGTGCTCTGGTACCTCGCCCAAATGCACCCAATCTTCATATAGGAGCCCAGGGTGTGAGTGTTGGCAGGTGGTTTGACTCGCTGTTCTTGCCTGACATCTGTATATTTATACGTATAATGCACGCAAATTTTCTTATAGTGTGACAGGGGATAGGAGAAGGAGCTTTGCATTTTTTATATAAACAAAACTGTTTCCTTCATCCCAAGGATACCTGCAATTCTCCCAACCGCTGTTTCACTTGAGATATTGGAAAATATGATTGCAAAAGTGCATCAAATAATCGACCACTTGAAATCACGTGCGAAAAGCGTGTGTGTTTTATGGGTTTTCATCCTTTCGAGCAATTCCTAAGCTACCTGATCCCCTGACACCCAAAGTCTACATTCTGGGTTGCCACCTGTTTTTCTGAACTATCATTTGCAGCGTTTGAACAATTTCCACTGCAGGGTGAAGTGCTTTCGACCTTAAATCTGTTTGTGAAATTATCCTTCACTTCAGTGGCTGTTTTGCAGGTGGAGGTTCCCCCCAGCACTCCAGGAAACCAACCAGATCCCCAAAACTCCCCTGCTCCGGCTGAGAGCAGAGTGAACCCAATCAATAGTGTGCAGATCCCATCTCTACTGTCGATGCCTACAAGGAACCACATGGATATCACTGTCCCACCTGTGCCAATGGTAGCTCCAGAAGTCCTGAGAGTTGCTGAGCACCGACACAGGAAGGGGTTAATGTACCCTTACGTCTATCAGGTTATTACAAAGGTGAGCCCAAATTAGTTGTTATGCATTAGACCTTGAGAACCGCGGAAAACAGGTTTTCAAATAAACAAAAGGAAAAATACTGCAATGCTGGAAATTTGAAATAAAAACAGAAGTTACTCGGAACAGTCAGCAAGTCAGGCAGCATCTATGGAGAGAGGAAAGTGAGTTAACGTTTCAGATCTGAGCGTTCCCAGCAACTTCTGTTTTTTTTCTTCCAAATGATTGAATTGAAGCATTTTCCACAATTCTGTGCAATCTTAAGACTGAATTTGGGACTTCAGTCTCAAATGCAAGGATTGTTGTTTTACAGCTGCCTCCCAATGCATTGTGGCAGTATTGGTCTAAAGGGAAATCTCTTAAATAGTGTTTTGCTGAATAGGAACGGTGGGTTAAAATGTTCCCATTAAGAAGTTTTTCCTGATTGATTATTTTCTTGGTAACGGGCTACGTGAAGACTTTATTTTTGGATAATGGTGAATATCCCGCTTTTAATTCATTTACATTTCATTATTTAATGGACAAAATTAGCCGTAAAGCCTTGGAATACTGTCCATGTATTGGTAACGATAGAATATTAGGTACTCGCTGTTTTAATGTGAACCATGGCATGTTGCTGAATCTTTTGATTCCATATGTTTACCAGATGGAAGATCTAATGGGGAACACTTTTTTTGTTTAATTTTAGGGTGAGATTAAGATTTCCGTTAGCATCGAAGATGAAGCCAATAAAGATTTACCTCCCGCTGCTTTGCTATACAGACCATTACGCCAGTGTGTGTATGGCGTCCTCTTTAGCCTGGCTGAGGCCAGGAAAAAGGCAGAAAGGCTTGCACTAAGAAAAAATAGACCCCTGCTCGAACGTAAGTTAACTTTTGTGATTGAAGCTGAATTAAAAAGTACACACAATTATTGACGTTTAGATCCCGCACGGTGATCTGGTAACATTTGATCAGAAATTAGTTTTTTTTTAACACCCTAATTTTAAAAGTCTGCACAAAATGCTGAGACATGTCAGCTTGGCTCGGTTGGTTCTCGCCTCTGGGTCAGAAGTTTACGAGTTTAAGCAGCTCGTGCTTGAGTTCATAGTCCAGGCATAGAGTACTGAGAGTGCAAAATAGCTGGAGGCCCATTTACAAATTCAGAGTAGTTTAACGTATGGAAATTTGTGATGTTTATAGTGTGTGAGTATCTCTGTTTTGTGCTCGACTGTTACGAGGAATATGCTGTTTTTCAGTGTGAATCCCAATGCTGAAGTCGAAAATAATTTTCGATGTAGCTAAGCGCAAAAGTTTTGTGTGTTGATTTCTAGTCTCTCCAATGCTCTCGTGATCCTGTGAAGTGAAGATTGCAGTCAAATCCACAAGAATTGTCGTGCTCAGTCAATTTCTTTTTACTTCACAGTTCCACCAGTTTTAGTTAAGGAGTGGGCTGCTTACAAGGGAAAATCTCCTCAGACTCCTGAACTGGTAGAAGCACTTGCCTTTAGAGAGTGGACTTGCCCCAACTTAAAAAAGTTGTGGCTGGGAAAAGCGGTGGAGGATAAAAACAGGAGGATGAGGGCATTTCTGGCCTGTGTGAGGTCCGACACGCCAGCCATGCTTAACCCCTCTAATGTCCCAACACATCTTCTGGTGCTTTGCTGTGTATTACGGTAAGTACTGTGTGTCACGGGGAGCAAACGCCACAGGATATTGAAGCAAATCGTGCTGCAAATCTTATATGGATTTTAAATTAGAACAATTACAATTTTAAAGGATTTTTGAATCACTGTCTTTTTTTTCCAATATTTAATCCGTGACATGTGGTAATAGTGATAATACCTGCATTTCATACAGCGCCTTATCACATCGTTGAGACTTCTCGAAGCGCTTCACAGAATATATTGTAAAGCGAATAGACTGTGTTTTGTGTTTGAAGACTCGGCAGCCAATTGCATACAGCAGTCTCCTACAAACAGTCATGGATCGAGTGACCACATACGGCTATTTGGTAGCTATAGAAATGTAGAGGACCAGAAAGATCCACTGTGCTCCGTCCCAAAATAAGAATGATTCTAAATAAATAAATTAATTAATTCTACGCTACTCATAGTCTCTCACACCCTCCAATTCCTTCTATTTTGCCAAATAACTATCCAGCTGCTTCGGTTGATTCCTGAATTTTTAATTAACAATGAAGCGTGGAGTCTGCACAATACGTTCTTTGCAGCCCACCATCTAGTCTGTGAAGGGATATTTTTAACACGGTTAATCTCATGTTGTTTCCACTGTTGCATACTCCAGATGCTTTTGGAGTATTTTATGCAATTTTGGGTGCCTCACCGTTAAATGCTGACTGATGTGTAGAGGGTTTAGAAAAGAAGAGCCACAATTATGATACTGTGATTTAGGGCTCTGCATTGTGAATAGAGACTTGCAGAACTAATCCTATTTTCATTGGGGAGAAGATTTTACCCACAAAATATACAGTCAATTCACTTTACAGTATATTCTGTGAAGCGTTTTGAGACGTCTCGAAGAAGTGATAAGGCGCTATATCAAATGCGAGGATTATTTTATTGTTACAAGGTAAATGGGGGGAAGGGAGTGTAGATGAAGTGAACGTAAGCAGACTATCTAATGACTTGCTTTTGCTGTACATATACATTGGGGATTGCAGCAGAGTGTTACAAACCAACTGCAATAGGCTGGGCTTGCTCCTAAATGAAAGTCACTCTTACTGAAACCTTTCTTGAGGTCCCCTAATTGTTGAAGGGCAGTGGAGAGCTGCCAGGCGCTGCTGAAATGAAAGTCTCTTAAAGGCTTCAAACGCTTTGCTCAGCACTGACCTCTCAACCCGAGCCAGCTTTCAAAGTTGCAATTATTCTGCAAAGTTTGCGGCAGTTAAATCATTTACCTTTTAAGTAGCACTCCTCACGTAGTAGAAACTCTCGCAAAATTAGATGAATTCGAAATGAAGTGAATGCTGTTAAGTAGGTAAAGGTGGCAGCTAATCTGCACCAACTGATTACCCAATGGTTCACCCAAACCAATGCAAATTTTGCAGTAAGGAGTGCTGGAAGGACAATTAAATGGGTAGCTATATAAATATATTGATTGCACGTTTATTACAACAATAATAATAATCTTGCATTTGATATTGTGCCTTATCACATCGTTTAGACGTCTCAAAACGCTTCACGGAATATATTGTAAAGTGGATTGACTGTTCTGTTTTGTGGGCGAAGAGCGGCAGCCAATTGCACACAGCAGTGTCCCCATGAACAGTGGTGGATTGAGTGATCGCATCTTTTTTGTTCAGAACTGTCCCAGTTGAAACGAAGCACAAACTAACAGACGTTTATCTATCTATCTGCGCGTGGAATGTCCAGTCGGTTTACGGTGCTGTGTCTGTCTCCCTGTAGCTACATGTTGCAGTGGCCAGGTGTGAGGATTCTGCGTCGCCATGAACTCGATGCATTCCTTGCACAGGCTTTATCTCCTAAACTGTATGAACCAGATCAGCTGCAAGAGCTTAAGGTAATCCTTGCTGTGGCAAATTCCATTAAAAGTGGACAAAGGTGGGGCAGGGGGGGGAGAAAGGCAACGCATTTAGCATTACATAGTTGGTATTTTTGACGCCTCAATGTAAAATTAATGGAATTAAATGAGAATTTTTTTTTAAAAAAACAGCATTTTCTGAAGTGGCTTTAATTTTTTCTCATAGACGGGAGTTTTTGTTTTACAGAAGGATTCAGTTAATATGTTAGATATTGCTTCCCACTGGTAAAAGTGTTCTCCATTTTAACTGTACTTTAGCATTGTGTGAAGCTCAGACGATTAATTTTCAGGGCTGACGTTAAGCCAAAGTCTTGAATCATTCTGAAAGGCCGTGTTTCTGCTCATTGCTAAGAGTAAATTATTTTGCAGCGCTCTTGTAGGTGAGATGAAGAAAGGATATGATGGTGAATAAAATTAAGCCCAAACTTGTTTGGAATTGGGCTGACAGATTTATGGGATTTTATACAATCTGCTATGCAATTTCAAACACATATTCTATCTACACCTAGAATCGGGAATGGTTTCTAAGTACAGTTTCTTTCTAACTCCTGCCCCAACGTTGTTGCCAAACACAGGCAGAGCCGTTTAAATTGTTTTCCCGTTCCAGTATAATAAAGACAAGGCTGCCCAGTGTCTGTGGCAGTTAAGTGCTTAACCACAGTGAAATAGTCATGGGTTTAGATTCCTATGAGTACTTAGAACTTCAGTTAGTTTTGTCAGCTCTTAGCTTTGCGACTAAATACAGTGGTACAAATGGTAAGATGAGCCGCACTATCTTGTCAAGCCTGATCCCTGGTCACACTCAAGCCCGTTGATAAACAGTCCTTCTGGGGAAGAAAACACCGAAGAAAAGATTTATCTTTTTGAAGTTCTATTAACATGGCGACTGAAGTTTTTGAACAAACTCAGGGAGTTGTTGACAGACTTAACCACTTGACCAACTTAGTTTCCTCTTTTATAGCCAGGGATTTACACACTAAAGATAGCCCCATGGTAGCCGCTTGATGTTAGCCCCAACGGAGATTGATTCAGATTTGAACTTGTGTTGTGGCCAAAAAGCAACTTTTTCGAATCGGTTTTGCTTTTATCATTGTGTGAGGCACTCTCTGCCTAAAGCTGTGAACCAGGTGTTTCTTGTCTGTGTGGATTCTGCTTCTCATTTGTGTGTGGGTTTTTTTTGTCTCTCTTTCTCCCCCTTTCGATTTCAGATTGATAGCTTGGATCCACGGGGTATCCAGCTTGCAGCTCTGTTTATGAGTGGGGTTGATATGGCACTTTTTGCAAATGATGCTTGCGGGCAGCCAATTCCATGGGAACACTGCTGTCCGTGGATGTACTTTGATGGCAAACTTTTCCAAAGTAAGCTTATAAAAGTGAGCCGGGAAAAGGTACCCTTGATTGACCTCTGCGATGGTCAGGTATGGCTTTAAATATTCTATTCCAGGGGCGCGTTACACACGAGAAAGTATTTAAGAAATCTATAAGATGTTACTTTTTACAGCACTGATAATTTGGTGAATGCCACTTTGTACGTGTTATAACATTATGCCTTTGGGTCCTTCCGGTCTGGAGTTTTTCCGATTCGCTCACTCGCTCCCTGCTTTCAGAGCACATCTCAAAAACATGCCACTTGGACTGCGTTTTCGGTCATCTTTCCCCTTTCAACTTCCCTTGGCTCCAGCCCCAGCTCAGATGTCCAGCCAACGCTGTGAAGTCTGTTTTTCGGCCTGAGCATTGGCTATAAACAATACTGCCGTGGGGGGTGGGGGAATGCATGGGATGGTGGGAGAGAAAACACTTGCTGGGTAAAGTAAGTGGTTTTTAAGCAGCCAAGTTCTAAGCGTGTCTTTCTACAAATATTCCTTTGCGTTTCCTGTCTCCTTCTAGTGCTGCACAATTCTGGAATTTAGTTTATTATTTTTGCTGGTTACCTTGACTGAGACCTTTTCCCGTTTGTGCAGCAGACAAAACAGGCGTCTTATCGAGAATAATTAGGGTGCTCTCTGGCATGGTTTCATCTTGGCGGCAAAGGAATCTCTTTCTCCCTCTCTGTGTCTGTCCTGCACTTGTGAAAATAACCTGCACAATTTTTAAAACAATCTTGTCTTGCTCTCGATTAAGTTACAATTCTCAGATGAGAATAACAGGATGAGGTGGTGATAGATGTCTTTGATAGCGCCTTTTGCTTTGAGAGGTTGTTTTAAAGCACTTTTCTAGACATAAGACCATTTCAGTGCGGTTTCTGTTACACTGTACATTTATGTAGTACAATGGCATCAGCTACCATACAGTGAGAACTATTCCAAGCATTGCTGGATGCTGGGCAGGCAGGATATCGAATTCGAATTAATTTGCCATTTTGATTAAAGGGCTTGATTTTGATGAAGCGCTCCAAGACATTACCCTACCTGAAAGGTGCTACATAAATGCAAATTGTTGATTAAATGGCCTGCACATTGCATGTAATCATTTTTAAAGTTAAATACAGACCATGATCTTAAACTGCTAATCTTAAGTAATTTTGAACAATATAGCCTGAAGTCTTATCAGTGTTCATGTTGGGAACACGTTTCTGCTAACGGGTGGTTCTGTGAGTGAAGGTGCAGTTTGAAGCGCAATGTGAGAAGCATTTTGCTTGCGTGTTGTGTTGAAGAGCTGTTGGGTTCATGTATTGACTGTTGTGTATTCTGAACCTTGCTTTGTCTCGGTCACAGTGCAGGGCAATACGTTTAGAATAGCAGATGTTTCAAATGAAGTCATTTGAAAAAAAAATCCTGTCTTGTCAGAAGTTCTGAAAATGTGCTGTTTCTTGTGATTTCATTGATTTTCCAGGCTGAACAAGCTGCCAAACTTGAGAAGATGCGTCAAAGTATCCTGGAAGGGTTAAATTTTTCCAGGCATATCCACCCTCTCGCTTATCCTCCTCCGGCCATGCATTTCTACCCAGCTGCGATTTACCCACGGCCTATTGGACACATGCCATTGCACCACGGCAGGGGAAGAGGTTTAGGTGGTAAGCAAACTCGTGTTTGATTATGATTATTATTGATAAATATTATAATATTATTATTTGGAGTTGAGGCGCAGATCAGCCAAGATCTAGAGGCGGAATGGCCTCCTCCTGTTCCTACATTGCTGGGTATGCTGAAGTGCCACATTTCACAGAGTGGGAAAGGTTGGATCCCAGGTTAAAAGCAGTACACACTTTGAGCATTTTGCTCCAGCGCCTTTGTTTGAGATGGGTATTCTCTGCTGTGTGTTCTTTTTGGTGATCCCAGCTTTCCTGTGCTGATTGCACCTGGTTTACAGAAGAGCATTCATTAAAACCTCTTTTTGCTTCATGTTATTATTTCCTTTGTTAATTTTGACTCTCTTCATACTTACACTGTTGTTTCATTCTTGCGTCATTTTCTTCTGCTGTTTAATTTCTGCTTCAGTTATCTTTATTTCTTACTCTCCTGTTAGTGTAGTTTATCTCCACATTGTCCCTTTGTCTCTCTTGACTTGTAACCTGCCCTCCCTAATGTATTCTGATCAGTCGTCTGACTGTTCACACTTCTGTTTTTCTTCCCCTTTAAAGGGTATTGTCTTTTCACCATTAAGTCACTGACCCTTTGTTTAGTGAAGGGCTTCTGTGCACCTCCAAGAGAATGAGGAATGCTGAGCAGTGATGGTTTGTCTCTCCGTCTATCTGCAGGTGTCCAGCCGATCCCTCCTCAGGGTGGGAAGCTGGAGATTGCGGGGACGGTGGTCGGCCAGTGGGCAGGAAGTAAGCGTGGGCGTGGACGGGCGGCTTTCCCTCTGCAGGTCGTTTCTGTTGGCGGGCCAGCGAGAGGGTATGTTGGGTGTGACAGCCCACCGCGCGCGCAGACACTGGAGCCCTCCCTCTCAAACTACCATCGCTGTTAACCGTAGATCGGTTTCCAGTAGTTTTAAATTTTGAATAGAATCAGAAGTAAACGGGAGTAAAAAGAAATGAAGCATTGTTTTACAGCGAAATGCCGGTCACATCAAAAAATGCTCAAGTCGAGTCTGATCCCAACTGATATATTTTCAAGACTGAGATGGGTAGATTTCTGTTTGGTATCGAGGCATATGGGGCAAGTTCGGGTAGTAATTGGAGTTGAGTTACGGATCAGACATGATCTTATAGAATGGCAGAACAGGCTTGAGAGGCTGAATGGCCTTCTCCTGTTCCTAAGTATAATGTCATTCAAAAGCCAAAGTGCTGCGCTGAAAATGATAACCAGAATTTTCCAGCTGGAAGCACATTGCTAACTAAGCAAATAGCCTTTCAGTGCGTGATTTGGTTCAAACGACCAGTCCAAATCTGATCCAGATCTGAAGTTCTGGACCCAATATGGTGACATTATCACGGATTGTTCAGGTGGTACATTAACAGCCGTGCACCTCCAGAACGTGTTCAGCTTAGTTCAGAAAGTAAGTAGCATCTTGTAAATGCTGATCATTGATTTTACCCGTAGTTGTTCACTTTCTTGAAAAGTGGGTTTGCTATAGTTGGAATAAATTGTGTTTGCTGTTATAAAGGCGTGCACGAGGAATTATCTCCAGCCCAGCAGCTAGTCGTTTCAGCAGAGGAGCCAAGTACTACACTAAAAGTTCTGCTGTCTGGAATGTCCGAAGTCCAGGAGTGACTCAGGTGAGAAATACAGCATAACCCAGCCAAGCTCTGTGTGTGTGTGTGTGTGTGTGTGTGTCTGTCTGTCTGCAGTCACATTGAAGGCTGTTTCGCCATAAAACCTGAAAAATACCTGCGCGGTTAGATTCCAAGGACAGACAATACTGATAAACATGGCAGAGCCCGATTCAAATGGATAAGAGTGTTTGCAAATTGGGGTAAATTTAGCTCTGGGTTTGAATTGTGTCCAAAATAGATTTGGAGCTTGCTGTATTCGGGCTTATCAAAATGAATGGTGTTATCGTGCTAAATTGGTACATTTCAATCGCTCTAGATTTACCAGCCAATCAGCAAAAACTAACTAAATCCAGCAACTGGTTTCAATGGCACGTGGAGGCTTTGCAGTCTATCCTAGTTAGAATGCTAACGTTTCATTAACATTGGGTAGATCCCTCGTGCATTAGATTAATCTTATTTGCTACAGTGCAGCGCTGTTGATATGTTAGAAATGTATTCCTGAGCACCAGAAATGTTTACAGATGCGTGCTGACTAAAATTTTCTTTTGGTGTGTGTGTGTGTGTGTGTGACAGAGTCAACCAGCTTATGCTGCCTCAGCAGAAGAAATTGCTCAAGAGCTGAAGGGCTCTGGGGATTCGGGAAACCCTGCTTCAGAGGAACAGGAGCAATCGGGGGTCGTGGCGGCAGAGACTACAGATAGCTCCCCCGCTGAGAATGGAGTTTCAGACGAAAGCAAACCTACTTCCCAACTAAATGGGAACAAGGGAGACGTCAGGGCTTCCAATCAAACTGAAAGTGCCTTGAGTAATGACTCTAAAATGTGCAATACAAATCCTCACTTAAATGCACTAAGTACAGACGGCAGTTGCAATAGAGATGAAAGTCTTGGCACTGCCGCCTTGAAAAAGGAAGAGTAATGTTTTATTGTTTTTTTCTGCTGAGGGGGTGAAGGATGTTTGGAAGGTTCCACAATGGGAGTATTTGGAAAAGAAGGCCTACAGTTGCATACAATATTTTCTTCTCCGTAAGAGAAATGAGGACATTGGAATTTTGGATCCCTCTGATGTCAGCTGTGTAACACGCAGTCTTTACTAGCCAGTTTGCAGTTGAATGCTATCAAATGGAATGAAGAGCATTTGACTCCCACACTTGAAATGGTATTACAAGACATTCAAAACTGGTTACGACAATTTACATTTTCTTTTTCAGACGGTAAAGCAAATACGGCTTTAATTTGGCAGTCTTTAATATTTAGGTTAAAGTACAGTACTTGGCATCATAACTTTGCCATCTTAATTGATTTTATGTGTTATTGTGTCAGTTGCTTATTTTAAGACTTAAATTTCACATGAAGCCTGGAAAAGGGCTCAGAACCACAAAACAAAATCTTACTTCAGTGTCATGAGTTTTGATGTGGTTAATCGTCAACACATGATTTAGAACAAGCAAACAAACAGACAAGAGAATTCAACTCAATGTTAAGTTACAAGAGTAATATCGCAGCTTCAGTTTTGGCAATCTTAAGAAAAGCATATATGTGCAAGAAGCAAATTACATGTCAAGAGACAACTGAAAATATTCATTGAAGATGCAGATGACCTTTACAAATAGTTAAACATCACCATATAATTGATACGTTTTGTGAATGTGACGGCTCCTTACCATGCATCCGTGATCAATGAAATCAGTGGTTTTTGAATCAGACGTAGACATTAGTACTACTACTTCGGCTAAACTTCTGCATGGTTCATAATTTTTGAAGTGTGTAGTTAATATTATGCATGTTATCGTCCTCTTTCTTCCACCCTACAAGTACTGTGCCCATCTGCAAATTTTAAAAACAGTTAGTCATAGTCCTATAAAAAGGTGTTAAAAAAAAATGTTTAGTCATTAACTGATCTTGCTCTAACCTTAAATTTTGTGGTTATTGACCTCTGTTGCATTTATTCTAAAACCTACAAAAAATTATCTAGCCACTCTGAATGATTAATGTTAACCCTGATGTACTCATCGCGACTGTATTCATATTGTTCTCTGTTGCTGTTTTATGCATTCGTATTAGCAAAAGTGATCTTTCTGCGAAATTTTTTGAAAAGCTTCAATCTTCAAAAAAACGGAAATTTCCCCCCCCCCTTACTGTAGCAGACAAATCAGCAAATTGCTTGTCTTTTTACAAAAAAAAACTTTCCCACCAAAAGTTTAGCACAAGCAAGTAAGTATACCTGTACCTTTTTGCTGTTTTTGTTAGTGTTTCAACCCTGATGTACTTCAAATCGAAACCCTTACTTTATCATTATTTCATATAATGTTCCTGATGCTCTTCATCACACATTAGTGAACAGAAATAAGATGTAACCCCCTCCCCAACCCCCTGCCCGCAACAGCTAAATAGTACCTTTTATGTAAGTTGAAAGGAGTTCTACCTACATATGGATTGTGCAAGAATGAACTACTGTTGGGTTTGCTTGGTTGTTGATGGATTGTGGTGTGGTGTATTGCTGGAAGGCTATTGAATGCAACTTACAATGCTTAATAAAAATCTTTATTCTTTTAGTATAAACCATTGGTTGTTTTTTTTTTTGTTTTGAACTTGAGCATGTGATTTCACCATTAATCGGTTGGATTGTTCATTGTATCTTGAGTTTTGCTGGTAAGTTTGGAACGTCAGACTATTCCTGTCTTTCTTTACCTTCCTGCTAAAAGATGTTCAGAAACCCGTTTCTGGCAATTTCATAAAATGTTGCTGGTTGGTATAGTTTTAGTTTGGAGGCTCAATTGGGGTAAGCATTTAGATTCCTAGAATCTCTCCATTAATATTCTTCCCAAGAATCTATCTTAACTTCCCATTAAAACAATTTCTGGAGTGTGTTTCAACAAGTTTGTGGTGCGGAATACCAGAAGCCATCCACCCTTTATGTGAAAAATGTTTTTTGAACCCTCCCTCTAATTCCTTCTGGAATTACTTTAATTTGTGTCCGGGTTATCTACTTTCCGACCACTATTTACCCCTTCACAGCCCTTCTTAATCGTGCATCACTGGTTTTCTCAGCTCAAATGGACTAAAAGTCTTGAGCTATATCTCTCGAAGAATGTGCAACTACTGAAATTATTGACCGAATTTGTGAGCTAATAAGTGGGTATTTTTATTTATCTTTTATCGTTTTGAAATTATGCTTTATAAATGTATTAAAGGAAACACTGGAAACGATAGTGGATTAAATACACCTTAAAATCTAGCTTTAACAGGATAACCACTCAACCATCTGATCTAAAGAAACCTTTCTGTGCTTCTAAAAGTGTCCTCTACATATTTAACGTGCAAAGATACCAATTTTCATGAACAGACAAAAGGGCACTGAAGAACGTACAACTGATGGATGCGCTTTAAACTGATTTTGCGATGGGTAATTTAGTACAAGGCTTCAAATCTCGGTTTCATTCCTCGAAATTAGTTTTCGAGTTTAATGAAGTCGCACAGGTCCATGTTTTAATAAACGTAGATGTGATATTCAAACCCCATTCGGACGCAGCGAATACCATTCAATCACAGAAATGTACTTTCAAAATATTTTTGGCCAACAATGTGCCAATTGTTGGAGCAAATTATGAAGGTTGGTTGAAATTTAACAAAATGTCACAGTTGTGAATATAAGAGACTCAACTAATCAATGTTACTGCTACTGTACAATACTGCACTAACCCGATTGATATGGTAATGTTGGAGCGGAACTTGGGTTGTGGGAGTTTGAAGCCACAGTTAAGAATAGTTTGGAAGCTCAATTTTATAATGTGTACATCGGGTAGATGTTGGATTTTACACTTGAGGCATTTAGTTGTGTTTATAAGATTTGAGTGTGGGTGAGGCAGAGAAGTTATCTTTTGAAAAAAAGAAGTTAACCAGTCGCTGATCACTAAAACTTTTATTTAATCATCCACAGAAAAAATAAATAACCCTGAAAAAGGTTAAAATAGAATTGACTTAGCCAAGAGTGGGGTAAGTAAGAGCTATAAGCGCCGTAAGAATATCCTGTGTGTGGACAAACCTGAAGGATAATAGTCAGTTGTGTTGCCAATTTTTCATTTGTGAAATTTTCCAGCCTCATACTGCGATTATATAAATGTTTTGAACTTGGTGTCTGTGGAACAATACGTAGGTGCAACTGCATGGAAAAAGTTGGTTTCAGTCTCATCTGCGGAAGTGAAAGAGCCACAAATCACATTGGCACAAGCCCACAACAGGGGCAAAAAAAATCACAACAGAAATCTGCAGAAATGAAAAGCCTGGCTTGTTATTTTTAATGGTTCAAGTGGTAAAACATTGTGACGCTGCCTTACTTCAATTACTGCCACGAAGATACCAGATTTCTGAAACTGACTGCATTTTTCCTCATTTTGACACTGGATATGTCCAGATCTGGTCTATTGGGAATCTCAAGGTTCCATGTACAGTAAATAATATCGCACTGATTTGATTTCTTTCCCCTCTCCAACATTGGGCAGATAAAACAGGTTGACTCCTGCCGTGCCACGTAACTCTTGACAAAAATTTTCTTTCACCTGTGTGACTGAAAAGTGTTTCGATACTCTCGCTCGATGCAGTTGAACCTTACTGGGGGCACCTAACCTTGAAACCATACTGCATCAAGGTACATATCACCAATTGTATTTCCATATTTGATCTGGTTCCAATGGGATCGGTGCCTCGACTTTATCAACCGGGTTATGGAAGACGACAAATCGCCATCGGTGTCACCGTGGGGTCTGAATCTTGTTTTGTGTGCATCGATGGATCCTTTTTAATGTACAGGCTCTTTTGTCTTGGAAGCTCTGATATCGGAAAGCCGCTCTGTTGGCAACTGGCTTCCGATACGATCCAGGCGATGGACGTTGAGCAACTTTACCTGATCTGGCTGGGGTTGTGTTGGTCACGTGTAGTTTCTTGCCTGAATTAAATTCTTCCACTTAAATAAGATCAAATGTTCCCTTGTTTGTCTGGAGGCGGAAAGAAATTTACACTCTGCGAATACTGTAAGGCCTTGACTTTTTATACAGATAACTAAATCCTTGTAAAATGCAAAATTTATTTGCATCGTATTGCTCTACGTAGCTCTTAACAAAATAGGTTTTAGATTGCGATCTACATTGTGATAATATCAGGCAGAACACCACCTGAGTGGGATGCCGTGGCCACTGCTCTCAAAGAGAAGGGAGTTTCTCCCCGTCTCCTGACCAATAATTCCTCCCAATAAAATTGCTCTTTTGTTTCTTGGCTGTTTGTGGGACGTTGCTGTGCACAATTAGGCTGCGCGCCAAGTCGCAGTAAATCTTGCTAAGCGCTTTGGGACTTCCTCCCGACGTGAAAGGAGCTATATTAAAATGTAAGGATTCTTCTTATAATCCTCGGCAATCAACGTTTTTCAATCTCAGTTGAGTGGTGACCAAATGTGCGGAGGATGCCGGTTTGGAATACAGCTTTTATCCGAGAAACTGTAGGTGTTGAAAATTGGAGCATTCTTCGCCCCCACTTTCCTCTCCCCCACCCCCACCCCCCCGACCCACGCATAAGGGGGAAACCATTAATACATGCCATGAGCTGGTTGATAATCTTGAGCAGTCGACAATTTTTTGTAAATAAAAGAGATAAATGAATAATCCGGTGTCTTTCACTGAGTAATTTGGCAAGCAGTCACTTCAACGCTCAAAACTTACTTTTTTGAGAATTTAAAAGATGTTCTTAAAGAACATATTAGGAATAATGCCGTAGGGCTTCCTGGACAGAAATGTTTTGCCCCCCCCAATTTGGAAAAGGTTATAATCGCCTGCTGTGAGTGTTTTCGAGTGCTCCTAATTTTTCAATGGTACAAAATGAAAGGCCTTCCCTCCTCTACATTTCCCCAAATGTCCACGTCTACATTAAATTTACTCTTGGTGCCACCTGCTGGTCTCTGGAAAACATTTTACTACTGTACCACCCGGCAAAGTACTGCAGCAAAATCCCATTCTGTTAAATGCTTCCCTGTTATGGAAGCCATCAGAGACCGTGTGCATTCTCGTATCAATATGTGATCCTCAGTGTCCTGCGAGTGCCTTTTGCGGGAATGCAATGTGACTGGTAGATTGCAGAGTCCATCGTGTGTTTCCAGAGGGAAATAGACATAAAGAATCGAGGCTTGAAGGGTATTGGGGAGGAGAGTAAGCTTCGGGATTGAATGAACACCTTGCTGCGAGAGCTGGTGCGGACTCGGTGGGTCAAATGGCGTCCTTCTGGGCTGTAAATTTCCGATTTTAAATTCAATAGAAGTTAGATAGCTTTTCAGTGAAAAATATTGACGGAGGGGCATATGAGAAGGAATGTCTTTACAGATAAGACATGGACTGCAATGATTTTTAAAATTCCGATGTCACTGTGCTTCCCCCCTCCCGAGGATTTATAACAATTATACACATTTTTATGTATTCATTCCCTGATGCGTAACGTGGAAAATCGTCAAACATTTGAACTCGTGGCACATTCATCCATTATTGTGTCTTAGAAGTCTTTCAGCTTCAACAGCGATCGTATTGATGAGTTTGATGATTGATTTGTATCTCTGGCTTTGTTGGACTTGTCATAAACACCATTCTGCCATTGAGAACACCATTTGGACTTTGATTCCGAGCGGCACCTGTTTATCTGAGGAGGTAGACACTGGCATTGACTTTTATGGAAAACTGGATGTTCTGTCAGGAACAAACATCAAGTGCATAGTTGCAATAATTACTCCTAAGGGTGACATCCATTCAAGCTTTCCTTTACATAGGAGCCCCCTCAGTATTCATACTAAGACAGTACAGGAGTTGTGAATCTGTCCATTGAGCAGCTCTTCCCGTATGCGAGATTGACAAGTTGTCCATTGCTGAGCACGATCATCTCTTAGCTTGAGCTTTCCATTTGTCGTCTGCAAGGTTCACATGCCTTCTGGTGTCCTGCAGGGGGAAGTCTTTGGCAGAGTTTTTGTGAGCCACTGTGTTGGTGAACAAAACCACCCAAGATTTTCAGCGAAGTCGCCTTTTGGGCTTAATGGACCCAGGCGATCCTCATTGCAAATTCATTACTTTTAGACATTTCTGGAGCTCACTTGGATCTGTATTTCCTATAAAGATGTGTCCTTTTTAAAAACTGCAAACTGTAAAACAATGTCAGTGATAGATTTGCTTCAAGCCAGAGAACACAGCCATTTGCCTTTTCTACTGTAGATCAACCTCACGCAACCTCTTGACGTCGCTTGCCTTCTGCTCTCTTTAGATGACTATTGATTGTCACCAATGAAAGGTACTCGAGTATAAGTGTGTTAAGCGAATTAGTCTCTAATCCCCAAGTTTATGTTTCCTACCTTTCTGAGTTTGAGGAGAACATGCACCGTCCTCCAATGCTCAGCAACCATTCCTTATTTAGGGAGCTCCTAGAATATCCACGCTTACTTTGGGCGTCCGAAGACAGAAGAAAGATTGAAAGCGGAGTCACTGAAGGTAAGACATTAACTGCTGGTTAGAAGTACGAGGGTGGTAAACCTTAATTTTGAGGAATACGAAACAAATCTTTGAATAACGCTGTGTTGTCTGTATTTCAAGAATGCAATTTTGTTCTGGTTCAAATTGTGGGTTATTATTAGATCGAATTATCTCAAAGCTTTTCCCCCAGCTGATTGAGTGAGATAGAAGCAGGGCTAAAGACTAATTGTTAGCCTTGTTTGGTAATATTTATTCATCAGGTGAGTAAGATGGTTGAACGAAATGAGCTAACATTGCGGTCACGTTTCAGACCGCCTTACTTTGCAGTTATGTTCACTCTACATCTATGTCAGAACCTACACGTAACCTGCTCTGCGATTGAGCGCCGCCATATGTACAAATATCTATCGTTCCTTTGCACCTGTGACATCCTCTGTCTTCAGCTGTACGTCGGCCTCACTGAAGTAGGGCGGAGGAGCTGAGTTTTGACACAGAAAAAGCATAACAAAAAGGTGACAAGTAGATATTGGAGGAAGTGTTTTTCATGTAGAGGGATGGGGGTGGGGTGGGGGGACGGGACATTCGAACATGCTCACGATGCTTTTTCAATCGTCTAAAAAGATTATCATTGATCAGGATCAGATCGCTCCAGGCTGGGGGTGGGGTGATCAGCAAAGACTCTAACAGTAACCCCTTACGCTGAATTGTACGGTTGCGGCACACGCGTGTGCTTCCGCTCACCGGTTTGGGGCTTTGCGTGTCAGGTTTCGTTATGGTCGGCCAGGTGTCCGATGCCCTCAAGGAACCCGATCGCAGTGCTAAAGAGCCGCCACCAACAACAACAACTTGGATTTATGTCGCGCCCTCCGCGCCGGATGGCGTCTCAGAGCGCTTCACAGTGACGGATCCCGGGGACCGAGCCGGGGGGGTGGGGGAGGCCGAGGAAGGTGACCGAAGGCGCGGTCGAAAAGAAAGGTCTTCAGCAGGACCTGCGCCACCGGCACGTGGTTATTGCGCCGGTGGAGTGTGAGAAAAGGGAAAGAATTGAGCAATTTTTTTTCAGACAAAAGCCAATCGTCCCCATTACGCGACACCCCCACCACCACCCCCACCCCCCACACACAAAAAAAAGTTCGATTAAAGCTTGGCTTGGATTGGGTTTGCAATGGATGAGGTTGGGAGCCTATGGGGCTTGCGGAGGGGGGAGTTGAGGAGGAAGGTTGGGAGTGGGGGGGGGAGTGTAGAGGTGTAGAAGAGGAAGAGAGGTCGCCCCCCCCCCCCCCCACTGCCCCCGGGATCCGGGGCTGCACCGGGATCGCCTTTGAATCGGAATTCAGAGGGGGGAGGGGGTTGCATTGGGTGTGGGGATTGCATTGGGTGTGGGGGAGTGGGGGTTGCATTGGGGGGGTCGGGGGTTGCATTGGTGCGCGTGAGAGAGAGAGAGAGAGAGAGACTGGAGAGAGCCGTTATATTTTTTTGTTCTTCTTGTTGCGCGCGCGCGCGCTCGGGCTCGCGCGCCGGGCGAGGCAGTCGGGAGCCGAGCGACCGACCGATGGACCGGGACCGGACGAGGGAGGGAGGGAGGGAGGGAAAGAGCGAGACAGAGAGAGAGAGAGAGAGCGACTGACTGACTGACCGACCGACCGACTCGACTGACGTGGCGCGCGCTGCTCGCGCTGGGGAGGGCGGGAGGGAGGGAGAGCGGGAGAGCAGTCGAGCGCGAGCGAGGGAGACCAACTGACGTCGCTCGCGCTGGGGAGGCAGTTGCAGTCGAGCGCGAGCGAGGGAGCAACTGACGTCGCTCGCGCTGGGGAGGGAGGGAGGGGGGGCAGTCGAACGCGAGCGAGGGAGCAGAGCGCGAGCGAGGGAGCAACTGACGTAGCGCGCGCTGCCTGGCGGGCGGGCGGCCGGCGGGGCGGGAAGGGGAGAAGGCCGGGCGCTCGCTCGCTCGTTGGCTGTGGGCCGAGCGTGAGGGAGAGAAGGACTGCCCTCCGTCACCACACCATCAAATATATTCTCCTCTCTCTCTCTCTCCCCTCCTCCTCCTCCTCCTCCTCACACACTCACACAAATATATAACTTATATTCGAATGTTTTTATATATATATTTTTTTAAAAAACAACAACAACAACAAAAGCCGTCCTCGAGGAGGGTTCGGAGTGGGGGGGGTGTGGGGGGCGGTGGGAAAGTGAGTGAAGCTGAGCCCTCAGGGGAGGAGGGAGGAGGAGGAGGAGGGCCCTTCACGGCTGAGTTGGTTGGGTGGGCGGGTTGGGTTAGGGTGTAACGCCTCTCTCGCCCCCTCCTCTCCGGCTGTGTGTGAGTGAGTGAAGTGAAGTGAGTGGTGGGGTGGAAGGGGGGGCGGGGGGGGGGAGAAGGAGAGAGAGAGAGAAAAAAAGGCGCCGCTTCCCTTCACACCGCCAAAAACCCGCTCCCGCCCCGGCGGCTCCCAACATGGCGGCGGTGCCCGTCTACTGCATCTGTCGGCTGCCTTACGACGTTACCCGCTTCATGATCGAGTGCGACGCCTGCAAGGATTGGTATCACGGCAGGTAACCCGCGCGGCGCATCTTACTGTAGAAAGAGGAGGGAGAGAAGCCTCTTCCCCCCCTCCCTCCCACTTCCATCGCGACCTTGTTATTGTGTTGGTGTGTGTGTGTGTGTGAGGGAGGGAGGCCCTGTGTGTGTGTGTATTTTTGTTTGCTGAGAGCGGTTGTGTGTGTGTGTGTGTGTCTGTGTGAGAGTGATTGAGAAAAAACTTGTGTGTTGACTTGTCTGGAGGAGCGAGGCCTTGTGATGGCTGGAGGCGCTGCCTCTCCTCTCCCCTCTCTCCAGCTCTCTCTCTCTTTCTTTTTCTTTCTCTTCCACCCCCTCACCTCACCCGGTCTGGGACTCACTCCCTCTGCCTCATTCTTTCCTCTCAGTGGCCCCCTCTTGTCTCTGTCTTTCTTCCCCCCCCCTCTAACTGCCCGTTTCTCTCTCTCTCTCTCTCTCCCCCCCCCCCCCCCCCCAAACCGTCTCGTAGTTCAGGGCCTCAGTACATTGCAGTATGTCCCCCGACCCCCCCCAAAAAAAATACACACCAAAGTTTTACGTGGCGATCCACCCTCCAAACGTCCTGTCCACCAGCTCAGGTTCCTCTCTCTGTCACCCCTTGTGTCATTCTACGCCTCTCCCTCCCTCCCTCCCTGTGTCCCTCTCCTCTCTGTGTCCCTCTCTTTATCTTTAAGTCAGACACAGCCGTAACTTATCTTCATCACCTCCTGGTTTTTGTCCATAAAGCACCCCCTCTCCCCCCTCCCAATCTCTTTGGGCTCCAAACCCCAACAAAATCCTTCCAGCTCCCCTATCAGCCTTTTACAGTGTCAGATCGTACACCCTTTCTCTTTGGATAAACTGTACCAAAGTGGAAGATGACATTTTCGATGTGTTGTTTGCTGTCACGTTGCGAGAGACCGTTTAATTATTTTTTTTTAAAAAGAAAGAAAAAGAGAAAGACACCGCCTCTGTGCCTGTAGCGTGATTTTTGACGTTTGAGTTCCCAGTTTGTGTTGTCAAAAGTCCGTTTCCTGTGTGTTTTAAGTTTCACAAAAGTATCGGGAAGGCTTTCAAGGTTTTTTTTAAAAATTGATTTATTATTATTATTTCAGTCATTATCGGTCAGTGGCATTTATAATTTAATGTTTTCTGTGCTATTATTTGGTTCCAAACTACATTTAATTTCATAATTTTTGCACACCAGTTTTATTTAACGCGGTATAAATATATCGTATTCCACATAACTATGAAAGTCTGAAGTGCTATAGTTTTGAGGAACTTGTTTTTGAGATCCCAGAATAAAGTGTGAACTATGATTACAGTATTGCTGTACTACTCATTTCAAATGCTCCTTTAGCCTAATCGTAACCCTTCTCAGTACCTCTGACTTTTTAAAAAATATATATATAAATGTTCATTCAAACCGGTCTGTTGGCTGCTGCAGGTCCTGAAATGTCCAAACTTACTTTTGAGTTCAGATACAATGGCAATGTGTCGTGGCTGTTTGTACTACTAGGAAAAGCAGGTCAGGTAGAAAGAAGCTGGTGAGAATGCACAAGTGTACTCCAAGATGACTAACTGGGATAGATATAAGTAGTTCCTGTATTTTTTTTTGAATGAGCACTGGCTTCTAATAGCCTTTTGGTGTACTGCACTGTGAGATAGTTCTCCCATGTTTTCAGAACATGATGGAAGCATTTTTGGAAATAGGTCTTGAGGTCAAACCATTTTTTTCCTTTTAAGTTCCCCCCCCCCCCCCCCTGAAGTATTTCTAATCCCAAATGTGCTGTCAGGCCAAGGTGATTCTCAGAAGGGACTTCCTCAGAGGAGAATATCCATCAGAAAGGCTGGTGAACCTGTGCTGCACTCATACACCTTGCATTCTGTTATTGAATAAAAAATAGAGATCTGGTGGCCCTGTTGGCTTGAGAATGATTGATTTGGGATGAGATCATGACTTAAAGGCAATGACTATTTGTGTGAAGTATTTATTCATAGTAAAATAGCTTTTGTTGTTCTGACTTAGTTTTCTCTTATAGAGAAAACAGAATTTTTAAAATCAGCTCTTCAGAAAGGGGCGAGTTACAAACTCTGAATGGTTCGTTATGCTGGTACCTTTAATTATGTCACCTGCAACAAAGTTATAGAGTTATTGTGTATAAATGTAACCAACAGTATACACAAATGGTCGTCAAAGTTAGGTCATTTTGTCATTTATTGTGGAGTCCTGTAGCTCAGTGGTTAGAGCACTCGCTTTGCAAGTGAGAGACCTGAATTCAATTCCAGGCAGAGGGCGAAACCTCGGGCAAGTTTCCTTACTCCACACAGAGCCTAATAATAATCCCTCCAAAACCAAAAACAGTAATAAATTGGTCATTTTCAATCTACGACTGTTTGTGGGACATTGCTGTGCGCAATTGGCTGCCGCGTTCGCCCACAAATATACAGTCAATTCACTTTACAGTGTGTTCTGTGAAGCGCTTTGGGACGTCCTCCCGACGTGAAAAGCGCTATATCAAATGCAAGGATTATTATTATTGATAGAAATAATTCCCACATGGGTGTTTTCTGCTTTTTATTTTAATGTGTGTAATAGCAAGTAACAGAATAAAATCTTGCCTTTTTTAGTGGTTAATTTTTCTTTATCTTTAACCTTTCCTTAGATTTTTGTCCTCCAATAATTGAGTTTGACTTAGGTTTTCTTATTGACAATTCCTTTCCAAATCATTAAACTTTTTGTTAAAAAAATTATAAGTCTCCTTTTGAACCATATACAGACTGGAATGGATTATGTGCACTTAAGGAGTACTCTGGGAGAACTCATGGAAAAGATTTGTAAGCTTGTCCTTAGATTGTTTCTCTGCAATAGTTGCCCTGATACCATGGTTATTTAGCTCTGAAATAAGTGCAGGGACCAGGTCTAGCATTCTCTGGGTTCAGCACTGAGGTGAGTGTTGAGAAACAATAATAAATTACAGTAGTATTACATCTTTCATCTTGTACTCCTGCAGTAACAATTAGTCACTCGGGTTTGAAGTAAGTCACATTGCTGGTCTTGGCACCTAGCGTGCTTGCCGAGTTGTGCTTCGTGGACTGCTATGCTGACGTGCAACATTTTGGAACGTTTTAACTTTCTGAAAACAAATGCAGGAATGGGATGCAACCATCTTAACGTGTTGTACTCACTACAGTAAACTCCTGATAACTTGACTCTAGCTTATCTTGTCACGATCACTTAAGTCAATATCAATGTCAAGATATCTTGGCTTTATTTATTTATTTGTGCATGCATGCAATAAAGTATTTAGGAATTTGAAGACTGATCGAGCACATTAAGTATACGGCTAGCAAGCACAGGTGTCAATCAAACCTGTAACCACTGTGTCTTGAGTCACAATTTCATGGTTGCTTGCGGTTGCCTTGAATTTACTGGAGTTATAGCAAAATATTTACCACAGGGGGAGAAAACACACAACCACACTCAACACCTGACTCTGTATTTGAGGTAGAGGCAAATTGTTAGTTTAGAATTGAGGAAAATGAGCAGGTTGCTTTTGTTTGGTAAAATAAATTTAGATTGATTTAGCATAAACCTGAAGGGAAACTCGTGACTTACCCCATGGTTTTAGTAATTTAGTTGTTGTTAAAAGCACATATGATAATAGTACCAAGTGTTATTGCAACTTGTTTGAATAACTTGGCCTGATTTAGTAGGTTCTGGGAGGAAGTGGCAGCAATATCCAGCACACAGCGCGGCACACAGTATATTAGCCATTCCAAGGTGCAAATAAACCAGGCAAATTTGCACAGAAGGAACATAGTCATGGTATGTGTTAGCTGTGATGTGGAAGGAAATGGTTTGATTTTAGTTTTGACCCACAGAGGATGTGAACTATATTGCTTTTTATGGGTGTCTGTGGGAAGCTATTATAATAGTATTATTCAACATGCTCTGATCCAGGGTAATGGGATTTAAAGAGTCCCACAGGACCTTAGCTCACCTGTAGCATAATTAGTTATAATAGCCAGATGCTGAAACAAATTTATTGTGGTTTACCTTAAAATAATATTAAATAGAGTTTCCTTGCAGTGACTTTGAGAGCTGTTGTGGTGCACACATACTTTTATTTTTCTTCTCATCTCTTACTGGTTTTCCTAATATTGAGGAGAATTAAGGTTGCAGATAATGCCACCTAGGAGCTGTACAAACAATCTAAGCAACCTCTTGTATTGGTATATTTTCTTATTTTATAATGACTGTGCAGTCCCAGAACTAGTAGAGTAACAAGGTGAGTTTCAGGATATGTTTAAGTGAACAATGACTATTGCATCTTATACTTTCCTTTGATCTCTGAAAGTTAGATTTGAATTTGAATTCAGGATAAAAGTATTATTATCGAAAGGAATATACCTTTTGCAAAGCTTGAAATTTAACGTGGGTATAATTTTCTGGAGAGTTAAGGAAATCACTGCTTAGAAAGCAGTCCATCTCGGTTTTCATTTGTAAATCACATTTTGCAGCTTTCAGGCTGTAGGATTTAGTGCTAGTTTCCAATGCTTCATGCATGAGGAATTGTAAGTAGTAGTGGCAGTTTCTCCTGTTCCTTGTGTATTTACCGTATTTTATTCACCTAAATATATTCAAGATACATTAGGTCATTTTTTTAAACTTCTGTATGCTGTAAATGTGAACAATAAACATGACACAATCTCAAAGAGCTGCAAGCTTTTAGTTCTCAATGGACAAATAACTAGCTGTTTAGGATAAATGCAGTTTATTATAATTCTAACACAACTTTACATTTGGGATTATTACAGCTGTGTTGGAGTGGAAGAGGATGAGGCTCCATATATTGATATCTACCATTGTCCAAACTGTGAAAAAACCCACGGCCAGTCTACGAGTGAGTTGTTATTCAACAAAGTACTTTGTTTCATAGTTGTCTGTCATCTCATATTATTAAGGCAAATGTTGTTTCTTTTTTCACTTTTCAATAATCACATTTTCAAAAATCAAAGGGGCTAAATTCAATTAACTCTTTCGTTGTAGGCCCTGCTAACTTGGGAATCTTGAATTTTTAAAATATATTTATATATTATGAAATCAGAGACCCTTCAGTAATTGTTCTGTTTAATATTAAAATTCTGTAAAATTAAATGTTTTCAATCTTTTTAATATATTTTCTAGTGAAAAAGAAAAGGCAAAAGCATGAGCCAATCCATATTGTGGACATTGTGCGACCAGTACAGAATGGAAGTCAGGTTTTCATAAAGGAACTCCGAAGCAGGACCTTCCCAAAGTAGGTGTTCCCAAATGGAGGAAATGGAAAGCGTTGTTTGTGAGGCACCAGTGAATATGATGAATTGTTTAAGCTTTTCAGTGCATGGGATATTAAACTTGAACATTTAAGTTTCTGGTAATGCAGAGCTAATGGTCCCAACAGCCACAGGAATATGTTATTAAAAACTTGTGGTACTGTACAATAAGCAACCTCTGTGTTATTGAAAATTGGCATAATTACACTGAATCTCTTATCTGAAATATTCCATAAATACATTTATCAAAGTATTGTACCTTTTTCTTGCACTGTAATTGACTATTACATCAGACCATTCCGCTTTAGTTCAGTGTAGTATTAAAATGTAAACATCTTATGAAATGTCACAAAATTGGCAGCAGGTCGTGTTCATTGATTTACAGAAGGGGATTTTCCCTTGTTTAATAGTGATTTACCTTTTTCGATAATTGTGTATATCTGTCTTGTGCCTCACCACGAAGGCTTAGATATGCAAATATGACTGAATCACTCATGTGATTTTTCAAAAGAGTCTATGATATTTCATGTAACTGCTGTTAATTTATCATGAGCATTCTCTTCATATATTTTATGGCATTTATATTATTCAAATTAAGTAAATCTCAATTTTGTTCTAGTGCTGAGGAGGTTATCCTTAGACTGACTGGAACTCAGTTGTCTTTGGAATTTCTGGAAGATAATGGTTTTACAGGACCTGTTTTGGTTGCAAAGAAGGATGGCTTGGGACTAAGTTTACCGCCGCCTACGTTTTCTGTTAGTGATCTTGAAAACTATGTTGGTGAGTATATTAAATGACAAATACAATAGAATCGTATCTGTGTCGTATCTGTTTTCATTATTAAAATACAAATTCTGGAAGAGAATGTGTTTATTCTAATTATTTTCTTGCACTTCTTCTGACTTATTTTAGATATCAATCCTACTTTATCTGCATAAAAGAAGGGTCAGTGCTAATAAAAAGTGGGGAATGAGAAATGGGATTGGTTCCATATGCTTATGTATTACAACTGCATTGTGTCATAAAGATCAGTGAAGAGCAGTCACCATTAACTCAATTGTAGGCTTTAGCTAGCTAGCATAATATAGGTTGGATGAGCAACAAATAGTTGTGATGGTGTTACTGGGCTATAATAGAAGGGGTTTAGATTGCATCACGAATAAGAAGATGACTTGTGTAGAAAAATCCTGTATGTTTTGAGTCTAAAATTGTGCTTTGTAGTAGATAAGTAGCAATAATCCTCTCTTCAGGGTAAAACAATATAATTGCATCTGATATAGGGGCTGTAATGTCGATGCCAAAAGCACTTCACAGGTAATTGCTGTCAAGTGTAGTGACTGAATACAAAAATAGCAGCCAATTTGTGTACTGCAAGATCCCCTTCACAGGCATTAATTGAATGACCAATTCATCTGGAAGATTGTTGGCCAGAACAGCAGGGGAAGTTCCCTTCTCTTTTTGAATAATGTCGTGAGATCTTGAAAGTAGCAGCTGTTCCAAAGTAATATGTTACAAGAATTCATTTTCAACTAATAACATTATAGTTTTATTTTGTAGTATTAAATGCAACATGTTCTGAACTCTTTTATCTTATTACCTTCAGCTGAAATTGAAATTAAACTACACACAGCATTGATCTACATTCAGCATTATTGACTTAACCATATTTCAGTTTGTTGTACCAGTAAGTTTCAATTGAACTTAGGGTGCATTTCATATTTTCCTTTTGTTTATTACCCCATTATGTTTTTTAAAAGTTTGATATTTTGTAATTATTCTTTATTGAGTATCCTTCACCAACTTTGGGTAGGTTGCCATTCCAATTAGGATAATTTAAAAGGATACCGTCCTTTTCAAGACTTTGGACTGAACCATTGATTTTCACTTTCCTGCATTTTGTGCCGCTACCAACAAGCATCAATCTCATGTATATTTCTCATGGTGCTGTGACTAGGTACATTACATTTGCTCTATCCAAGTTTTTATTATTGAACACCTATTTGCTAAATCAGATCTTTTGGGGCAAAAGTGTTTGATTTGCGTTAAAGGGACCATTTTAAGAATTATTCATTCAATGTGCTGAAGTTTTTTTTTCCTCTACATACAAAAAATATTTTCCATTTCTGATGGTTATGCATTAGTACCTTCAATTTCAATCACAACTTGGTGAGTACAATATTTGCTCACATTTTCAGAAGAGGGTGAACAAAGAGAATTCAGAGGCTTGTCATCCTTCATCAAAGTGAAGATGACTGAGCCGAAAAGATTGTCAAGCCACGAATCTTTGTACTTTTGGAAGATTTCATAGCCTGCCTTCTATGAAGATCCAGCCTTCAGTGCAACCTTCAGGTACTTCTGATGGAAAAGGCTATTAAGTAAATAAAATACCCAACGCTCTTGGTGGGATCAAATTATTTAAGAGCATCCCACTGTTCTAGATCGAGACCAAGCGGTTATTCCCTGGTACTGTTTTTGTGCAGGTCCAGGCATTCAGATACAATACCCAGCTCAGCTTATGCCTTCCACACCATTTATCTTTGATACTTTTAACTCATCAGCATCTGCTGTGTCTTAATTATGGAAAGGCAACAATTTTGGGATGGCGACTCCGACAACATTGGGGACTATTTTCAGGATTCCTTTTTTCAGGAACTGATCTTTGTGGTCCTTGTGATGAGAAGCAAAATCCTCATAAAAGTGAAGCCAAGTTAAATCATCCCCATAGTGATGTCAGGGTCTCATGGCCCATTCTACTCTCAAGATCACAGCATCCAGTAAGATTATTTGGCAATGTTGATATGGAAGAAACTTGGAATGAATAAGATGAAGTCTTCTCGATTGTTATATCCTGTCAAAACAATTCTTCAATATCCAGGAGTACTACTTGATGGAGATATTGCCACTGATATTCCATGAAGATTCTGTTTGGATGATTTTCCTGTAACTGTGCTAATTGATATAAGAAATCTTTAAAGCAGCTACAAACACGAGGGAAAGAATAATCTGCTAACTCTACAATGAATATGACGTAAGCGCTCCAAGATGCTACCCCAAGTGAAGGGTGCTATGTATCTTATCTACGAATTGTCAGAAGAATTATGCCTCTGCTTTTATCTTTATGTTGGTATGCAAAAAAATACAGTCACTACACCTTATAGTAAAACCCTGTGAAAAATCTGGGATGATACAGTTGCAAATAAAACTGAGATTCTCATTTTCTAACCGTCTTTGATTATTTTCTTTATTTGATGATTTTCAGAATAAACCTTTTGCATGCTTTATAACCAGTTGCTTCTTTTTAAAAAATATACCCGTGAACAACAATTGAATTCTTTTATGCAGGTTATTGTGGATTTAACACGGGAGAAAATATTTGGTTTGTGCAGGTGAACAAAGTCAAATTGATCAAAGGTTATTCATTTGAAATATTTTTCATTTTAACTATTAATGCTGAGGGCAACTAGCTTCTGTTTATACTTTGCACTCCATCAAGGTTATATTCGGATGCTGTTTGGGTTACTTCATATAAGTTTCAGTGGTAATGTTGCATCTTAATTGGATGTAATCTAAACTCTGAAAAAGACACTTGTGTGATATCCCGTTTTTTTTTATTTTCCAGGTCCAGATAGAGTCATTGACGTTATAGATGTTACCAAACAAAAGACTTGCAAATTGACCGTAAAAGAATTTGTTAACTACTATTATGGTGCAAACCGGAAAAGAGTCCTCAATGTGATCAACCTGGAATTTTCAGATACCAGGTAACTTACGCTTCCTTTCACTTCTTTGCCTTTTTTTTTAATGTCGCACTTACTTTTTTATTTAGTTTTGGATATTTTAGCGTACATTAACATGTATGCCAATGTTGTTTAAAGAATGCATTCTATGTATGCCAGAATTAACTCTTGTCACAGGTAGCAGTTGGATACACTAAATTATTGTTGTATGTTTATTTACTCAATGAGCTAAGTCTCGTGAAAGTTTGTTCTCTGAAAAGGCACATTCTAATCTGGGCTATTGAGTAAAGAATCCGGGAGGCTCAAGAGGAAAGGTGCTGCAGTCCAATTCATTCTGTTTGAATTAGTTTTCAGCTGCAATTTAAGCAATTATTGCAGAAATTCACAGCACAAACTACATAGAAGAGAATAGACAGAAGCCACTGGAGAGAAGGAAATGGGAAATTTAATCATTGAGCTGATTATTTGAGTTTAAATCAGATTTTGTGGCAGATTCTAATGATACTTAGGAAGAAGAGTGCGTATACAGGGTGACCAGAACATTGTGATACCATTACAAAGTCTAAAAAGTTGTAAAAGAAATTATAATTTTTTTTAGATGATAGGGTAGCTGAAAGGTAAGACTTTTTGGTCACCCTGTAATTTTTTTATACCCAGCCTTTATAATTATTGTGTTTAGGAATGCTAATTTTTCATTTGATAGCTAAATAATTTACTGTATTCAAAAGACAAACTCCCGAGATATTTTTAATGCCAACTTAAAATTCTTTTGTTTTATTTTACAGATTGTCCAATCTGGTCAACGCTCCTGAAGTTGTGAAGAAACTCTCCTGGCTTGATAATTTGTGGCCTGCAGATTCACTTTTTGATAAACCAAAAGTAACAAAGTTTTGCCAAATAGGTGTAAAGGATAGCTACACAGACTTTCACATAGACTCTGGGGGTCATCTGTTTGGTATCATCTCCAAAGAGTAAGTTGGACTCTGACTATTAAGCACATACAGTTTATAATGAAGATAGCCCTGTATTGTATCATGCTGTTGTAGTGGCTTGTCCTGTAATGGGGCGATAGAACATGGGTCCATTCTTGTAGTTCCTACATGATTAGTTACTAATCTCAGCCGGGGTGTCAGATAAATTTATCCTCCCCTATGAATCAAACCAGCATGCAGCTCTATCCACTGCACGACCGGGGCTGTCCCCTTTGCTCGTACCAAGTAAATATTTTAAATCAAATGTTGCACTGCTTTGGTAATTTTGCAATCGGGTTTGATGCTGTTGTGTTTTGCGGTGATTTATTATTCCAAGTAATTGTTGATGTCAAAAGTGGATTTTAGCACCTTTGTGGAAAATGTTGCGATATGCAATGCCACGGGCTACATATAAAATAATCTATGTAACAAAAATCTACTTGTTGGAAGCGTTTGTTTATCGTACTAAATCTGTCTTTGATGTCTTTGATCTTTCCAAGGGAGAGAAAATTTTCTACTTGATCAAATCAACTTCTGCAAATCTCGCTTTATATGAACAATGGAGTTCATCATCAAATCAGAGTGAAATGTTTTTTGCAGATCAAGTAGACAGATGCTACAAGTGCATCCTGAAACAAGGACAGAGTCTATTAATTCCATCAGGTACAATACAAGGCCACAGTTTCATCCCTAAAGTCCCACTATCTTCATGGTAACCTCTTTTCTCATGGTTGGCAAAATGCCTCAGCAGCCCTGTGCCATTTTCTTCCCTTGACAAATGTGTACGCATTATTCAGTGGCATTCACTTGACCTGATTTGTGTCATTGCATAAACTGATTGTGAACACATTCTAATTTAATAGTAATGAATTTGTATTACCTTAACAGGTTGGATTTATGCAACGCTAACCCCAGTGGACTGCTTGGCTTTTGGAGGACACTTTTTACACAGCCTAAACATTGAAATGCAGATGAGGTATAGCATTCCCAAATGACAGATTATCTTATGTCTAACGTGTTTTGTTTTACTTTGGGACTGAACAGATTTTTTTTTGGTCTTCTATGTTTGTTTTTTGCAAAAATGCAAAAGGAGAAATGAAAGCAAAATATTGCTTCAGTCAAATCAAGCATGAAATTAGGATGTAACTCCCAGTATTTGAGAAATCCCTCCTATCAGAAGACAGCTAATTGATTTGTCCAACTTTGTACAGATCAAACAATTTTTTCGAAAAGATATCCATGTATTGTCGCAACTATTTTAGAAGCTTGGAAGAATAAGTGGTATTTCAGTCGTTATTTGTATGTGGCATAACACACCTAAAAATGTAAAACAAGGAAAGGTCCATTCTTCCTCATATATAGTAGTATATAGTAGTAGTAATATGATAATCCTTGCATTTGATATAGCGCCTTATCACCCCTATGAGTCATCTCAAAGCGCTTCACAGAATATACTGTAAAGTGAATTGAATATATATATATGTAATATTTTATACAGTCTAGCTAATTCACTGAGTATTTTTGGGACTCGCAGTTTCTCACACAGAGACTTTATTTTCTTCCTACCTTGTCACTCAGGATATATTCGTTTTTGTAGAATTAAGAATTGCCCATTTTGTGAGTTTTTGAGTACTTGAATTGAATTTACATTCACTACACTAGGTGGCAGTCTATTTCCATGTTAACTGACTGAAATAGCTGCTCAACATGTTCTGATGATGCGCATGGTTGTGTACTGCTCCATGCATCCTGTAAAATTGTGTAACCACGTTTTGGTTTGTATGACAGAGCCTACGAAGTTGAAAAACGACTGAAAATTAACAACCTTATCAAATTTTCAAACTTTGAAACAACATGTTGGTATGCTGGCAAGTATCTGCTTGACACTTTCAAAGGTAACGTGAAACAAAAAAAAAACTTGTGAATGATCACTCAAGAAACAATTATCTTTACACTGATCCTTACCTAACTGACATTGATGGAAGTATTGACTTCTTGACTCTTGATAGGTTTACACAAATCCGGGAAGCAGCCACTTCCTTATCTGATGCAGGGAGCAAAAGCTCTAAATGCGACTTTCAGGTCGTGGACCAAGAAGCAGGTAAAGGATATTATTTGTTCTCATTGATTATTCTCTTCTGATGCTGGCATACTCTTAGATATGCATGTTGGGAAGTGTAGAGATTAAAGAACTGAAGGTCTAAACTTTGTGATATAATTGCTAATGTTAAGTCATCTTTGTCACGATAAATGCATGTTAATGTTCTTTAGTCGTATGTATATCCCACCCATCTGATTACCCGCTAGGTGGCTCCAGCCTACTTATTTGCTGTCAGGAATTGTTCCTGTTTCCCCGATATGCTCCCCTACTCCTTTCACCTCTCCCCTGCCTCCCAAAGTATCTCAGTGGGGACAATCCAACCCATGATTTAAGTTAAACACCAGAAGGTTTTATTAAGATGAGGGTAATTGCCCTTCCAGCGCTTTAGGATGTCCTCCTGATGTGAAAGGCACTATATAAATGCAATTTGTTGTTGTTTGTGGGGTTTTTTAAACCTCTGATTCTTAATCAACTTTGTAGCTGTTTGCCTTCTTTTGCCTTGTCTCCAGCAGTCTGTTGCTACTTGCATTAGACACTTGCTTGTTATTGATCTATTACTTCATAACATTTTTGCCTTTAGGTTATAGCTAATCATGAGGATGAAATTCCAGAAACTATTAAAACAACACAACTCATTAAGGAATTTGCCAAAGAAATTCGAATATTAGAGGTGGGTTTTCTTTCACAATCTGACCTTGAATATTTTGCTTTTGATGTTGGTTAAAGAGAATGTCTCACAGTGATTCAAACTTTGTTAATGTTAAAGGTTAAATGCAAGTTTTGTTTTGAATTTTCTTATTTTAAAGCACTCTGCTCGTAAGTAAATGAATGTTTCCAAGTTTGGTACATCTACCCAAGCAGAGGGTAACCTCTAGATATTTTGGGGGAGAAATGCGTGCCTTTAAATAGAATTGAACTGAACATTGTTTCATTAAATCATTTTTTCCCCCCACAATATACATTTCATTGAGTTGAGTGAAATTTCAGTTGCATCCATTATATATACCACTTTTTAATAGATTAAAGCTGCAGTATTTATAGGAACGTCTGGTGTCTTATGTAAACTGCGCAATTTTTTAATGTAGCTTACGGCACAAGATGGTTAATGTGCTTTTTTTATACATTAAAAAATAGGAGGAAAGAGATAATTTGATTAAGAATCCCTCATTGCAAATCATCAGTGATGTTCCTTTTTATACATTATCTGGAAGATTCGGACTCAATCGGTTCCCGAGGATGTTTTCTGCAGCACCACTGGCAGCCCCTGCAGACTTCCTTACACTGCTAGACCATACATGACACTATACAGAGATGAGATATGTCAGGTGGCAAAAGAGAAGTAGGTGAAGTCTTAGTGAATGTTCTATCAGTTTGTTCTGTCATGTCGCTATATTTTCACATTCTATATTTTTGCATGGTATTGGAAAAATTGCCATTCCAACAATAAACTGAAAACATGATGTTTCCTATAAGATACTGCAGCTTTAAAACTGAACATCTGCCATAGTCATATGATATAATGATGCTTTTGTTTTTTTTGAGTTTTTAGTAATGCAAGACCATTTTCAGTTAGATTGCGAATTCAGTAATTGTGTTTATAATCCAGCGTTATGAAAAGAAGTTTACTGTTATTACCAAGAAGTATATTTAATTCAATGCAACCCAACATTCTTGGTTCCAAATAATACTTGCGTTATTAGTAAGAATCAATCAACCTTAAATGTTCCCACTTATATTATTTCTGTTTTTGTTTTCCAATTCCTCTATATGTAGAATTTAAATTGAACAATTTTACATGTTCAACCCATAATGTTTTACAGGTAATTTATTATTGATTGAAGGATGTTTAGGTCTTGTGATTTCCTGTATCCGGTCAAATAAATTGGGTAAAATCAGCTGCAAGGGATTTGGGACTTTTTTTAATTCATTGAAGTTTGTAAACTGAAAATTTGAGGTTTAATCAACAAATGACTATGAAGAGATAACGAATGTAAAAATTGAACAAAAATTGAACACGTGGATATGAAGAAAGTTTTTATGTGTGTGTGTATATATATATACATACACGTATATATTAAAATAAATATGACAACTGAGGCATTGTTTATATTCTATTCTGTTAGGCTGCTGTCACAGATTTCATTGCCATCAGCAGCTTAGGAACAGGAGGCAATAGAGGAAATAAAGAATCTCTTATGGGTGCTAACTGGCAGTAAAAATATCCATTTAACTCAAATGTACTTAACAAGGTGATTCAAATTGAGCATGATGTTTATTAGTTACTGAGAACATATCTAACTTCTCACACATCATAAATTAATCTATAAAATGCTAGCTTGATATAAACATAATGCATGTGAGAGGCTGTAAATGGCCCATCTGTACTGTTCTCCACCTGGCTGTCTTAATTATTCCTTTCTTTCTCCTGCGTCCTCTCCCCTCCTCTTACCTCACTTAGCCATGGTCTCCTAAAGGGATTGCCTGCCTGTGCAATGTAACTGGTAGGTGCCACTGACCATTTACACCAAGCACAGAGAGTGTAGGGTGTCCTTGCCTGCGTCTCTCTCCAAAATCACAGAGTCTGTATTTAACCTGGATTTTGAAATTTTATTCAGGGTGGGGGGAAGATATCTGATGCAATGTGAAAATCACAAGGCCTAAGTATGTTTTAAGTCTGAGTAACAAATCTTCACTTGCTGTCAGTACATATTAAGTATTAATTCTTGTGAACAAGATTTGTATAGCAGAAGCTGTTTTGCAGATTGTTTTTATAGGATTGGAAGTTTTTGTGTCTTATAAGACATCTATATTTTCTAATTTTTGTGTTATCCTCACAGAATGCATTAAAAGCAAATGAAGGTCAGGCGAGTGAGGTGGTTAGTATGACAAAAAGCCTGCCCGTACCTGCTAAAGTACCAGAACATACAGGAACAGCATCTGTTGAAAAGCCAGTCAGAAAGAAAGCGTCACGCGCCAAAGAAGGAGTTAAGAAAAAAGGGAAGAAAGAAAAAGAAAGTTCACCACCATTAGTCCCCAAACTTGACATCCCAGAAGCTCACACAAAAGAAGTTTTGATTAAAAAAGAAGCACCAAAGAAAGGAAGGAAGGTGTGGATTTTTTAAAATTATTTTATTAACTTTGTCTTCATTTAATATATTCTCAGTATTGTATCCTCTAACAATAAGCTTAATGCATACCTCCATGCATGTCATAGTAGCCGAATAATATATAATAAAGTTCTATTCCATGTTGTCGCGTACAGACGTTATATCATTGTTTATCAAGTCATCTAAATTGCTCAATAAGTATACTGTCCTATAATTACTTTCAGTTACCCTTTATTGTTAACCTAGCATATCATGGCATATAAGTGTAGGTCCAAGAAATCAGTTTGGTGTAATGTTCATTTCCGCTATGACTTCCCCACACCTTTCTGTGTAATACTACATAGAAGTATGCTATTTGCTTCCATTAGACTTCAAAGAAATTGTTGCGTGCGGCAGAGAGAAAGGCTGCAAATAATCAGAATGATGTACTAAAATTTGGAATACAAGAGCAGAACAAAAGCAAATCTGAATTGAAATGGAAGTACAAGGTAAGGTGAATTTTAGAAAATCTGAAAATATTTAGGGTATATTATTAAATATAAGGTATTATTAAAACGCTATAAGATTTGTAACATACAAATTTCCTGAATATTGTTTTATCCAGTTGGTGAAAACAGCACAATTTTAGTTCTTTCATTGTTTTCACCAGTGTTCACTGTATTTAATGGACTAGGATTGATGCAACTATAGAGATTTTTTTCTCGCTAAGTTAGTAGTGATATTCTTATCTCGAGGACTTGTATTCAGGGAACAGGTGGGAAGGCAAATGGTAAATCCTATAAGGTGAGGAATAATTACATACTGTGTGTGTGTACATGTGTATATATATATATACATACGTGTGTGTGAATGAATCTTCAATATGTTTTAGCAAAATGCCCTATTGTGGTTGAATCTGTTTTCTGATCTACTTTATAATTTAGTGAAACATTCTCCACAGTTTTACAACATTAAATGTTGTTGTATTCACTGTTCCAGATACAGTACCTTTTGTTTCACAATAGATTAATGGCACTTTAGTAACTTAAAACTGTAAATGGCAAATAAAGTTGAAATAAAATCTCTTTACTAATAGCTAATCCTCGTCTGCATTTTCTTTGCTTCCCAGAACAGCAAACCAGATTCTCTGCTCAAAATGGAAGATGGAAAATCCGAGAAATCACTATTGGTGGGAAGCAAAGACAATAGCAAACTCAAGTTGGTCTTCACTAATAAAAAACTGCTGAGGTGTGCGGTTAAATATTTAGTCAAACTATCTTCATCTGTGTTTGATTGAATCGTTTATCCAAATATTTGAATCCTGGAACTGAATAAGTTTCCAGCATAATTGGTACTGACAAATGCAGCATACAAAGCAAAACTTGCTCCAGAGTTTTGAAGTACAGCATGAAATGCACATGTTTGCATTTTTTATGTGGCACCATGACAATAATACAGTAGTGGTATTTATTTAATCTAAGGCCAGACGCTTTTAAACATCAACTATTCAACCAATACTGTATGTTTGCTATATGTTTTCTGGAAGCCATCCTTTCAGCAGCAGAGAGAAGTGGTGCTAGAAGCCAGGTTTATACTTCTCAGGGCTGATGCAATGCAGTATGAACTCATGATTTCTCAGTGCTGGTGCATTTGTACTATTTTGATTCATTGTAGGCTATGAATTGTCGACGTTACCAAACTCTCTGTTCCCTCCGCTTGGCAGGCAGAAGACTGCTCTCTCCCCCACTCTCGATGAGGTTAATTTGTGGGCAAATAATCCTACTGTCATACACTTCTTGATAGCCAAATCAAAAAAGTTGTTGAAAGATGTAATGAGAAAATAACTTTTTTTGGTGGGGGAGGGTAAAATGAGTGGATTGATGAATTAATAATGTGTTCGCAAGTGGCGGAATTAATAATGTTAAAGAACAAACAACTGGCATTGCGTGGTTCTGTAATTGAACTCTTGATATGCACACAAAAGACTAAAATTTAATGTTTTTTCAATTATATTTTTATTTAACAGAATATTCTGAGAATTAACATTTTACTTGTCGCATTTGTAATCGTCTAACCTTTACTTGCTTTTGCTTCACCTAGTTGTAAAGGAGTGAAAACCCCGACAAACTCTAAGAAGTCTGATCATATCTTTGGGTGTTTGCAAAATATTAAAGACAAACCGAAACTAGTAAGAGATGAATACGAGTATGTGTCCGATGATGGTGAGCTGCAGATTGATGAGTTTCCTATAAGAAGAAAGAAATCTACTTCCAAAAAAAACCTGCCTTGTAAGTGAATCTTCACATGTTTGCATTAATTAAAATATACCAATTTATCCCTTCCCCACCAATTCACCATATCTCTTAAAACCTTTACTTCCTAAATAGCTAATCTTTCCACCTCCCTTTTAAACATTCAAATTGTTTTTGCCGGTACAGCCTTCAGAAGCAGCGCCTTCTACAGTCTACAATCATCGTGTGACATTTGCTATTAAGAGAAAATATATAATATTCCTTACAATTAATATGGCACCTTATTGGTTCAAAAGTGCCTTTTCTATAAAGGAAAATCTAGTGTCTAGTGACCGTATTTTTTGGCAGACATGGCAGCTAATTTGCACGTAACTATGTCTTAATTGCAGCCATGAAGTGAATGACCAATTTTTTAAAATCTGGGAGATTGTTGATCAGGAGAAACTCCCTTCTCTTTTTGAATAGTGCTATGGAATCTTTAACATCCACCCGAATAGGCCCTGGTTAAGCATCTCATCCAGAGGACAGCACCTCTGACAATGCAGCATTCCAACAGCGCTGCATTGAAGTGTCATCCTAGACTATGAGCTCAAAAGTCCCAACATGGGGCTTGAACCCACAACCTTCTGACTCTGAGGCGAGTATGCTCCCAACTGAGCCAGGCTGACACCCAAAATAATGCCACTGCTACAATTAACTATTTATTGTATGTTTTAACCCATCAGTTTTGCCAAAGACCAAAGAGAGTACTGGACGTATTGGAATGCGAGAATTACTAGTCAAGCACAGTTCCAACCAGGTATAACCCATTCTGTTTTTAATGCATGATTGGCCTGTGACTGTTAGTTAGGGGCTCTGCTATTCAGCTCAGTAATATAATCAGACATGAGAAGTAGGTAAAACATTTTATTTATTGGTTTGCCTTAGGCATGTTAATTTAATCACTTGGATTTGATCCAGAATGTATTAAGAATTCTTGCTGGGCTGGCCTAAATTAAGGGAAGGTATTTATATAGCATTGTTAACAATGGCGATGTGAACAGGGCACTTTAACTCCAGCTATTTTTGGAGGTTCTGGTTTCACACCAGGTCCAGTCCTGTAACCTACCAATTCCATACAGCTTTGCAACCAAAGAAAAGTGAAAGGAGCGCTCGTTGTGCACTCTTGCGTGCATTGCATTCACTCTGCTCAGCGAACCTGAATCCGCAATGGCAGTAACTTTGTAATGTTTGTGGGAAACCAATGGTTGTCTGTTCTTTGCTTCCATTTGTAAAACGACTTCATCAGGGAACTTTTAAAAGTTCACTTAGTATTACATTTTAAATTAGTTTTTAATCAATCTTGTTTTTCTGTCAGTTTATTCTGTTGGGATTGAATGATTCCTTCAGATAATACTCTGACCTCCCCTGAAACCAGTTAATTTGGTCACTCAATCCACGACTGTTTGTGGGACCACGGCTGTGTGCACAGTTCTCTGCCACGTTTCACCCACAAAATATACAGTCAGTTCTATGAAGCGCTTTGAGATGCCTCAAAGATGTGATAAGGCACTATATCAAATGCAAGGATTATTATTATTTATTATTAGTTTTCACCCATTGCAAAGCTACAGCATGGTGAGATTTGCTTCTTTCAGACGCTGTAACTGTTTTTGAGATCCCTTGTGTAAAACTCCTATTCTACGTTTGAGTGTTTGTAAAGTTAATGCACATCCAATTAATGCACATTTAATCGGTGTAAAACCTACAGATCAATTAGCCCTTAAAGGAAGTGACCAGTGTAGAGCTAATTACAATAACCAATCAAATTCATCAATCACAATTGTATTTAAATCGTCGCACTGTGAAGCTCCACGTATAGACTGCTGAGTTTAATGGAATGAATAATCTTATCCGTTGCGTTGTGTTACTGTGGAAGTGTTGTTTGCAGTTAGATTCTTACTTTTTGTCATTGTCCTGTTCTAACTGGCAGGCTGACAACTCGTCTGATGAAGGTTCACTTCATATAGATACCGAGGCAAAGGCAGATCCAGCTACTGACAAGAAGGCTGACACAGGAAGCTCTGCAGGAATACTAGATTTACTACAGGCTAGCAAGCAAGTCGGGGGCCTGGAGTACAGTGCAAACAGGTAGGAATTATATTTGAAAGATCAAGCGCTAGGATTCAGAGTATTGCAGAACTGTCCATAACACTACTAAATTACAGTGGCTTTGTTTGGTTCAAGTTGTTTATTGGGTTTTACTCTTCCTGTGGGATTCCTCCCATCAAATAGCAGTGTAGACATTTGTCTAGTACTCTTCAGGTATAAATGCAGAGCAGTAATGTCTCAGTCAATCTGGTAGATATTCACTTAGTCCAAATAATTAATATGTCTTTCCACAGCAAAATCTGGTGATTGAAGCAATGACATCACTTCCTTTAGGCACTCTTATAAAGTCAGATGTTTTAATTCAGTAACTTCAGAAAGAATAGCAAACATTTCAGCTGGAAGAGCATATGATACCATAAGAGTGGAAAACATTATCAGATGTAAGCTAAGATTCAAGTGGGATAATGGGATGCTTTAATCCAAAGTATTTGGTTGGTTTCTTTTGGATATTTAGTTACTCAAATTGTTTGCATATTTGCATACTTTGCTCTTGCCTAAAATAAAGCGATGAAAGGGTGCTAAACTATTTGTCTATATTGCCTCAGTTGATTAATGACTTGATCTGCACATGAAGTTCACACGAAAATTTAATTTATTTTGGTAATACTGAAGTATTTTCTACCTTAAAACACGAGGTACTTGAGATATTTTATCCCTCTTTCAACTGCTAAAATGATCTTGACAGTATGAAGCATTGAGCTGGACCAAGTAGGCACACTGATTGGGAGTATGACCAATCTGGCGCTGCTCTGATATTAATACCAGTTGGCGTTCTTTCTTCATTCCTAATATACATGTGCAACTCATACAATGTATGGACATAGTTCCCATTATTGCCTTAAGATTTTCATCACAGTTTTGCATGTACAACCTCTCTGTTTATTCTCTGCATTGCCCTGGGCGCTTCCTTCATTTTAAGTGGGTCAGTATTTAAATTTTGATGGTCCATTTGCATTGTTTGAGAGCTGCAAAAAAGGTGAAGAAAATGGCCTTGAAGAAAAAATAATATGTTTTAGACATCCAGGTGATGATATTTTAAAAGTAACAGAAAATTGCATCTGCCTGGTGCTTAATTTAGTAATTTAGTTGTTTTAATATTAGTTGCTTTCTTGGATTTAATAAAACTGGACATAATAAATAGCCGTAGCCAATAAATAGAATTGAGGCAGTAAATGGAGGTTAGGTGCTTTCTAACTGTGATGGGGTGAAAGCACTTGCTTGTTGACAATTGTAGAATTTCTCCACAGTTTTTTTTCGAATATGAAATGCTTGCTTCTACTGGCTTTTGAAAATATAGCCCTAGCAAATTTTAAAAGTAAATTAGTTAAGTTTTTGAAGTGTACCAACATAAAGGGGTGGTGTAATGTGGCTTACATAGGATTAGCTTCCACCAGCACTGTCTTGATTAACTAAAAGGCCTTCTATTCTTAAGTTTTATGATTCTAATTCAAAAAAACATTTTAGTTCAAATGTAGTTTAAAATAAAATTATTGTTTCAGTGTTTTTAATGTGGGTCCAAAAATGTTTTAAATTCCCTTAGGATTAATGCATTTTTAAAATATTTCTATTTTAATATTTTCCAGTTTATAATAATAAAAGGTGAAACTTTGAAGATATAAAATGGGATTCAAACCTGTTGTTATTGATGAGATCTCGTTCACTGACTGCTGTTCATCTTCTACTCCAGCCAACCGCCCGCCTCTCCCAGCACACAGGAGGCCATCCAGGGCATGTTATCCATGGCAAACCTTCAGTCCTCGGACTCCTGCCTGCAGACATCATGGACCAGTAACCAAGTTAAAAATAGTTCCTCCATAGTTCAAACGTCAAAGAAAACTAGTAACAAGCTTAAAAAGCCCACAGGGAAGCGGTTAGTCAAAAACACCGTACAGAGCACTATTGACATTAATGACTATGAGGAAGACCAGGACAGCCTAGGAGCATGCTTTAAAGATTCCGATTACGGTAAGAGCATCTTCTGGTAAAGAACCGTCGCACAAATGAAGTAAAAAAAATGGCAAAAGGGTAGAGCGAATGCACAATAGCGCACAAACATTTGGAAGTAACCTTGCATCTAATAATTTAAATTTTAAAGTATAATGGGCATGTAAAACTTCATTAGATTGGATTTAAATTACTTATGTGCACTTCTGAAAAGATTCCCAGAGGGGGAATACACATGTGTTTTAGTAAATCTCAGAATTTCACGATGAATGCACATGAAGCATTAGCACATTGGGTATTTCATAAGAAGTTCATTTATCTGACACGGCAAAGTTTCACTCTTTAAAAACTAGTCCACAATTTGGCTGTCTTATTAATGTGCATCTGGCAGTACTCATCACTGGCAGGTGAAAGCTGAAATTTCTTCTGTTTCCTTACCAGGACCAAATAAAAACCATTAGAATCTAATTTGCTAAATTGCATTTATAAAGTACTTTAGTCTTCAAAAATGTTCGACAAACTAAATTGTTTACAATAGAACTTTAATCAGTCCTGAAAGTTTGGCAGCTGTTATTGACCTTTTTAACATCTGAATATTGTATCCAACATTTACAAGTTTACATTTTTACTTTCTGCTAAAATGCAGTGGTAATACCACACAGACATAAAAGTGCCCTTTCACAAATATTATTCACTCTTGAAATTGTAACAAGGTCTGTGAATGACTTAAAAGTACTTCAATCAGATTTTAAACAACTTCATTAATGACCCACTTGTCCAAAACTACATTCCTTTGGGAAATAGCGTATTTGTGCATCCTTATAAATTTGTGTACTTGAAATACAAATAAATTGTACATCAGCTTTGACATTAATGTATTGCTGGAAACGTCTGATCATCAGCATGGTACCCTATTAGATTGATTACTATACAGCAGTATGATTGCAACCAACGCCTAATGCTTCTTCCTCTCATCGATACCAAGAAAAAATAATTTTGTGAAATATGGTTCTCCATAGTGTAGCAGATTAGCTTTGGACACTTTACACAAAACCTGAAATATGAAACGCTGATATTGCCAAAATGATAATCAATTCCTTGTTAATGAACTTCGGTGATTAAGATGTAATTCCTGAAGCCAATTTTAAGACTCGCTTTTGAATTCATTATTATAATTGTTGGGGGATTTCTAATATTTTCCTGATGAATGGAAAAAGTTACATTGGTTTATTGTGGTTCTCGAACCATTGTTCCCTTTAATCATGTTTGTCAATTACACAGGTGGAATGTTTCTCACATGGCCTTCATTAAACTTCCATCACTTACAATTTATGTAGGGCCTGACGCAAGATAGTGAAAATATGATGCAGAATACTCACTCCATCTGTTTTTAAGTTATTCATTTGCACAGATCAGGACTTTGTATGACATGAACTTCAGAAAATTGAGCGTTGTCACAAAATTTGAATAAAAGGATGTGTAAATCTTGGATGCCTCACGAAGGCTTCTGAATGCATTGCTTGCGTTGCAAGATTTCTATTTTTCTCTAGATTGCTAATGTGCTAAAATATTTTTCAAATGATAATGAGTTGGTGCAGAAAGCTTACTGGTTTCTGTAAGCTTTCACTATTGTAAATTCAGCTGGGGTTAGGCCCACCAAAGTGAATAGAGGTTGGAAACTAAGTGAAGTGCTGTAAATTCGTTTTGAATGGTGATTTTTCTAGATCTTAAATATAAATATAATTAAACATAATTCAAAATAGTGACATTTTGCTTGCATTTTAAAATGCGCTAAGCGTTCTAAGAAGTTTTGATGCAAATTTTCCTGGCTACTTTTTAAAAACTGGAATCTTGTCAAGAAACAATCTCCTCTTTTTCTCGTGTACATCCTATTATGCCATTCTACACGCTGTTTTGGTATAATCTGCCCCCCTCTGGTCGTGCACATCCAGATGGCATGGCATGGTTGTAATGAATCATACTAGTAATCTTGACAATGCTCCGCTTTCGTGAAACCTAGCAAAATCGCAGCAGTAAATTATTTGCAGGAGGGTTTGAGGAGATCTCACTAAATGCATCAAGCCGTAATTTATTGGATGTTGGCTTGCAAAGTTAGTTTTCAAAATGACTATAAATTATTCAATCACGTAATGACATAAGCAAATTAATGTTGCATAATTATAGCCACATACCTCACCTAAACCTCACATAATGATCCAACATTGTTTTACACATGTGTCTGTACTCTTGCTCATACCAAAGCATTTTGAATGCTGTAACTAACTTTCTGGATGCTGATGTTACTGATCATTATCCTAAATTGGATTCAGATTTCAAAGGAATATGTCGTTGTGTAGGGTCTGTATAATTTCAAAGTGCTGATCTGATTAGTCTATATTAATGGGACGTTGACTGTTATTTTGTGAGTATATCACAACCTGTTATCGTCTGAGTGACTGGAAAGTTAATCTCCAAAACTCAACCTATAGCTGTGGATTAAATTTAGAGTTGTACTATACCTTATACATTTTTAAACCAGAGATGTTTGCTAATTAGCACTCATTGATTTTGTTGCTTTTCAACTTACTTTAGGCTTCAGTACTTTCAGGATATATTACTGTGCTTTGAGACATCCTCCTGACACGAAAGGCAATATATAAACATAAATTGTATTAATATAGCTAGGGTACACTGCAAGAGGGAAAATCAAAGCAACCCCTACCCTAGACTTCTGTTACACAGGGAGTTTTGACAGGCCAGTTATTTGGTTACATGCCTAATAATAATCCCTCCAAAACCAAAAACAATAATAAATTGGTCATTTTCAATCTACGACTGTTTGTGGGACATTGCTGTGCGCAATTGGCTGCCGCGTTCGCCCACAAATATACAGTCAATTCACTTTACAGTATATTCTGTGAAGCGCTTTGGGACGTCCTCCCGACGTGAAAAGGATTATTATTATTATTACTTGCCTGTCCTCTCAGTGGGGGGAATGTTGTATGGTAGCGAAAGCCTATAAATGAAAGGAGTGTTTCCTATCTACTGTGCAACCATTCTGTTTGGAAAGTAATGAAAAATATTATTTTTTTAATGAGCAGCAGCTGTTGTATATCATTGTCCAGACCAGGTTATTGAAGTTGAATAGCTTACAATGAAAAGGCGACGGTGAGCAATGTATTTAAAGGTTTCTTTTGTATTCTCAGTTTATCCGTCTCTTGAATCTGACGATGATGATCCAGTTTTCAAATCGAGATCCAAAAAGAGAAAAAGTTCAGATACACCTTGGAATCCTACAGGTACATTTGCTGCCTTCTCAAGAGTTCAGCATCTACCGCAGAGTTGTAGTAAATCACTTTGTGCCATAAACTGTTGTGTGGGAAATTGCAGATTGTTCAGAATCCTAGCGAGTTACATCACAAAAGGAGGCCATTTGCCCCCTGTCTGTTGGGGCCTTCTCCCCCCCTGGAGTGAACAATCCTATTGTGCATATGTTGCACACAGCAGGTCCCATAAATGGCCTTGGGGTTGAAATACCAATTAATCTGGCAGGCAAAGGCATATGATTTTAGTCGGAAATAGTTTTGCTCATGACGAAAGCTGCGAGTAAATAAACATTATTTAATTTAAGTGCATTCGAGCTCAGAGAATCTCCCTTCTAAATGGAATCCAGCAATTGCAAATAGATGTTTTTTGCGTTTTTCCAGCCAGAGTTACACCATCTGTTCCTCGACATGATAGACCAACACGAGAAGGGGCAAGAGTCGCCTCGATAGAAACTGGATTGGCGGCAGCTGCAGCAAAATTATCGCAGCAAGTGAGTTCCTTTGGGGGGGTTTCCTATCTAGATCTAGCAAATTGAATGCTAGACTCCATTACACATTGCTGCTCTCAGATATTAGTTTAATTTGGAAACTATATATTGTGTATGTCCCGATCATTCAGAAATGGCAGAAAATTATGCCAATTTTTTGGCTGATTTCTACATTACAAGTTTCTCTTTATTTTCCATGTTTTAACCAAAATAAGTATTATAGATGTCTGACAAAATATGCAGATAATATTTTGGTGATTATATTGATGAGAACATATCTTTGCAGTTAAAAAGAATCGTTGAGGTGCTCTTCTCTTCTGGATGCCTTATGTAGACACTTGCTTTGTGTAAACCGTTAACTAATGGGTTTCTCAAATCATAAACATTTTAATTATGTGCAAAGCTGAGCATTAGTAAACCGGTATGACCTTAACAATATTATATCGCCCACTTTACAGTATATTCTGTGAAGGCCTTTGAGATGTCTGGAAGGTGTGATGAGGCGCTATACCAAATGCAAGGATTATTATTTCTCCCATCTAAGATTTCCCTTTTTCCGCTTTTGTGAAAGCACAGCCTTGTGTTGGGGTTTCAGTTTCCCACTTGTATCCTACCGTTTATATTTTTGTTTCTAATTTTGATCATTGTGTTTTGCTGCAGGAGCAACAGAAAGGTCAGAAGAGAAAATATACCAAACGGAAGCTGTCGCTGGATGACTCGAGTAAAATCCCTCAGGAAAGCGCTTCAACAGAAATGAAGACTGACAGCCATACAGGTAGTTTAGTGGATCATGAATATACTGCTGGTGCCAGCACTTTGGGTGTAGTCGAAGCCAACAGAGGGTCTCAGCCTATGGCTCCAGGTGTGTTCGTGACACAGAAAAGACCATCAATTACACCCAGCTCTAGTTCAGCAGACAAGGGTAAGTTTGAAAGAGCAGGCAAGGGATAGTGAGTGGACAGGAGGTTAACTGCGCTTTTTTTGGAGGAGCTGGAGCCATCTCACTAAGTCCTTATATCCTAACTAATGGTAAGAAATCCATTTTCCAACCTTTTTTCTTTTTGCCACTTCATTAAATTTGTGAATTGTTGTCTCAACCCCAGAAGCATTGAGATAGCCGTCCAGTTCAGACTGGAGACCAAAGTTTCAATCTTAATCGAGGAATGTAGCACATCTTTAGGATTGTTTTAAGGGAGTTAAACGTACATTCTTGCACACCACGTTCATCACAGAACGCAAATGTCTGGACTAGATTAACATCCATGTCTACAAGTCCTTCCGTGCGAGAGAACATGAAGAGTGCCTCTTCCTGTTGCACCTCATTTTCTTTCCATCTGTTCCATTTTAAATCCTGCAGACTTGCAGAGTACTGTTGGAAGAGAAAGATCTGTAAGCTTTAACTGCCTCTCACCCAATGTAAAATTAATTCTATATGAAATGAAGCAGCAAGGTGGTGTGAGTGATGGGGGTGAAGGGGAGGGATCTGTTGCTTCCAGCTCCCTCCTCAACAGAGCAGCGGTTGCTTAGATAATCTGGTTTCCTCCTCCAATCCCCAAATCTCACCCAACAAGTTATGCGTTGCCGCTGCTCTTGATCACCCACTTTTGGACTTTTGCTTTAATAAAAAAAATTGCGGATCTAATCAGCTCCAGATTCCACATCTACAATTCCTGCCACAACTTTAGACTGAACTGTGCTTTTCTGGCCTGAGCTTTGAATTGGAGAGGTTTAAATCATAGCGTTCTGTTTCATTACCCTTATTTTTTTTTCCTCCATCCCTTTCTCGCTCTCTTGAGCCTCACTGATATCTCCCAGTTTCCACTATGTCTGCAACTCTATGCTCTTTTGCCTGGACAACCATTAACAACCCCCCCCCATCCTGGCTCCCTTCCATCACCTGCCCCGATAATGCCACCAGTGCAATGCATATCCTCTTCGAATTTCTTCCTCTTACCTCTTTTGTAAAAAAAAAAGTTAGGCTTTTTTGGTCCTTTTTTCTATTAATTAAAAATCATTGGCTGCTGTCAAAATACACCCAATCTACATGAGGTGCAAAAAACAGATTTCTCACTTATACTTGCGTGGACGTGAATGTGATACTGTGATAGCCAGTATAACGGAGGCATAAGTTAGTTGGTAGAGTACAAGATTTAAACAAATGGGGAAGAAAAGTTTTAATGTTTAAGGCGCTACACAGTTAAGGGTGCAAACAACTGTCCAGAGTCTTGGGATGTCCTTCTGTCATGAAAGGCGTTATGTAAATGTAGTTTGTTGTTGCAGCCATTTAGTGATTATTAACTTTCAGTACAGCATCTAGTTAGATATTTGCAGCTGCAGAGTCTTGAGTTGGAAATTCAGATGATGGCAATTCAAACTGGTTCAGCCAATCTATGCTTTCTGAAGTAGGGCTCGAGCTTTTTTTCAGGATAGTAATGAGGAGCTTATCAATGCAGCTCTTCTGAAGTCTAATTGACTGCTGGATGCTTAGCTAAGACACTAAATGCCTTTTGGTGAATTGTTTACTGGCACATTTTGTACTTCACTTTGAATAAAGAGAGTGCGCATTTCATTCTAACAATCTATTTCTGGAATTCCCATGTGTAGGTGGGATACATGGAAATCACAGCTCGGTTTGGATACTCTGAAGCATAGTGATAGGTATCCGGAAGTGTCAGACACCAGCAGACCCCCCCTCCCAAAATATGTTTACATCAGAGCTGCACCTTACTGTTATTATTCTAATTATTTGTGTTCAGTTTTATTGTGTAAAACTATCTAAGATGTCAGAACGCATTGATGTCGTATTTAAATATTCAATATTCTTTCAATGGTCTATGTAACAATTGCTGAATCAAAGTCTGCTGGGCACTGGTTTATTTCTTCTTAAGTTTTTGTAATGAATGCCAGCTGTTAGTTGCCTACAAATGATTTTATCATGGGCTTGTCACCATTGTTAATTATTTCAGTTTGGAGATTGTCGCCAGCGAAGAATAAAAGGCCCCCAAATAGCAACAGCATATAAGATACCCAGTGACGCTCACGGTATATATTATATATTTTAAAAAGCTGTCCTGCAGTGCTGACAGTTCTCATTTAGGATTTTGTTTTCAGAGTTTATCATGAGAGCTTGTTGTGGCTTGAGAGAAGGCGAGAGAGTGCTGCTTTGGGTCCATTTAGTGTGATAAGTATCACAAGGAGCACTTAATCTGAACCCCTCAAGTCACATTACAACCTTGCTGCAATCTGTGTACATATCAGATATATTTCTGTAAAATGTAGGTGTCTGATTAAGTCCAGTATGTTGAAGAATGTCAGCAAGCCACATTTTACAATAGAATTGTAGACCTCAGTGTTTTAGTTGTGGCATATAAAAGACTAATTTCTAGTAATTATTCAACATGTGTTGTGTTAGCCCTTCCATTGTGTATGTGCTTTAGGTAAGTCAATTTTTACTGTTCAAAGGAACATACTTGTAGCTTTGCCCAATGCTTTTATAGCTGTGAAATGAATCTTTGCAGTAACACACGCATGATGTGTAATCAGTGCAGTAATAATCTTATGTATTTTCTTTCTTTCAGGAAAACGTTTAAAGAAGGGCATGGCAACTGCTAAACAGAGGCTTGGGAAGATACTAAAAATACATAGGAATGGAAAACTTCTTCTATAAAATTCAGAATGAGAAACGTTTTGTCTTAGAATTTAGCCTGACTCGAACGCTGTTAAATGTGTGACCTAAAGATTAACACATTTAGATCATTCCGTTTAGAGACTATATCCATTTTACTTGTCTGTGGAGCGTTCTCGGCACATTTGTAGCACTTGGCTGTTCTTGGCAGGTTGTCTCCAGTTGGCTTGTGGCATAACCGGGGAAGCTCACTAAATAGCATTAAATAGCATTTAATAGGTTTCAAAGATGTCACAATAATACCTTTAACATCACTGAGCCTTCTGGTAAAGCACTGTGTTAAGCATTAAATTACGGATGGCAGTACCGAGAATGGATCTATCTGTAAAGGCTTTTATTGTCTTGAAGACTCAGATTATTTAAAATTGTGAACCTGACTCGTGAAAGAAGTCTGTTACAAAACAAGCTAAATAATGCACTGCTGCATTTTAATCTAAGTTAATGGATATTGTCTCTATAAACTTGTTTCTCAGGCAATTCCATATTTTAGATTTAAGGAAACATTCTTTCTAAAAAAAATCATGATGCGAGCCCTGTAAATATGATCAAAATACTGACCTTTATTGCAAAAGACATACAGGTTGTTGCTCTGTAGCTACCTGTTGCTCCACTACCTTTTTAAAGATTTTTTTTGTCTTTGCAATAAAATGTTTCTTCAGTTTGTTCATACAATAATGGAACTTTATTTTTTATAAAAGGCATTGCCTGAAAAACAGACATTACTTTTGTGTGGCCTTGCAAAACAGTACGTAATCACGATACATCAGTTTAAAAAGAAGAAGAAAAATCTACATTTCAGCGACAAGGCTGTGTGAATAAGCTTAACACTTGTGTTCTATTTGAGCTTATTGTTTTAAACTTTGCATTATGATGCAACATGAAGTATTTTGGTCTTAACTAGTGACGTGTTAATGTGTCTTAAGTCCACGTGACTTACTGTAATTTATTAATATTTGTAGCTTTTTATATTTATACATTTCTTAAGCGCTTTGTTTTTTAAATTTTTCAACTACAGTACTTGTGATCCTTTTCCTGAAATTGTGACACAAAATCTTAGTCTTGAGTTTTCTCCACTTCCCTCCTTCCCTTTTGTCAATCATAAGATTACACAGTTTTTGGCCTTTAAGTGGTATAATCCTGCCAGACTATCTGTGCTTTTTTTTCTATATTTATAATTTAGATAATTAGGGCTTTCTGTGGTAGTTTATGAAAACCATTCCTTTTTGCCCTCTTGAGACCACCTTATAGTTACCTGACACATTTTTATTTACAAACTTTATTTTTTGAAAAAGAAAAAGAAATTCCTGTATACTATTAGGAAAACGTTTAAAGATAGTTCATTTTAGCCACAAAATTCGTGCGTTGACTATCTTGATTTTTTTTATGTGTCATTTAAAATTTTTGATATGTTTTTATTGCTGTACATCAAGATCATCAGCTAAAATAATGGCGCTTTGTGTTGTAGAAAATAAACGCTCAAAATTTATATCAGCGAATTAAACATTGGGTGGAAATGGCTGCAGTTAAAATTTAACAATGAACCTCAGGAATTAAGTGAAGCAGGTTCCAGCCAAGACCCTCAGTCCACATTTTAAGTCCCACAGTATCTTGTATATAGATTTTTCTTGGATACTTTGCATTCTTTTTGATAAATACATCTTCAATTGGGGGGGAAAAAAGGTCTGGATGCTTTTAGTAAAAGACATGAAATGTATATTGATCATCTCAGNTTTTTTTAACAGTTTTAAAGCTTCAATGTGTGTAACATTGACCCTGGCATCTTGAACCTCAAGGCACAAATAAATAACATTAATTGCCCCGGAGAGAGGGCAACTGTGATATCACAAAAGTGTTTTATTATTATTAACCCATTATCTTGTGTTAGCGTTGCAGGGGTCTATCATGCGCTGGCCGCAATCCTTGCATTACTATTTTACCCCTTTATAAACAAGTCATGAAAAAATTGCTATTTTTATTGATTGGTGTGTATGATAGACTCTTCTCTCCCCCACCCCATCTTTTGAACTGATCCCAGTGAATTCAAACTTGCCCACACCAATGTGCTCATCGACATGCACGAGTCTTGTACGTTTTCAGGAACTTTGCGTATAAACCAAGAGATTGAGGAATCATGAAGAAATTGTATTTTGGATTTTAATTGGGGGGGAAAAAAAAGTCAATGCAAGATGAAATCAGTAGATACCGAATGCATGAGTTGGCCTGGTTAATTAAATGAAAGGAAACCTTGAGTAGGTTTAAAACTTCTATTTTAAAAATAGTCCCACGTAGAACCAGAGCAAAGGAATATTGCCTTGTTTAACCAAAATGTATTGTGTATCAGTATCCCAAACTGAAGTATGCTAGTGCAGCTTTCTGTGTGTTACTGTTGTCACAAGCTGATCTATTTTATTTGATTGTCAGATTAAATCTGAAATCTGTGTTACATAAAACATGCAGTCCACTCACTTTAAACTTATGTTAAGCACTATCCGTTGATTTAATTCTAGACAGCCTTAGTTTGTATTTATAATGTTGGCGTGTGGCATAAAATGCAGGTGAAAGATTAAATTAATTACTGAGATGTACCAGGTTAAACAGGAAACAAAAGGGGATGCGCTGTGCAAATGGAGTTGTATGCTGGTTCTTGCTGTATATTGCAGTTGGAAATGGATGTTTGTTGGCTGATAAAGGGCAATATGGACTTTCACAGTCGTTAGTTTTGTCAGCGTTTAATTTCTTTAAGTTGAACTGCACTATAAATTGCAACACAAATCTTTGCATTTTTGTTTTAGCTATTAATGATGTGTACATTATTAAGCAGAGAAAGTAAATCTCCTACAGCTTGGTACAGTTTATTCAGCCTTTTCCGTATGTTATATCTGCAGAATGAAGTGACCATATTCTTTCCGAACTTGTAGAGATTGTGTTTTAAAACTGTTAAAAAAAATAAAATCTACATACTCCTCTGTTTCACATGTTCCGTGACTTTTCACTTGCAAACTGTCTCAAAAAATGTTCAGTGTATAAATGGTGGAAACCTGGTGCTCCCCTGGCCCTGAAAAATGCCATGAGTCTCTGCAGCATTTTTCCATCAACATGCTGTTTGCACTAAATTAATGCCAAGACGCAACATTTTTGCCAGAAAACTTGACTACCGAAGGGTACAGACCATATTTTCAACATTATGTTGAAAGCAAACCAATAAATTCTGGCAAAGAACCTGAAAATTGATGGCTGTCATTTTAAGCACAAAGACCTTCCAGTATACTTATTTAATATCTTTTTTTTAAAGATGTATGACTATCAGTGTTTTACACATTACTGCTTCTAACTGGTTGGAACAGTCCAGGTAGTTCATGTGTTTTGTGTCAAGCAGCCCTCATGACTGATTGCACAAAGAGCTCGGTACAGTTGCTGAGCAATGAGATTTTTTTTACCTTAAAGGTTTTGTTTAATATGTCAAGGTTGCAAACAAAGGAGTACTGGGAAAGCTGTACATTTTGCAGATCTGATTTTTAAAAAAAGTTGCATTCCAATGTACCAGAGGAAGTAGATGGACATTGGAATAAGTAAAAAGCTTTAGCGTGTTGCTCGTACAGCAGTAATTAACATTTAGCAGAAGTAATCCTCGATAGTAAATGTATTGGTTAGTAAATCTACTCTTGGAAAATTCTCCATAATTGCAAATTAAAATATAACTATTATTGGTTAATACACTGTGGGAAATATTCAAACACTTTTGAACTGGTTGTTTATTTAAGAATCTAGCTGTGTCTTAATTCTTGATGGTAATTTTTCTGGAAGCATTTTTAAAAAAAATGCCAAATGCAACATTTTAGAGCCTTTTGCCTCCCAGTCTGGCATCGGATACGGAATAAACTGATTGTATGGTTGGTGTATTGCTCATGACGAGTGAACGAAATGCAACTTGCCTATCTATGTCTGTGGCACTTGTCTTAAAACTTGTCCCTTAGACCGTGCATATGAAATCCACTGATTTCATACCTACTCATCTATTTCCTGCCCTACAATGTCTGGCAAAATCGGGTGACTTGCCCAACAGTGAACTGGACACCCATGTTTCATTGTTTTCCGAAGTCCATGTCCCATCTACTCAACGCGGGAAAGTTTCCTAAGGCCAATGTCTGCTCCCTGTTTAGCGTCTTGCAATTACACATTGCGGATGTTTTGAACCGTGTGTGATTGCGCACTCACGCATATCGTGCATCGTGGCTCGAATACCCTCAACAAAGTGATTCCGCCACCATTTACTCATCGAATCTGGAATTAATTCTATGTTGTACCATAATTTTATCCCTGTTTTAAGACAGTGAAGCTTCCCGTTCCCTTCTATTCCTCATTTCTCCCCCCCCCACCCCCCCCCCAAACACACCCATCACCCAGTATTGGAGTGAGCACTGCATTGTTATAAGTGCCACCGTTCAGATGAGATTGCATCAAGGTCCTACCAGTCCAGGTCAAAGTTAAACATCCCATGGTATTATTTGAAAGGAAAAGGTGAGTTTATGTCAGTGTTCTGCCCCCAAATCCTCTGAATAAATTGGCCGTTCACTTAATGGCGGTTTCTGGGATGATACCGTGTAAATGTCTTATCTACACGAACAGTCGCTATTTGGCAAGTAGTTTCCTGTGAGGCGCTATAGGATCTTCAATAACTAACTTGTTCCAAAAAGCACAGTTTAAACTGAACAGAGACCTTATTAAGGAATCACAGAAAGAAATACCACAGATTAGTTACCGACATTTGTAAAAGGCCTCTTGAGATCTTTCTCTGCGTCATTGATGATAATAATAATAGTCCTTGCATTTGACATAACGCCTTATCATGTCTTCGAGACGTCCCAAAGCGCTTCACAGCGCATACTGTAAAGGGAATTGACTATATGGGCGAAATAGGCATTTTGAAAAATTGTTTTTGAGTGCTTAAATAGAACCGGCTCCCAGAGACCGCATTTAGGATTTTTCCACAATTCCAGTGTGATCTTAAATCTTCAGCCAAAATTTTAAGGCTAAGACAAAGTGAAATTCCAGGCCTAAAGATTTTATTCAAAAATTCAAACGTTTACGAGGATTGAAAGTACTCAAATCGATTTAAAGATTGACCGCCTCATCAGGCTGGGTTTGTTTTGAAATGAGCAACGCTGGGACCTGGTTGTGTTACCGATTATTCCGTCCATAATTACCCACTGATGGTCCTCAGGTTGAAAAGCACTGGGTGGGTAGTGGATAGGGCTGCGATACTCGCTTTGAACTGACCAAGGGTGTCCTGGAATAAACATCGTAGTACATTTCCACATCGGCTTTTCAAACTAGACTTCGCTTGCGACCGCTCGACAGAACTTGGCAGCGAGCACTGAGAGAAAAAATGTAAATGATTTTCAGTTGCAGACGTAAAGTGGTACGGTTCTCCGAAGAGGGAGTTTGCATTCATGATCGGATTTCGGATTGGACAATAGACTTGTGAGCTCCCCGGAGGGCAATGAGTTGCGATTCTCCCTGCGTGTTGTTCATTTAAATTTAATTGTCATTGTTTGCTGTAGATTAGGTCGCTGATATGTGGCCCAGAAAAATACAAGGTACTGTGATTTAAAAGCAGCGGTAGATTCAGAGGAATAACCTCTGCAGGGAACAGACAGTCTTACTCGAGACTTGTGACCCCGACGGTTGTCCTAACATTGTTCTAGTTTGTTCAAGTAATGCAAAGTGTAAAGATGCCATTTTTGTAGTGGGCGTTTTACCCACTGTTACGTGACATCTGCACATCTGTGCGTACTTTTCTTCTTGTCAAATATCAACTGGCTCTTGGAGCGCCTTCCTTCGACCTCTCTTCCCTTTTTGCAGGATAGCTCTTGTAAGCAAAGTTCACGTCTAGTCTATTGTAACATCACGTGTTCGGTGATTGAACTAATTTTGTTTAGTTAGCTTCACGTACATCTTTTCCCCCCCCAGCCCCAGAATTTAGAATTATGTAAAATATGCTTCGTAGCTCTTAGTGTTTCTTGCCTTCAAAGGTAGTTTTCATTTCATTTCTTTTAAATAAGGGAATCCTCAGCAAATCACTCTTGATTCCACTAGATGGAAGCAATGTCTTACACTTGAGCACAACGAGGCGGGCAGATGAGGCCACTATCGTGGAGATCACAGAGTGCTTTTAATTGAAATATTAAACTTAGACATTCACTGTTTAGATTATTTTGGATTGGTAATTTGCTGCTGAGTTACAGATGCTTTTATGTTACCCCTTTGAATGTTGAACGTCCCTCTTCATTCTTTTCAACATACGCACATGTTTCCTATCATTCCTGCAAATCTCCCAATTTAGAAACACCATTTCTTTTGTGCTTTTCATTTTCCGGAGGGGTTTATTTTTCTAAATGCATTTGTCAGTGATTGTTGAACTGGCCTTTTCACACAGCTGTGAGAATAGACTGTTTTGTAAAACCTGTGCCTCTTGGATTGCTGGTAGAGTGTGCGGTAAAGCAAGGTATCTTGGAAAGGACAATTCATCTCACGTGTGATACAGTGCCTATTATATCTCAAAGTGCTTCACGGGTAATTGCTGTCAAGTGTAGTCACTGTGCACTTGTGACAGTAATTCAACGCTCCTGCAGTTAGTGACTCGAGTCTCAGCCTGACATGCGAGCTCAAGTTCCAATGGGGGCTTGAACTCACAACCTTCTGACCCAGAGGCGAGAGTCCAAGCAATTGCGAGCTAAAGCTGATTTCTATTGAGGGATGGGCTATAACGCTGGCTACGTGTGGCCGTTTTTACTATTTCTTCTGAACCTGTTCCAAAGATCTCATTGTATCCCGGAAAACCTTGCTTTATTTCATTCATTGGAATGAAAAGAGGTGCGTCAAAAAACGAATTCCCCCACGTAAGAATTTATTGATATCCTTCAGTCGGGTTCTTCAATCCTTCACTCTTCCTCACTTATTCCAGGGATACGTTGCTGAATGAGTCACTCACTATTTTAATACTCTTGATTCTCTGACTCTTTATGTCCTCCGATTACAGGAGATAATTTTCCACTTTTCTGTAAACTTGCTCCCTAATATTAACAGGTTGATTGTTGGATTCCTTGGTTTGTTACCAAGCCTTAGCTTCTCGTGAATTGGATCAGTACACATCTATAATTATCCACTGGCCACACCACCACAAACTATCCAGTCTACAGGCTATTATTTGGAATAAACATTCAGATTGCTTCTGCCATTTGCAGTTCTCAGGGCTTTAGTACACCACTGTTCTTTCAGCTGAAACCAGTGTTTGTAAAATGTGTAATGGAGCTATGAATTTAGCCATCATGAACAACTTAGCACAACTAATGCCACAATGATGAGGTTGTATATACATTTCCTGTAGTGTACTTGTTGAAAATATAGCTCGTTAAAATTTATAGTGCTGGGAAAATAAATGTGCACGTGATCTATATTTACACAAAACAGCAACCAGAAACACTTAATAAATTCAGCCCTCTGTAAATAAAGGATGTCTTTATTGAGAAGGTAATTTCTATAAGGATTATATATTGTAAAACTGTCAGTCCGGAGTGATAAATGAACAATGATGTATTCTTGCTTTCCAGAGTCTCTTTGAAAGGTGCGCCAATCAGAACTCTTACAAAAGATATTGAGGCACAATTCCACATAAATCATTCATAAACTGTATCCATCTTAAATAATTTCTGGTCCAAGACCATTAAGGCATGCATGTTTGTTTTCATTTTAAGCAATGGCACCTTGCCATTTTTTGACTAAAAATGACGTTATTTCCATTAACATCTGACATGGATTTGTAGTATGAAAACACCAGAATTCACAGAATCAGAATAAACATTTGAAATGTTATTTGTGTTCTGTTCATTAAGGAGCTGTATTAATATATCTAGGTATTTTGAACAGTAGAATGGAGAAAAAGTACAAAAATCAGTGCACGATAATG